TGCCAGGAATGATGGGAGTTGTAATCCATCCAAATCAAAAGGGCTAGAGATTTTCCTACTCCTAGCATAGAATAACATGGGCAAGAACATTAACTTATCCTTAATAAAACGCACAGGGGGATGTTTTGGGGACAGTTTTCATGCCCCTTCTCAAACCAATTGCCCAGCTGCCACTCAATAAATGCATCACAAGAATAAATTGTCACCCATTTGAGAAAGTCCTAAGGAGTTCTAGGGACATGGGGAAATGTGTTTTCTTATTCTTGAAAAGCAAACTACAAAGTATGTTAGCCTCAAATTCTCCATTACTGATATAAACTGGGCCAGGCCATACAACCCAGGCAATGTGAATGTTCAGAGATGCCAAGTCGCAGTGTATAATCTGGGAGATGGGCCCTATCACAGAGGATGCTGGGATCAAAAGCACTGCTTCTTGGGGTAACTATGACATAACAACAGTGATGGTGAATATAAAGGGATTGGTACGTCTGAAGGATGTATTGTTTTCCAACCCATCAGTATCAGGCAGTCACATTTAATCAAAGGCAGGTTGAAAGGCTTCTGAATTAAAACAGCTTCTTTTGTCCTGTGCCGCAAATGAGAGACAGTGTGGCGTAGTGGTTAAGGGTGCAGGACTGGGACTCAGACGATCTGGGTTCTAGTCCCCACTCAGCCACGGAGCCAACTGGGTGACCTTGGGCCAGTCACAGACTCTCAGCCCAACCTACCTCACAGGGTTGTTGATGTGGGGATAAGATGGAGGAGGAGATGTAAGCTTCCTTGAGCCCTTTGTAGGAAAAAGGCAGGATATAAATCGATAAATAAATAAATAAACTGTACTGCATGGTCTAAACAAAAGAATGAGCATGTATGGCAAAATGACAGGGAGGTGTTGCTAGGTCATGCATGCTGGGCTCCATGAGCCATGTACTAAGATGCAACTATTCAGGGAGGATTCTTAGTCTCACATGCCTGTCCTGGAGTGGAGGTTGTTATGTTCTGTCAAGTCGTCTCCAGCGTATAATGAGCCTATGAATGAAAGCCCTGCCATCCATGACAATCCTTGCCTAGCTTTTCTAAATTCAAGGCTTGGCTTCTTTTATAGAATCAATCTCTCTCTTATTTCATCTTCCTTTTCTTCTTCTGCCTTTGAACCACCCTATCCTGATTGTCTTCTCCAGCGAGTCTTGCCTTCTTATGATGTGTCCAAAGTGTGACAGCCTCAGTTTTGTCATTTTTGCTCCTAGGGAAAGCTATTTCTTACTGCACTGCCAAAAGTTCCTCTTTTCATTATGAACTGACAGCCCAGCTGAACTGACAGTCTTTTGGGCCTTCATATTTAATAGCTCTTCAGATATTTTGAAATACAATTCCCAGCAGTCCTGACCGTTGGTCATGTTGGCTGGATCTGGTGGAACCTGAAGCCTAAAACATCTGGAGGGCATCAGATTGGGGATGGCTGACATACATAATACCAATAATTTCTTTTGGGTGTTTTCAATTCTGCAGAGAACATCATGTCCTGTATATAAATCAAGGCTCTTGAAACAGGGTAGTACCAAATGTCCTGAGATTCCTTGTTGCACAGACAGGAATTCTGATGATGGAGATACAAACTTCTCAGTCTTGGCTATGTACTGTATGCAAGAGTTACGCTGTTCCACTGCCGTTCTTGCAAGCCTTGATGCATGCACACTGCTTAAAGATGATACTAATACAGAAATCTCTTTTCTACTTAGGACATGAACAAAGAAGACATGAGCCTGGTCAAATCTAGCTCTTCCGTGATTGGAAATAGGAAAAGGTCAACTGGATATCACTTTCCCTCACTTCCCAAAGTGCCAGTGTTGACCTGAGCCATACAAAAGGAGGTGCTAATAAGCAGATTCTGAGACTTTGCACCAGTACTAAGCAGCAGCAGAAAGTGCCTATGTTAAGATCATGGTCTGGAAAAGCAGCAGTGCCTGCTTGATTTAACAGAGTAAGCTTATAGCCAGGAGGCAATTCAGTAGACATTATGCATTATGCTCATACACATTGCTGTTGGCCAGGCTAGTAAGCAAAAAAATTAATACTCAGCTAAGAATGCCAAAAATCCTTTAGTGGCCAAAATGTTATCAGGGATGGCTCTAGTGGCCTCATATTTCACCTTCCCAAATGCAAGTTTGGTTTTTCAGTGCCCGGGATTAATATTAGTTTTTGCCAGCCAGAACTGGGGCACTTTCTGTTGGCCCAGAAGTAGCTTTAGGAAGTACAATGTCTCAAAAGAGCAAATGCCTTTTCCTCTAGGGAAGAGTCACTGGCCTCTGCTGATGCTTCCCAGCCCTTGCCCTTGCCTATCAAAGTCACTTGGCAGCAGCCTGCCCCAGTCCTTGCTAAAGTCATCTGTTAAAACAGCTGGAAGCTGCCATCAAATAACACACGGTTAGTTCTGCTAATGAGGTTTTTAAGTGGCAGAACAGCTGCAGTCAACATGGCATATTCAGCCTGAGCTGAAGAGTCTTCAGATGGAGAGATGCAAACTTGCCATAATCGTCCCCATCCTCACACAGCCTCATAGATTATTTGGCCTACATCTTTTCTGGGGGAACCATAATTGCCCCTGCTTCTCCTACCCAATGCTGTCTTGGAAGAAATATTTTAGATACATTTTAATAAATTAAAACTTGGGGTGGGGGGGGCTTATGGATGCAACTTTAGAAGAGCTCTTGATGGCAACATGCCCCTTGCTAAGGTGCAGATACAATTGAGATATGCTAAAGACTATAGAATGTGGGGCTTTTATAAGGATTTAACAGCATTTGATCAGATGATCCTTATATCAGATAAGAAAATGATTAAAATATTATATAATTTCTTACTAGATAGGAGAATGGAAGATGAACAGGTTAAGGAAACTATGATAACGTGGGCACAAAACTTTGGATATAATATTGATTCAGAAAAATGGCAAAAGCTGTGGGAGAGAAATATTAAGGTAACATTAGCAACTTCATATAAAGAAAACTTGTATAAATGTTTTATACATGGTATCTGTCGCCAAATAGACTAGCCAAGATGTTTCCAAATAAGTCAAATGGATGTTGGAAATGTAAACATAAATTGGGTACTTTCTATCATATGTGTTGGACTTGAGATAAAGCGAAAAAGTATTGGATTAAAATAAATAAATGGCTTAAGGAAATGTTACAAAAGTCTTTAGCTTTTAAACCTGAAGTTTTCTTATTAAGCATTATACCTGATGATATTAGTAAACAAGGAATGTACTTGACTTTACATGTAATTACTGCGGCGAGGATTGCATTTGCCCAACACTGGAAGAGTGAAGAACCACCCACCAATGAACTGATCCTAAAAAAGATCTTGGACTGTGCAGAAATGGACAGATTGACTTTGTCACTGAAGGAGAAAGAAGATACTGATTTCTATCAAACTTGGGACTCTTTTTATTATGGAGAAATGGGGCTAGAGAAATGGGGCTTCGCATAGGTTTAAATATGTTCATAAGTTAACATAAAAAGAAAAGATGTGGTGGGCTGACCCAGTAGGTCCGATGTTTCTGATGATTGATGTTGTTTTTAGTTTTTCTTTGTATTAGGTTTATTTAGAATAAAACTTATTCAAAAAAAAAAAACAAAAAAACATGCCCCTTGTGGTCTAAACAGGTCTAAATGTGCCTAAACAGGAACCAGGTATGGTAAAAATTTAATTGACTTTAATAGATGTAGTCAGTTAAAAACCTACCCAGCCATCATGCTGCCAAAACCTTGTCACACAATCTACGTGCAGGAGCTCACCATATATAGTGAACTCACGCTTTTAGCCTGAACAAGTCTACTTGATCCATTATTTGCACGTTATAGAAAGAAAATTCACAAAACTCTTTTGACACTGCAGCATCCAACACTGTGTGAGTGGCAATTTCTAGGGAATTCAGATTCCAAGTCCTTCAGGTGGTTAAATTGTATCCTCGGTGCCACACTGAGTACCAAGTGGACACTACTGGGAGAAAGTAACTGTATAAATAGCAGCGGCACACCTCATTCTCCCTGTGAAATGCACTTTCAACTGCTCACGCCCACCAGAGTTACTAGTATTGAAGGTCTTCACCCTCTTTGTTTTACTGACGGCAGTGAAACCACCACCACTACAGAAGCAGCACAGAACAGATCTCTTCTGGTACCACATAAACCTCCTTCTCCAACTTAGCATCTCCCAGAAGTGTTGGACTACAAGTCCCATCATTCCCCACTCAGGATGGGCAATGGCATTGTTGGCTGCCAATGATGGGAATTGGATTCTGGCATTTCTGGGACATTTGTTGAAGGCTGGGAAAGGCAGAGCTGAAATGTGCCAATGTCAACTGAAAATATCAGTGATGAACTTTCATAGGAGCAATGTAGAAGCGAGAGCCAGCTAACCACCTGAGAGGCCAGAAAGGAGTGGCCAATGGCAAAAATCCAGAGTGTTGAGGAGGGAGAGAAGGGTGTTGCTGATGTTCCTCACTAATCATTTTTAAACATTAATAGCCAGCCCAATAAAAAACTTGATGCGCAAAAGCTTGCTTACGTCTTTGTGGTTTTTCAGCTGATTCCAACATATATATGCAAGCTTATATGCTTGCTTTTTTCCTGACAGGTTCACACTGCCACCCGCAATCTGTGTCTAGCTTGGGGTAACAACCACCAAAGCAAGAAAAACATGACTATTGAGCAAAGGGAATCTATGGATTCAAATATGCACCTTCAAAAGTACTCTTAAGCCTATCCTCTAGGAAGACTGACTTGTGAGAAGCAGTCACCCATAGCAGGAATTGAATATGTGGGGGGATTGGGGGAGTGAGATTTCTGCTGTTGCTCAACTTTTGTACAAAGATAGGGTAAGACTGCAGTTATAGGTAATACCTGTGTAGGAGTAAGCTCCCTTGAATCCAGAGAGTAGATCTACTGGAAAGTGAGTTCCATTCCTTGATCCAATGCAAAGGAAAACTGACACCATAGTCAGACATAAAGCAGGACTCCCTGCTAGTCTTTATTACCAACGTGCCAGGACTCTTCCTTCCCCAAGGTGTCTGCAGCTTGCCTGAGTGGTGTCAGCATCTACTACCTTCCTCTGCGCTTATGGGACTGGGCAAATGGTCAGCCTTGTTTTTCTCACACCAATATCTCCAAAGGTACAAATCTTGTTTCATTAGGGATTCCTCTCTCTGTACATGTAGCTCAGACCAACCCAGACTTTTCTGCCCTGTAGAGACAGCAGGATAAGTGGCAGTCTATAGAAGATCAGCTGTACCAACTGGAGCAGTGACAGGCGCAAACTGAGCAGATTTCAGAGCAGGTGTGCAGATCTCAGTAGGAATCACAGCCAGTCAAGTGACTGTCCAGCTTCGGCATCCTTGCACAGGCAGAACGACACCCAAACCTTGCAACCAGGCATCAAAGCTTTTTCTTCGCATATTCCAGAGCTGCTGCCAGGACACTCTGCAAGTTATTGGCGCTCCCCATGCCCTTGGCTACAACTTCAGAACCTCCTGCCTTGCCTCCCATTTGAGTACAGACAGCCAGGGCCCAGTCAGCAGCAGAAAACACGGGCAAGGAATTCTAGGGAAGGAGACAGGGAAGAAGTAGTTAGCTGAAACGCTAGGAATAAAGCAGTGGAGCAGACATGGACGTTGGCTTCTCAAGGCGGAATGACTGGCAATATCACAGGTGCAAAGCTCTACAGCATATTGTGCACACTGCGCAGCCTCCATTGCACAAATACTGAAAATCTATTTGACACAGAACTCTGCATCCAGGAACCTGATTACTTTTGCTTCTTTTTAAAAGAAGGTGTGATTCTGTTCCTTACAATTACAATGATGCATTATACACAAGCATAAAAACAGGTTCAAAATCAAAGGAAAGGCTAGGAAGGGCATGTACTGATCCAAACACAAGGCTTCAGTTTTGATCTGCCATGAGTATATGTTGTCCATCTGTCACTGATTCAAGCCTCTGTGTTCCTTTCTGCAATTTCCACCATTTATGCTAAGTACAGAATGTGTATTCTCTTGTTGAGAAACCAGCCAACTAGGTATAGATTAACATTTTGCCTGAGCCAAATGACTGGTGTTCTCCAACACCATGAAGGTCTGGTCATGGGAAAGCTTCAGTCCTGGATCCTGTGTAGAAAAACACTCAAACTGCTGACTTGGTGTTTTTGATCAGTTCTTCTACACTGTATCGGCAATTACATTTCACAATGGAGACAGCACTTAACGAAAACTTGTATACCAAACCCCAGATTTGTATTCTCCAGCAAGACAGAGGCAGACACTCCTATGGGACATGATAATTGTGCATACTATCCGTAAGGGATCAGCGGGGCTTGTTGATCCTTGTAAGGGGGGAAACTGGAGGGGCTTCTGGAGGGGGGAAGCTGCAGCAAGACTGTCAGCAGGGACCCACCTGATCCCTGACTCTGACGGAGCTGAGGAGGCAACACATGGGGAGCAGGAAGGGGGAAGCGGTGAGGTGGCAGGAATGCAGAGAGGACTGAATTCCTGACAGAATGGGAACACCTGGTGGAGGGCAGGGAGGCAAGGCTAGATGCGGGGAATAAAGGGTGACTGAAAGAGCAGATAGGGGAGGAGATGGCAGGGGAAGAGGACATGAAACAGCAAGAGAGAAAGGAGAATGAGCAGGAGCACACAGGTGGCAGGGCTGGGGATGAGGGCACAGCCCAGCCATGGGCAGGTTTGGGCACTCAGGGAAGGCGGTGATGGGTGCAATGCGAGAGGAGCTGTCACTGGCTTGGGGAAGGGGCTTCAGGAGGGCACGCAATGTGAGGGCTGGGCGGCAGGAGCGTTACAAACAGCCCTTGCTCAAGAGAGCCCCATCCTAGCTGATGGAGTCCAGAAAAGAGCAAACAGGGAGCTCACAGAGGCCTGGGAACCGCAGGGATGATGACCAGCAATGAGGGGTGCAATGCCTGTAAGAACTGGGACCCCAGGAGCTAGCCCTCTGACCTAAGAGGGGAGCAAAAAGGCTGTCACAACACACCTGCAAGTGCAGAATGAAGTTTTTACTCACTGCCCGGGAGTATGTGTGAAGGTGGAGGCAATGAAGCAGGGGGGCTTGCCATTCCCCTCCCCACTGACCACATAACAGTATCCTTCACAGAAAGGGGGTGGGGGCACCACTAGCCCTTGGACATAAAGAAAAGGCAGGATCTTGCTTACCTTGGATACCTGGCAAGCACAGAGTACCTGGCCAGAAGCTTGTGGGCTCAGCAACATTACTGAAACTCCAGGTATTTTGTCACAGAGCTGGTTGACCACTTTCATCAGAATCTAGAAAAAGAGTGAAGGTGTTGTGTTTACTACACTAAAATTCCCTTAAGATCATGCAATGTTTGTAATTCTAATTTAAGCAATGTCTGCCAATTTAAATGGTGTTTTCAATGTCTTGAGGAATTTGTGGGACATCATGAAAAGGAGGTCAGGATGATAAGAGTTATGTTCCAAGTCAGCAAGATAGAATTTGCATTGTTTGCAAGGAAAGTAGTGGAAAAGGAAGATCCTAAAGGATGTTGCGCTGTAGCCTTCCCTAGCCTGATTCCTTTCAAATTTGCTGGGTTGCAACTCAGCATGCGCCAGCCAGCATGTTGCTCTAGGTACAAGAAGCCATGGGAAAAGGAGAACACAACCTCCAGGAAAGGACTAGCCAGTCTCTTGCAAAGGAACTGTTGAACCTTTCTGATCTGTCCTTTTTCAGATCCAACCTTCAGAATTCTCGCTTTCTCGGGAACTGAGAAAGCTCAGCCCAGCCTGATTACTGCCACCATGAATTAGCTGGACCTGTGAGCGAGCAGCTGGTAGTCACTGCCTGTTATTCAAGAGAAATATAGGCAGTCCCCAAGTTACAAATGCCCGAGTTACAAACAACCGGAACTTATGAAACTAATGCCATAAAGCCTATTAATTTTTTAAAATTACTGAGTAAAATTGTCATTACCATCTAGGAATAGGAAGTGAAAGGGTACAGTGGAAGGCCTCCAAAGGAGACTTTCCTGCCTCACCTATCCAGAGAGGGAAATCCCTCCGGCATTTCGTTGCTGCAAGGAGGTGGCACAGGTGAGTTTGGCTGGTTGGGAGGAGGGAATAGGGATATGCGTGTTTTTTCCACTTTCATGGGGGTTCTGCACCCCTAACCCCCAGATGTGGAGGGCTGACTATTCTTGATCTGATTTACATACAAATCCAACTTAAAGACAAATTTCCATTTTCTTGGGAACAGAATTCTTTCATAACCTAGGGACTGTATGTACAGAGCTGGCAGAAACTCACAGAGGGCGATTCAGCAGGGATGGCATCGATGATGACCGCCTGGTTTGAATACTTTTCTAGCAGGGCATGTGCTTTCTTTGCAGCCTAGAGGAAGAAATACATAGTACATTAACAACTGCAGTGAAAATGATACAAGTTTTGTATCCAGTTTGCACGTACATCTCTGCCATAGCTGATTTTAGCTATTCTTCTCTCTATCAATAAGGTCAAGAAGAAATCCGCCTTTCTGATACATTGTTTTCTCATGCTGCTTTCAGGATTGCCTGATGCTGGGTCCTTACATGTTTGGTTTCCATTTTCCGAACTGCTGTATTGGTCGTACGCTGCAGTGCTTTGAGAATGGCCTGTTGTTCCCTTTTCTGCCATTGAGGCATTGCGGTATTGTTCACTATCTGCAAAATAAATTGACACCATAATTGCATTGGCTCCTCCATGCATCCCAGCGATTTATGTCTGCAGGAGCGAGAAGGAAAGCAGAAAGGAAGTGCCAGTGATTCCACTGAAGGGCAGGATTTTAATTTCGATGGGCAAGAGAACAGAGCTGGCCTCCTAGCAAGTGAAGCCTTAATTATACTCTTTGGATGTGATGGACACTCATGGAATGCGTCAGCCCTGCAGCAGTAGGTGTCATGGTGCCAGCTGTCCCTGCCAGAGCTACCCAGCAAAGGGGCCATGCTCTGGTTGCAGGCCATTCCCGTTGCTGAAATCAAGGGAAGGGAGACAGACAGGCCGATCCCGGATGTCAGTCAAAGCAAGAAGGAAGGGGCAAAAAGAGAAGACTCATTACAGTAACATGTCCTGTGATTAACCAGTCAACCAAGGATATGCAACTTTCTATTTGCAGTGAGCAAGCCAATTTTATATGGGGTGGGTGGATGGAATGAACCTCGGCAAATGTTTCATTGCATGTTAAATTATCAAACCACCAAAGACCCAAAGCAGTCACTGATCCCACTTTATGCCATGTAGCAGCTCTCTAGCAGGTAAAATAAGTATTTCCTTGGGGCTCATTTGTAATTCTTTTAACAGGTCATTGGAGAACATGAATTGGCTTTTGTAGATTACTCGAAACAGGCGGAGAGCAAAGTCATGCACAAGCATTTAAAAATATTTTCTTGGGCCCATTTGGTAAGAAGGCAGGCAGCACTCACCTTCATCAGGTGGCCGGTTTCCTTGGAAAGTCGCTGTGCTTCGTCAAGTGAAGCTGCTCCAAGTTTCACTCGTGCACTGAGGGAGTCCACTTCCTTAGCCAAGTCCTGGCCTGTTTCCCGAGCCTGGGGGAGTAATAAAGAGCTAGCACTTTTCAAGAGCGTTAATCTCTAACAGAAGTGGATACACAGAGTGCAACAGGATATTTTCATAACTTAGGGGATTAAATTTTTAAGAGAAATGAACAGTTCCAGTTGCAAGAGAAATGGGAAAAGGTTTCCAGGGCCTAGAACATGGCACTATCTGACCCTTGGATTAAACCCTTAGATTAGATTTAATTGATCACTGAAGAAGCGTTGCTGAAAAAAATCAGAAGACGGGCATTTGAGATCTCAAGGGGAAATGATCCTGGATATTTCTCACTATTGATAAAATATGTCAGCTAAGAAAGCAAGCACAAATTGGAGTGGAGAGGGAGATGAGCAAGGGGCTGGGAAAGATCTTTTGCATAATGTTTTGTGTAATACTGAAATTAGAAAAGAATGTTACAGAGGACAAAACGTGCCTTCTGTCTACCCAGTAAAAGTTAAATTCTCAAAATGTCAACAAAGCCTGGGCAATTCCTGCCACAGATCACCATTGCTCAGGAAATGTGCAAAGAAATGAGAACAGAAATCAGTGAAGGTATTTGCTTCCCTTTGGTTCCTGTTTAGTTGCCTGTCCCTCAACACCCATTTACCAGGCAGTCCAGGAATCTCCCCTGTGATTAGCCAGGCTTTATAAAGGCAAATTGACTCCTGGGTTGTGATGAGCATGGAAGTGAGCACTGTGGAAGGCACAGCAATTGTTATTCTGCAGCGGCAGAAGGTGTGCTTGCTAATATTTACTGACACCAAAGGAACACATGGACATTAATGGTGTTTAAGAGTCCCTCACCTGTTTTGAATTTGAACAATCAAGGCAGGTTTAGGCTAACAGACCACACAACAACAGATCTGGACTAAGAGACTATACAGTGGTGAAACTGGTTAGGACCTGCAGCTGGCCAGTGAAAAGCCCACAAACTCAAAAGAGATTTATTTTAGCCTGCATTTAAGCTGATTTAATTAAACATGCAAAGACTTTTTAAACTTAGCCCATGGACTGATGAGTTTGTGGAGAAAATGTTGAAAAGTTTATTTTGGTACCCTGGATACTGAGAATACCTGTTAACTTTCTTAGTGCACTTAACTGGACAGCAGAAAGCAATCTGTAGCAATCTGCCCAATCCAAACTGGGAGTTTGTTATGTGAACATATAAAAAATAGTACCCTGCATTGTCCATGGTTTATTCCTAATAGATTCTGTAGTTTGACCTAAATGATCATCATGCTGGCTCTGTATTATCAGGACCAGCATGGCTCCAGATACAGTTGCTGGGGAACATGAGCTGAAGGCAGACTGTGAAATGCTGGAATCGATGAGCCCTTAGTTTGATTCAGCCCGGCTCTTCTTATATTCTTACAGAAGGACTGTGCTGAAAAGTAGTGAAGTGGGCATGCTACCTGCTCTGCTCTTCAAAGGCTGCTTTGCAGCTGAAACATTTGGTTAGCCATAATCATCATTCACATTCCAAGATAATGTGGCTCAAGCCTTATCTTCTTATAGCCTAACTAGGGTTATCTGTAGGTCACTGGATTACTCCAAGGAATCTCTGAACATCACTCACTAGAGGATACCCACTCATTGGTTTACACAGTGGGCAAATCTGCATGATCACCAGCAGATTAACAGGTCAGGCACCCATCATGTGCCAGCCTGACTTGCTTAATTGTGTTATCCAAACCCAGTGAAGGAGGGTTGCTGACAACCTTAACGAAACACCCCACAAAACCGCTGTGCCCACAAGGGGAATTAAGCAAAGTGGGCCAGCATGTGATGGTGTGCACAGTGTGGCTTCCTAACTGAGACAGTGATGCATGAACTGGGTCACCTCTGTGCTCTGAATGAAGAACAAGTAATGTCAAGTGCCCCTTATCATGCTAGAAATGGCTTAATTTCTTTCGGATTCCTTGTTTCTTTCTTTCTGAATTTCTTTCAGGTTTCAGTCTATGATCTTTGTCAGAGGTTACATGTTCAACCTCAAGAGAGGGTAGGTTGCCCATACATCAGACAAGTCTCTTCCTGCAGCACCTGTGGAACTTCTTCCTGTGGGAGGCCAAGTTAGCTGAGTTCCTGATCTGAATATTTTGGACTTGTTTTAAAGAAGTTTCATTTCTGCTTTTATTCTGTTGTGACTTAATGGTATTGCCATGTTGTGCTGTAAATAGCTTGGAGGGCCCCAGTGGTCAGAAAAGCCATTTCTAATTATTATAAAAATACAGGTGTATGGTATACAGGGAATTTCCTTTTGGAGCAGCAGCACTGGCAATTTGCTCTCTACTGAGTTTATAGTGGTATTGTTATCTGTGTGTGTACCTGCTAAGGAAAGGGTACAAATTCCTCCACACAACAAAACTGCTCTCTGAATCTGCATAAAAAAATTAAACCTGGCTGTGGATAAAGCAGTCGCTGTAACAATAGAACGAGCCCCAAAGATTGCCACTGGTTTCTTCTTTGAGTCTTGTTTTTAGAGGCACCATAACAGCTGCTCTCTCATCTGCTTCACAAGTGCGGTCCTGAATATTAGCAGTTCTCCTCTGGAGAGCAACATAAAAGGAAACTGCAAGTGAATATGAACCATTGACCCAAAACCTTGGGCCAGTGCTTTCAGTAATCTGGGCAAGCCCACCTTGTAACCCTCCCTCCTCCGTGTCAGGTACAGCCTTGCCAGAACTGTGACAGCATGGGAGATAACTAGACAAGCAGCTTAAGCAGCAGAGCAAAGAAACCCACAGCTCTCCGAACAATGTCATGTTTTTCTGCCTGCAGCCCAGAGGAAAGCTGGTTTTTCTCCTGCTAGGCACCAAAGTACACAAGGCCTTTTGGTCTAGAAGCATGATATAAATCTCAGGTAGCAATCAGATGGATTGGTTACTTGGAAAAAGCCAAGCTGTGCACATGAAGTGGATACATGTTCTCATAAGTGGTGGGAATGCAAATCCATAATGAAGTTTTGGGAAGAGGTTTTCAAAGATAGTAGTAAAGCATTAAGTTTAAATATTGAAATATGTTGTGAGATAGCACTACTCTCAATTTTTGATAGAAAATGATAGAGTTGGAATATCAAAGAATAACAAATTTAATAAAAGCTAAGAGATTAATTATAGCAAAGAAATGGAAAGGAAAACATGATTTTCAATTGAGTGATTGGTTCAGAGAAATTTGCAATATAGTTATTAATGCTGAATTACCTTGTGATATTAACGTGAAAAAGGGTATACAAAAAAAGAATAATTTTGATGAGATTTAGGGTATGTTTAGTGTTTCAAAAAGGGAAAGGATCTGAACCTTCACAGGAGTCACTGCAATTCTGGAAGGGGGATGGAGCTTTTTCAAATAATTTTTGAAAGTTTTTAACATGTATCTAATGGTTCCAGTGATCAGATGAAGCTTTTCTTTTGTATTTTAATTATATGTTTAATGCTGTATGCTATTATTTCAATTGTAAAGCTTTTTGGTCATTGTTTTTTACATTTTAAAATTTAAAAAGTAAAAAAAAATCAATGCTCTTGAGGGGGGCCTACATGAGAAACAACAAAGCTTCTACAAGTGCCTTCCCCAACTTGGTGCCCTTGCCAGATATACAGAGTTACAGCTTTCAGCATGGAAGTCACAGTCAAGTGCATTTTGCTTGAGCTTGTTGGGAATTGTACTCCAAGACATCTGGCTGGGGCATGTTAGGAGCTGTAATCCAACACATCTGGAGGATGCCAGTTTGGGGAAACTGATTTAGACCCTGCACAGCTTCTTGCTTGCTTTGGTCCTCCATCTTCTGTCTCCATCACCCTCAAGCTTGCTTCCCCCATACAGAATGACCCTCTTCCCTTTACCATTGCAGACACTGACCCAATGAATTATTGTGCAAACTTGATAAGCTTGCTGAATTGTTCCAAGTTGCAGAATTTGAAGGCAGATGAAAAGCAAGCGGGATGTTTCACAAGGACTTACTTGCTTGGCTTGCTCTCCAGTCACTGCAACTATATGGCTGATCCCTTTAACCACCTGCCGCTCAGAGATGACAGTGAAGTCTTGTACCGCTCCTGTCTGCAGAAGGTGCCTGGGCAGGAAAAGAAGAAACAAATGCAGCAGCGATAGGAGAAATGGATCCTCTCTTGCCTTGGGAAGAGGCCAAAGATTTGCATGTAATAAGACATCCGTTAAAATGATTCTTAATAGGATGCTGAAAAGGAAGCTTACATATTGTTTTGGCATTTTGCTCAGTCCAAAAAAAAAAAAATGGTTCTGCCTTACTGTGGGTTTTGGATTGTTTTTCATCCTGAGCTTACAAAGCGGCAGTGGCCAACACACAGACCATGGGCCACATGTGCCAACCCACAGTTTTTGAGCCTCCTCTCTGGCACTGCTGCTACATGTGCTGCTTATGGCGACATGCCCTCCTCTGTGCAAACAAGGTGCATGGGAAGCACGTGCCTGGTTCACCTGGAAAATTGCAGCGGGGGCCTTTACTGCTACTGCCATGGTAAACGTGATGATGCAAATTCAGTCATGGGTAGGGAGTCCTGTCCTGACTGCTAGACGTTACCAATCCCTGCTACGAAGAAATGAGATGCGCCTTTCCAGCAAAAAGAGTGTGATAACTGTGGGGAAGACTCTCTAACCTAGCTTATTATGATCAAGTGCGGTATTAAATTCTGTATAGTGGTAATATAGATTCTGGCCTTCCCCTTGCATCCAGGGACAGATGTGGGATTTTTAAGGACAAGAATGCCAGTTTGTAGGAATATTTCAAGGCCCGCGCAAAACAGAGAAAAAGGCAATACTTACGTTCCACAGCAGAGCTCCGCAGAGGTATGCATGGCTTCTTTTGACTCCTGAGCTAACACTCTCATCACAGGGGCTCCCACAGACACCACTCGCACCACATCTGGATAGAACTGAAAGGAGTGGGGAAGGAGGCCTGGATCAGCTGCACAGTCTCAGACTGCTGCGTGTATGGGATTACTGAGCCCAAGGAGCCGTGGTGAACCGGAACACATACAGCCTGCGGAGCTCCCACGATCAGCTTCATTGTAGGTTGCTTAGCATGTTGCCCGAACATGGAGCACCGGCTCTTTTAGGGCTTACACAATTCAGCAATTAACCCAACTACAAGGCTTTCTCGATTGTCTACTTCAGGGGTCTCAAACTCAACTTACCTGGGGGCCGCTGGAAGTAGAGTCTGGGTGAGGCTGGGCCGCATCAAGTATTCCACCACCGCGGTGTGGTGGGCCGCTCATCCCGCGGCCGGCCCGGGTGCCGCCGGCGCTTTGAAGGCCAGAGGGTCCCTCCCCCGTGCCCCACCCGTCCCGGCAATTGGCCCGCGGGCCGCGAGTTTGAGACCCCTGGTCTACTTCCTTTCCATTTTTTAGTCAATTTGGAACTGCATCTCAAAGGCATCATCTCAATGATCATATGGACATGAAATGTACCTGAAAGCAAATTTTAGGAAGATACAGAGTTGCCTGAGAATAACCCAGAGCTGCCTCAGGAATCCTGTTGCTCACTCCCTGTTGAGACCTTCTGAGATATGGCTTAAGTTAGTTCAGACTTCCTTCTGTCGCTGCCCTCCCAGACTTACTTCATCCAGTTTCCGGAGTCCCTGCACATCCTTTGTCTGCTGGATGGGAACTTCTTCCGTGTAGACAATCTCATTCCTTTTGATTGTCTCCTGGAGCACACCTTCTATATCTTGCAGTTGCTCAGTCTTTATAGGGGTCTATAATGACATCAGGCCTCATCAGAAAGACACAATGTGATGCGATATGGAGAATTAAGCACTCTATGGTGGCTGGAGGCCCTGAAGAGCAGGTGCCTGGTCTTCAGGATTCTATTCTGGCATTTAATACTGGTCATCCTTTTTGCCTTACTTTCTAAACAAACCAAGGCAAGAGTTCTCACACGGATGTGCTGAACCAATGTATTTCAAGGTTCATTTGCCAATGCTCAAAATTACAGGACCTTGAATCATTATGGTAATTTACCTGTTGTATGAACAGTACAGGATATCCACAGGAGTAGTTAATGTATGGCAGGTACTCAAAATATACCCCTCTCTGGATCAGTCTTCCACAACTGGGTATCCTCCAGATGTGCTTGACTATGCTGACTGGGCCTTGCTGGGAATTGCAGTCAATACATCTGGAAGACTCCAGACTGAAGCAGGCTGCTCTGGAGTACTGGCTGTTACATTACTGCACATACTGCAAATACAACTCCATTTTCTGTATTCAAAACTCTATCCCTGTACCAAGCCTCCTCCCTTGCTCCTGTTTCCTGACCCAGTTCTCCTCTACCTGTACTCACACAGAGGTAAGTACCTCTGCCCATTTTTTAACCCAGCAGAATGATGCATGGTCAGGTTAATCAGCAATTATACACTTCTCCACAACAGAAAGTGTGTTCTAGGCTATGGGAGATTTAAAGGATCCCATCCACCCCACACAGCTTCTCTCAGATCCGTTTCATCATGGCAAGTCCCCAGTTTGGTTGGGCCTTACACCACGAAGCCTGTGTAATGAAGAACCCAGACACCGCAGTTGCCGGCAGAAGAGGGGAAGTGTCAGGTGGACTCCAGTAACGGACGCTGCACAAAGTCTTGCACTTGCTGCTCTAACGTGGGGGGGGGGGGATCCCGCTCACCTTGGTGCTGACTTCAAATCGCAGGTACTCCGCAGTCACATGGGAGCCGTGCTGCTCTGTGCCATCTCCCAGGACTTGGCGGAGTGCAAAATTGAGCAGGTGGGTGGCAGTGTGGTTCCTCATACAGGCCAGCCTCTGTGCCTGAAATCAAAAGAAAGGCTTGGGATAAAAGGGCAGTGCTGGAAGGCTTTGAAGTGTTTTCCAGTCAAAGGGGAAGCAGAATGCAAAGCTGGCTGGCTTTTTTCCTTTCTTTTGTATACACTTAATGCGCAGCACAGTCATTTTGAGCATAGGACTTTATATTGGAAACCGCTGTATGCAGAGCCAGGCTTCTGGTCCACCTACCAAGCACAAGCTGGCTATGGCTGTCCAGCAGGGGCCTTCGTAACCCTGCTGCTCGGGCTTTGTTTTAACTAGAGATGCCAGGGGTTGAACCCGAGACCTTCTGTGAACTAAGCAGGTGCCCTGCCACTGAGCTACAGCCTCCTTTCTCCACCCCACCTTTGATCAGTGCCAAGAGAAACACAGCGCTCTACAGCAGGGGCACCGTGACAACACCTGCATGGATGGTACGGCTGCTTCTCATTAATCCTGTACAAAAAGGGGACTGCATCCTCCCGCACAGCCTAAGAGCTGGACCCTTGCTCCTTTTCCACAACGCTGCGTTTCCAACACATTTGCTGCTCAGAGTGATTAAGTTCCCTGAAAGAAATATAAGCTGCCTCAGATAACTACCCTGCAATTAAAAACACTTAAAAGCTAAGTAACAAAAGCAAAAAGAGTTGTCAGAACATATAGGAAATGTGCCATGTGATATTTCATGTCTGATCTGCAATTACTGATACAGGCAAGTTATTCCATCAGGAAGCCCTCTAAAGGGTTCACTAGCCTAACAAGGTCTACGCACGTAACTCAGTAGGGGCCTCCCTGAAACAGCTGTGGTAAAAAACAACAAAGAGCAAAAGCATCTTTTATATTAAAGGTAAAAGAGTCACGAGAGAGGCTTCATGTACATCATTTTGGAGATAAATGTATTGTTTCCAGGCAGCAATCGACCTTACCGGTCCATTCTGAAGCCTTAGAAGAATTCTTGATTAACAGCTTTGCATGAGAGTAAAGCTCAGTGAGTTAGGAACCTAGGAGGCTGCCCCATATCAAATCAGGCCATTGCTCTCTCTAGCCTGGTATTGCCAACACTGACTGGAAGTGGTTCTTTGGGGTTTCAGATAGGAGCCCCTCCCAGGCCCATCTGGAGAAGACACAGATTGATACTGGGACGTTCTGTATACAACGCAAGCGCCCTGGCACTGAACTATGCCTCCTCCTCTTCTCCCCAAAGTGCCTAGGACTGCAGCCAGAAATGTGGGCTAGAGAGAAGAAACACCACCCTGGAGGCATCTGCTTTTGCATATTTATTTATTTATCGATTTATATCCTGCCTTTTTCCTACAAAGGGCTCAAGGCAGCTTACATCATTCTCCTCCTCCTTCTTATCCCCACAACAACCCTGTGAGGTAGGTTGGGCTGAGAGTCTGTGACTGGCCCAAAGTCACCCAGTTGGCTCCATGGCTGAGCGGGGACTAGAACCCAGATCGCCTGAGTCCCAGTCCCGTGCTCTTCACCACTACGCCACACTGGCAAATCTCAGTCTCACTTGTTTCAGTCTGATATGGAAAGGAGAATTTTTGGTAGATCCATATCCTGGTATTTCAAGAATGAAAGTTATTATATTCAGGGTGGGAAACACCAGTGTCTGATGGAAAAGAAACCAGTAAGTCAGGGAACAAGGTAAACAGAGGTGACATATGAATCTATAACCCAGTATCCTAGAACCCTAGATTTCCTTTCATCGCTATGTTGCAGTATGCTTCCATTACCTTATCGCCCAGTTTGATCTGTTTATGCATGGTACAGTGGTACCTTGGCTCACAAACTTAATCCAATCCAGGACTCTGGTCGTGACCCAAACTGGTCGTGAGCCAAGTTAAGTTTGCCCATAAGGTTCAATATAAATAAAGTTAATCCGTTCTGTAACAATTTTTTTTTAATCAGAAAAATGTGAACCAAAAAACTTCCAGTTGATGTCACAGCAAGATCGGCAGCGAAGAACAGGAGCTCCATACTGTTCTACAGAGGGCCTTGGGAGGCCCATCCAAGCCCTGTCGCGGCAGGGATTAGAAGTCCGAACAGACTTCTGGCTTGTGGGGGGCGGTGGTCCCTCACCTGCTGGGAGAAGCTCGTGGATTCTCAGTGAACGGGACGAGGGGGTGCTCCCCCTTGCTAGCTGTTGGCACTGGCTTAATAGTGAGGAAGGAAAACTTAAAAGTGGACATCGGACCTGCTGGGTGAGCAAATAATCTTCTCAAAATATTGCCCTTAAAAGAACTTGTGAAACAAGCACCAGCTTAAATTTTAAAAAAGCCCTTCTTGACAGAGGGAGGAAACTCCCCCAGTGGAGTTTAAGCAGCAACAAATCTAGGGGAGATCAACTGAAACTGGGGAAATTTGAGACTTGGAAAGGAAGAGACTCTTTCTGTTTAATCTCCCCAAGGGCGAAGAATCAAATTTGAGCCTAGTGTACATTAATCGGTAGTAAAAGATTTCTCTTTTTTGTTTCGTTTCTGTATATCTCTTTCGGAGACGACATGGCGATCTGATCTTTTTTGGAGTTCGTGCATGAAAATGAAACTCTTTTGTTATAACAACAAAGTTTTTGCTACCACCCTGTGGCCATTTTATCCTATATCAGGTACACTGTCTACCTAAAAACTTTTATGACTCTTTGCTGCCACCTTGTGGCCATTTAGCGTCATAACAGGATACTTCAATAAATTGTTTCAATGTAATAATGGCTGTAACAACTTACCATTCAGAAGAAGGAGAAATAGCAACTACAGATCAACAAGAGGACAAACAGTTATTGGAACCAAAAGAAAAGAGAAAAGGTAGAAGCATGAAAGCTAAATACATATATATAAAATAAATGCTGTTCTTTAAATGGAAGGAAGAATCAAATTATTTTCTTTGAACATAAATGGGTTAAACTCACCCTCTAAGCAGAAAAGGACTTTTTCTCAACTTCAAAAACTGAAACTAGATGTAATTTGCTTACAAGAAACACTTATAAAAAGACAACACCATAAACTTTTGGAACATCCAAAACTTGGCAAGTTATTTATATTTTCCGCTCATCAAAAGAAAAGAGGTTTGGCTTTATATATTAAAGAAAAATTGGATTCTGAGTATATTCTTGCAGATGAAGACAGTAGAATTCTACTGGTTAAAGTGACAATAAAACACAAAAAGGTGCTTTTAGTGGCGATCTATACTCCAAATGACCACCAAGAAGCTTTTTACCAAAAATTACATACTTTACTCTTACAAACTGAGTATCAAACTTGGTGTTTAATGGGAGACTTTAATGCAATTGTCGACCAAAAAATAGACTACAAGAGTGATATTAATGGAAAGAAAGGAAGGAGAATACTTCCAAAGTCCTTCTTTAATATATTAGAGGAATTTAGACTAACAGATGTCTGGAGACACAAAAATTCAACCTCTGCCAAGTATACTTTCTACTCAAATAGACATAGGTCATGGTCTAGAATTGATATGATTTGGATAAACCCAGAGTTAATTCCAGACTTGTTAGAAGCTGAAATAGATACAAATGTCAGAGTCAATCACAATCCTATAACCATGACCTTGAAAGGAACAATAAAAATACCTAGATGGACATTCAATAAATCTTTATTAAAAGATAAAAACTTCAAAGAAGAAATAACAAAGGAATTAAAATTCTTTTCCCAAGAAAATAAAGTTGATTACCTCTCTACAAAATGTCTGGGATACAGCTAAAGCATATCTTAGGGGCTTGATTACAACCTACTCAGCAAAAATGTGAGCCGCCCCGAGGCTTCGGCGAATGGGGCGGCATAAACATGTTTTAATAAATAAAAAATAAAATAAATAAAAATAAATAAAAAGAGAAAACAAGAACAACTTAAACTAATAGATGAGCTATCTAAGTTTGAACAGGAGTTACAGGAAGACCCATCAAAAAGGACCTCAAGATACAGATGAACACTCTAAAACATAAATGGAATCTCTTAGAGACAAATGAGCTAGGTAAACAAATGAAATTGACCAAACAGAATTTTTTTGAAAATGCTAACAAACCAGAGAGATGGTTAGCATATAAATTAAAGAAGAAAAGAGATTAATACCTAAGTTGAAAAATGGAGGACAACTACAGGTACAAAGTGCGTCAATTAAGAAAATAGTGGAAGATTCCTTTACAAAGCTATACCAAGCTAAAGAAATATCAATTGAGAAAGTTTATGAATACATTCAAAAGGAAAATCTACCAAAACTGTCAGAGAAATATAAAAAAAATATTAAATGAGGCAATAACAATGACAGAAGGAATTGAGGCGATTAAAAGACAAGAGAATGATAAAACCCCTGGCTCGGATGGATTACCAGCGGAGTTTTATAAATCTTTTGAAGGAATTTTATGTACACCTCTAAAGGATATATGCCATGCTGTATTGTCAGACGCTAAAATACCAAATACCTGGTCTGAGATAAATATTACCTTAATTCCGAAAGACGACAGGGACTTGACACAGATTCAAAATTAAAGACCTATATCACTTCTAAATGTGGATTATAAAATTTCTGCCTCTGTAATGGCAGAAAGATTGAAGAAATACTTAATAGACTTTATACATACAGATCAAAATGGTTTCTTACCTAAGAGACAAATTAGGAACAATGTGAGAATTATTTTGGATATCTTAAAATACTATGAAATCCATTCTGAAAAATCAATGACACTATTGTTTCTAGATGCACAGAAGGCCTTTGATAATGTTAATTGGCAATTCATGAAACAACAATTAGTACAAATGGAATTTGGTGGGAAATTTATCAATGCAATATCAAGCATTAATCAAAAACAGACTGCTAGAATAATAATCAGTGGAGAATTTACAAACATTTCAGACATTGAAAAGGGCACAAGACAAGGATGTCCATTATCACCATTGTTATTTATATTGGTTTTAGAAGTTCTAAATAGAAATGTTAGAGAAGATACGGATATTAAAGGTGCCAGAATCAGAGATGAAAGCTATAAACTTCAAGCATTTGCAGATTATTTAGTTTTTATCTTAGAAGATCCTTTGGTAACGACGCCTAAACTTTTAAAAAAGATAGAAGACTATGGTGAAGTTACCGGGATGAAAATAGAGAAAAGACTAAACTGTTAGTGAAAAATCTTACATTGGAGCAAAAAACAACCTTGATGGAACAAGTAGACCTTCAAATTGTTAAAAAGGTTAAATATCTGGGAATCTTTCTTACTGCTACATTGAAAGAAGATAACTATGTTAAACTACGTAAGGAGATTAAGAGTGATCTAGAAAAATGGGCTAACTTGCAATTATCATTGTTGGAAAGAATAGCAATAGTTAAAATTAATATATTACCAAAGCTTTTGTTTTTATTCCAAACAATTCCTGTAAAAATTGATAAAAAGTTTGTCTATGATTTAAATACCCAAGTTTTGAGATTCATATGGCAAAAGAAGAAATCAGGGATTAAATTAAAAATGCTCCAGGAGGCCAAAGGAAATGGGGGCTTTGGCCTTCCTGATTGGATGCTGTATCATCAAGCTTGTGTTTTAATGTGGTTAAAAGAATGGATAACTCTAAGAAATAAGAGAATTTTATATCTTGAAGGGCATGATTTACAAATGGGATGGGATGCTTCTATGTGGTATGAGAAGTGTAAAACACATGGCTATTTCTTAAATCATTATACTAGAAATTCATTGATGTCGGTTTGGGAAAAGCTAAAGACAACGCTTTATACTAAGTTGCCAAGATGGCTTTCTCCTATGGAAGCTCTTATATATCCAAATGCATTGAATTTTAATATGATTGTGAGATATGATGATATTTTAGATAATGATGGAAAATTGAAACTGAATCAAGAACTACAACTGCAGGGTATTGCTCTTTCTTGGTAGCACAAGGATCAAATACAATCGAGATATATTAAAGATTATAGAATGTATGGTTTTTATAAGGAGCTAACAACATTTGATCAAATGATTTTAAAACCAGATGAAAAAAATGATTAAAAGATTGTATAATTTTATTTTGGGCATGAAAATGGAAGATGAACAAGTTAAGGAAACTATGATAACATGGGCACAAAATTTTGGATATAATATTGAGTTATAGAAATGGCAAAAGCTGTGGGAAAGAAATAGTAAGATAACCTTAGCAACATCATATAAAGAAAACCTTTATAAAATGTTTTACAAATGGTATTCATCACCAAATAGATTAGCAAAAATGTTTCCGAATATGTCAAATGGATGTAGGAAATGTAAACACAAACCTGGTACTTTTTATCATTTGTGGTGGACTTGTATTAAGGCAAAAAAAATACTGGGTTAAAATACACAAATGGCTTGAGGAAATGCTACAAAAACCTTTAACATTTAAACCTGAAGTTTTTCTATTAGGCATTATTCCTGATGATTTTCATAAACAAGCTATATACTTGATTTTACATGTAATTACCGTGGCGAGGATTGCATTTGCACAATACTGCGGGAGCAAAGAGCCACCTACCAAAGAGTTGATTTAAAAAATGGTTTTGGATTGCACGGAGTTGGACAGATTGACCTTGTCTTTGAAGGAGAAGGAAGATACATACTTCTATCAAACTTGGAACTCTTTCTATTATTGGTTAGAGAAACAGGATTATGCGTAGAATTGAATATGGTTATTGACCGTAAAAATGAATAAGATGTCAACCCAGTATGTCCGATGTCTTGAATAATTGTTGTTTTAGTGCTAGATTTGTCGAGAAAATAAAAAATATTGGAAAAAAAAAACGTGAAGCGAAGTGACAAAGAACAACAAAGATCGCAGCCATCTCCCCCCCGCCCAGCATGAGCACGGCCATCTCCCCACCCCCCCAGCATGATCGCGATCACGCTTGTCATCCCTGCATGCGCCCGTCATCCTGGCGTGCTGGGGTGTAGGGGAGAGACGGGCGTGAATGGGGTGCACTGGGGGAGGGAGAGACGGGCGTGAATGAGGCATGCTGGGGGAGGGAGAGACGGGCATGAACAGGGCACGCGGGGGGAGGGAGAGACGGGCATGAACAGGGCACGCGGGGGGAGACGGGCGCGAATGCCGGTGCAGTGGCGGAGGGGAGATGGACGTGATCGTGCTGAGGGGGAGATGGCTGAGATCGCAGTTGCGCTCCTGCAGGAAAGATGGGCGCGCTCCTGCAGGAAAGCAGGTGTGATCTCGGCCATCTCCCCCGCCGCCCCCAGCACGATCACAGCCATCTCCCCACTCGGGGCGGGGGGGTGGGGAGATGGCCACGATTGCGGTCACCACCCAATGCGGAGTTTGCAACCTGAGTGAAAATTTTTATGAAATTTTTGTTCGTGACCTGATTTGGTCATGAACTGAGGTGTCCATGAGTCAAGGTACCACTGTATTGGCAAAGCACAGCATAAACCCAGGAATTCACTGTTGTCACCCACAAGGAACATTACCTCATCCACAAAGAGCTGCACTTGGTCCCCAGCCTTCAGCATGTCAGACGCAATCACTTCGTGGACAACATAGCCACCAAATATTTGCACTGATGCCACGGAAAAAAGTGCATCCTCAAAAGCAGAGAGAAATGGGAGAGTTAGCACAGAATGCATTTTGAAAGGAACATGGATAACACACTGTAGCAGTTTTTAGAGAGTGTCTATTTGCCAGTCCTGGGAGTTCGCACATTATTCCTGGGGCAAAGCACAAATGGGATTCAGAAAAGACAAGTTCCCTGTGCTTGGCAGGAATGCTGCAGGTGTCCGTGTGTCTCAGGCCCACCTTGGAACTCACCTTACACATGACCAATCCATTCTCTATTCCTTTTGCTAACCATGATATGTTGCAAGGATCAGCATGAACCCCGTAACACCTGCACTTGAGCGTGACTTGCCTGGCTCACTAAGGGATGAGGATGACAAACAGAGGAAATGGTTCACTTCCTTACTGAAGCAATCATGATACATCAGCCTAACTACTACGTTGCTGAGGCATTAGAATACCTCTGTCAAATGACAGTTTTATCTCCTTCCTTTTGCTTACATGGGGCATGATGGTTAAGTCACAGACAGGAAGTCCTAGACCAGCCTTCCACAGCCAGCGTCTTCCAGATGTTTTGGACTTTCACTCCCATCAGTCCTGATCATCATGGCCAGTGTAGTCATGGACTACTGGTCAGATGGACTCCAAAATATCCGATGGGCATGAGGTTAGAGGAGGCTGGCTTAAGCAATGGCAAGGCTGGCAATGCTGATCCCTGACAGCAGCAAAGATGGATCTATTTCACGAAGGCCATGCCTGAGAGCACTGACAGGGGTTGTGAGGTGTCCATTCCAGATGCAGGCAGTGAAGAAACTTACTTGCTGCCCCACACGGACCATGTAGCCTTGATCTGATGCCTGGCCCCCTTGCTCAGCATAAAAGCAGGTCCTGTCCAGGAGGACCCCACAACGTTGTCCTCCACCATGAACTTCCTTTTGGAGAGAACCGTCTTTGTACAGCATCAGGACAGTGGCGTGACATGGCTTGAAGACTGCCAAGAAAAAAAAGAACATCATGTCCCGCCTATCAACATCATGCTAGTTCCACAGGTGCCCAAAACAGCCAGCCAGTTATTACGTACTGCAATGCTAAGATGCTTGTCTGTGTTCAGGCTATGAAATCTTCCAACTCCTTTAGTGCACACTGACAGGGAAAATGGGCTCACAGGCCACAGGGACAAGGCAAAGAGGATATTGCTTTGAAACCCAAACCAATCTTTCACTGCAGTCATTCTGTTATACCCCATGTCTGTATTGCATAGAAGGATCCATTTCTAGAAGCTCCTTCTTGCAAAAGTCCAGGCCTCTGAGCTCAAAGCAATTTCTCATTTGCAGCTTCACAGCACTCAGGGGCCAACACTGCTAACAGCTTCCCCATTTATATCACACAACAATCTCGTTAGCACAACAGACTAACAAGTGCAGGACAGTAGCCAAACAGCCAAAATTGAGGACGTGAAAATTCAAAGAGCTTCAAAGACCCCTTCCCCTGGCAGCCACCATTTACAATATTGCACATTGTTGTACAATGTCGCGCTGAAGTACCATTCAAACTAATGGGAGATAAGTGAACACAACTGTGTACTAGACTGTAAAGGGATGGACCAACTACATGAATGGGAGGCACAAATTCACTCAATACTTTTGTCATAATCGAGTGTCATAATTTACCCTCTCCTAAAATTTCCACCATCAACCTGCTCCAGCTCAGGACAATGTACGTCCACCGATGTTGCATGATGCAGAACATCTGAAGTTGCCTTAGTCTATTGTGGAATATTTGGTCATCTAGTCCAGGGTCATCTTTCACCTTGAGAGCCAAATTCCATTTCAAAGACATTCTTGGGGCTGTATTTTAGTGGTGGATGGTGCCAAAGGGAAAAGAAGCAGAACCAAAAATGCTAGCAGATCATAGCTTAAAGCTCTTCCTACCCTTTTAGAACGGGAAGACTGCACAAAACAATATGATCAGTGATAAGGGAAAGGATGCCCTCTGGGTAACCCAGGTAGAATGGATTTAGCCACCAGGCCTGACATTCTGAATCTCTAATTAGCCAAATACTTTCTACTGTGACTGGCAGTAACTTTCCAAGGTCTCAAGCAAAAGCCCCTCACCTGATCCATTGGTGCCTGGAGATGCCGGGCAGCACCTTCATGCTGCAGCACAAGCATAACAATATCCTTTTCCTCTCCCCTCACTTCACCTAAGCTTGGGATTAATTCATGGAGACAGTTCAAGCCCCAGGCAGTTTGGAAACTCAACATGTCATCACAGACAAAACCTCACCCTTCTCCCATTGTGGGAAGGGCAGAATGTCCTGCAACCCATCACAATGACTCCTTAATGAGGCTAGTGGAAATACAGGCACCAAGTCACTAAAGGGAAACCTCAGTCGCATTTTATCTTGTTATTATAGTTTTATTTACTTAGTGGACTTATATGCTGCCCCATTTGCCTAAGCCTCGGGGCGGCTTACAAATAAATAAATATCATTAATATAATAAAATGCAATTGGAGACATCCTGGCCAAAGTTGTTAAAATCAATAAATAAAATCAACAATTAAAATGCCATTTAAATAAAAAGGTCTTGGCCTGGCATCAAAAAGCAAATAACGACAGCGCCAGGTGGACCTCTCTGGGGAGTGCATTCCATAGGTTGGGCGCCACTGCAGACGTAAGCGCTCCTTTACGTAACCAGGACTCAAGCCGTTAAAGGCTTTATAGGTGATAACCAACACCTTGAATTGGGCCCGGACTTCAATGGGGAGCCAGTGAACCTGACAGAGGACTGGAGTTATGTGAGCACAATGCCCAGTCCCCGTCAGCAACCTGGCAGCTCTGTTTTGCACCAATTGAAGTATCTGGACCGTCTTCAAGGGCAGCCCCACATAGAGCGCGTTACAGAAGTCTAATCAGGAAGTTACTAATGCGTGAGTCACTGTCGCCAGGCAGTTGTTCTCCGTGTAGATTGTTTATATTTATTGTTTGTTTATATTATATTGTAAACTGTCCTGAGACAATTGGTTTGCATAGGACGGGATACATATGTTCTAAATAAATGAATATCTGGGCCTGTACAAGTATGAATCTCAGCAGCAATCAGTCCTTACTCCTTTCTGAAAGTGATAACTAATATCTCTGTATGTCTTCAATTCACAAAGGAAGGTTCTCATGACATATTCTTCATGGTGAAGTGAGATCTCCATCGTAAGAACTGTCCAGCTCAACCCATTTGCTGGTCTTGTAATTTTTTGTGATATATACACAACCATCTCTTGAATACCACCCCCTTGGGTTGCGTATTAGATATTTTGCTCTTCAGTCAGTTGGATATTTAGTAATGGGAGGCAAAGAGGAAGGCAGTAAGGTAAACTTAAGCTGATTGTGTGAAATCTTTTAAGCTTTACTCCTCTGATAATTACATCAAACTCCACTTTGTGTTGTATGAAACAGCGACACCTTGAGCCTTGCTGAAGTAATGACAAGTACCTTGTGCTGGGATAAACCAGGGGCTTTGCATTCCTGCCAGAAACCTATTATGTTCCAGCTGTCTAACAATACGAACACTCAATGTTATATGATCTGACAGTTCTGGATCTAGTTGAAGCTGACAGGAGTTTAATACTCAGATAAAGCAATTTCTTATCAAATAGAACTGACTGCTGCGTGTACTTTTCCTGACAATAACATGGATACCTGTGAGAGGCAGGGCCAGCTCCAGCCATTTTGCTGTCTGAGGCAGAACAGCAAATTGTGTGCCCCCCATCCCCAGAATTAGAAACAGAATTATAATAAGAGAACTTAACAATCTGCTGCCATTTTATGACATCCCAGATCTCCTGCTTGAAAAATGCATTTTTGCATTTTCGGCATTGGTCTTTTTGTCTTTGGCTCTGTCCACTACTGGAATGTGGTCCCCAAGGCTTCTCCAAAATTCAATCTGGCCCTTAGGCTAGACAACTTTCAATACCCTGCTGTACAAACTACAACATTTGTACTCAGAAGCTGCCGGGGAACAAATCTGAATCGGCTCTTCTGCAGGGTGTCTCTCTGGGTACAGCTTCAGGCACAGCTTGGTCCTTACTGTATCTTCCATTGGGCCCAAGTTCATATGAATACTTGAGAGAGTCGTCAGTGGCAGGCACGCCATCCTGCCTCAGCTTGGCCAATGAATGCACGTCCAGCTGCAACCCGGTGCTCTTATCCTGCTGGGGCTGAGCTTTGCGCTGCACAAGTGTAGAAAAACAGAGGGGGTGCAATGACAGTTCAAGCATACCAGATTTGTAAAAAATATGTAGAGTTCCTGAATATTGGCATCTCCGCAAGCAATCTGGGATTAGGGTCCAAATTTTGGATTCATGAGAATCTCAGGTCCCCCTGTGCCTGTAAATCAAACTGGTGGAGGGTCTGCACTTTCCCATGAACCTCACTCCAACCTTAAGTCTGTTGCAGCTGCAGAATTCAGTGGGCTTGTTCATACAACACAACAACCCTCAATAGGTTAATTTACGCAGACGCTATTGCATAGCGCCAGCCAACCATGGGTGCTACATTTCATGGAACATGTGGCCTCCAAGCTTATCATGGGTTGTCATGTTCTACCAACCCAGGTGGCAGGGATTCTTTGAGGGGTAGCCTGCTTTCCACTAATCCTAAAACAAGACTGGAGTTGCATGACACAGTAAGTCATTGCAAGCCAAGCACCCACAAATATACAGCATGATGTGACAGCCCCTGCAGGAAAATTAACCCATGGTAGTCTGTCTTGTTATAGAATCATAGAATAGTAGAGTTGGAAGGGGCCATGAAGGCCATCAGGTCCAACCCCCTGCTGCTGCAGGACACCAATTTGCAGCATCCCACTCAGATGGCTGTCCAGGTTCTTTTTGAATGCCTCTAGTGTGGGAGAGCTCACTGCCTCTCTAGGCAGCTGATTCCACTGTCCTATTGCTCTGACAGTGAGGTTTTTCCTGATATCTAGCCTGAATCAGGGTTGTCGCAGCTTGACAATTATTCTAGGTCCTTCACTCTGGTATCAGCAAGAAGAGATCTTGACCTTCCTCTTTGTGACAGCGTTTAAGGTACTTATAGGGGGATATCATGTCCCCCATCAGTCTTCTCCTCTCAAGGCTGAACATGCCCAGTTCTCTCAGTCTCTTCTCATAGGGTAGTGTTTCCAAACCCTGGATCATTTTTGTTGCCCTCTGCTGGACCCTTTCTAATTTACCTGCAACTTTCTTAAATCTTGGTGCCCAAGATTTATGCAAACCTGCTCTACAGGAAGACTTGTACATGGCTTCTATTTAAAAGAGCAGAATTTTTGTTTCTTTTGAGCATACATGAGAAGCAACCGATACTAACGCTATGCTCTTGGTCAATCTATGCTCACACTAGACGAACACTTGTACAACAGAAACAAAATGGTTCAAATGACAACACCAGAAAGAAGAGGAAATACTTTTTTCTGAATCACACCGGGTCAGCAAAGCTTCTGCTCTACTAATCTCACCCATCCTGGGAATGAGCTGCTTTTAACTGCTGAACTAGTCCTGAATCCTGCTGGCACATGGGAAGGCCTAGATGGTGTCCTGGCTATTTTGCCCTGCTGATCAAACTCATTATGAATGCTAAATGTGTTTTGCTTTAGAACAGAATTTAAATTGAGGCTGCATTGGTAAAGGGCTTATATATACTGCAGCTCCATTAAAGTGGATGAAAGCAAATAAAACTTCAGTCATATTAATGTGACTCATGAACAACTTACTTTAGCATCTTCCTGAACCAGATGGTCCAAAGCAGCAACATCCAGCTGGATCCCTTTTTCTTCTAGCATCAATTGAATGAGATCCCTTGGGAATCCCAAATTGCTATAGAGAGACCAAGCTACATCCACTGCAGACAGGAATATGATTTGGAGAGAAACATGGGGAAAGAATACAGATCAATTATCAAGTTTTATTAGTTAGTATAAACTGCCTTGAGTGCCATTTTTCTTTGTACAGAGGCAGGGTACAAATCAACTGAATCAATAATGGAGGCTCTAGAATTGTTAAGCTGAATAAAAATGAGCCCTTGCCAGTAGATTAATATATGTTTCAGTACAGACTTGGAGTCTCCCATGGTTATGACCCTATAAGCTTCAAAGGCACTAGAATATTTTTTACAGAGGCAGTTCCAAACTTTGAGGGAACTGCGCTAGGAATCCAAGTAGTGCCATTCTAGGACACACTGTAATAATGTTTTGCCTCTAGTCTACTGAGCAAGAAGCAGAAGCACAGCTCTGCAGAAACAGGTAAGAATATAGACCTACTTCAGACTTACCTCCTATTTGATGTTCTCAATTGCAGTGCATTGAACTGTAACTCCCATCAAGCCAGGAAATAAGTATTTCTGAAGGATTTTTAAATTCAGGGATGCAGAACCTCAAGACTGCGGGCCAAATCCAGCCTGCCTGCGTCCCCAACTGGTCATGCCCCCTGTCCCAGGTCCCACTCCTTTCACTTGCCAATTTCTTGGTAGCTCCCTGGCTTTTGTACATTTTACTGCCACTCTAAAAGCTCAAAATGCCTCTCCCGAGGCTTGGTTACAGGCAGTAAGAGCTTTAAACTATGCTGATATTCAAGGAATTATGGACTTGCCCCATTTTGCCTTCTGTCTTGAACCTTCCAAAAGCTTCTCCAAAATTGAATCTGACTCAAAGGATGGAAGATGTTCAATATCCTTGCTTTAAATAACAAGATAGGCACCAAAGTTCTATTATTCTGATATCATGTGCTTATCTGCACAGCTGTTAAATTTGGAGTGAAACCACTAACTGCAGCTTGGATAAATCCTCTCAATTCCAATTTTATATGCAAACATGCTACTTGGAACAAGAATTCTAAGTCATTACTCCTTTCAAAAAACAGCTGAAATCTGGAAAGATGAGTTTTAGTAAGGAAACAAGCAATTATTCCCATAAATGTAGGACATGGGGAATAATCTTCAAGGTTTGATAGAAATAGCACTGATGACATAACTCCTGGGTACTCCTGTTTGCAAATCCTAAGAATGCAAATACTACTTTCTTGCATATATTTATACTTCTGTCCCATTGTGGAACTCAAGGTGGCTACATGTGATTCCTAGGCGGTCTCCCCTCTAAGCTCAGGCCAGCCCTTGACTTACTTAGCTTCAACATGGTGGATGCCCTTGTTGAATCTGGCTAAGGTCTACCTAATACAGCATTCTGCTTTCCATAGCACCCAAACAGAATCTACTGGGCACCCACAAGTAGGAAAGTAAATGGATGGGATGGGCTACCCCTGTTGCAGAGGTGGAGAACCTCTGGTCTTCCAGATACCTCTGGTCTATGACTCCCATTGCTTCTGATCATTGGGCCACACTGGCTGGCATGGATGGGAGGCCAGTAACATCTGGAGGGGGGGGGCAAATTGCACACCTCTGTCCTATTGTTTGTCCTTGGCCACATAACATTCTGGGTAGACCTCTGCATATAAAAGATTTCATAAAGCTAACATGTTTCACAGTCTTTGTCTTTGAAGAACATCATTCAACTAAGCCATCCAAGCCAGCAGCTTAGTAATATCAGGATGAGATAAGCTGAGTCAGCATCCTTCCTATGGCTTAATACTTAGCTATGAGACAGGAAGGCCCATGCTTCAATCCTTGAGGGAACCAGATGGTCTGCATACATCAATGCCATTGTTCAGCTAGGCAAGCTATGCTTTCGAGTTCAACTGCATGGGCTTACTACTTCCAAAAGATACCTTATTTGATCCTCCCAGAAACAAAAAGAGAGGACAACTTATGGCTGGGCAGACAGCATTCTACAGACCACAAAACACAACACAACCCAACACAATCCTTGCCTGGGAAGACTCTGGAATGATCCATCTTCTGCAGTGTTTCTTTTATAACACGCTGCCCTTGCAAGAGTGAAGACAGAAATGCAGCCTCATTCTCATTGATGATATTCATAATCTGAACAGAGATCAGAGCCAGATTCAGGAGGATGGAGGGTAATTAGATGAATTATTCACAAGAATAACTACAAAAGATGCTGAAGTGGGTCATAAGCATCAGAAAGGAAAAATAAAAAAGCAAGTAAAAAGTGTTGCCAAACTATTCAACAGATTTCACCCTGTTGCCTAGAACATGCAGTGGACGTGGCATTTTGATTGTTGTACCCCATTGTGGCCCAAGTGGATTAGAAAAAGGCAAAGTAAGGAATAAGGCAGATGCTGCCTTTTGCTTCCTGCGTTTGGATGCATTTAACAAAAATGGCAGCAGATTATGAGAGTGGAAGTCAGAAATCCTAACTGGGAACTCATGGAACTTGTAGTTGGAAGCAATCCACCATATGAACAACAAGGTACAACAAATCAGAATATCTGTCCATGCCTATGAATACTAGAACTCCTAGTGCGAGATGGGACTCAAGGAGAAAACATTTTGGAAGCAACAAGTTAGGATTGTACAGAGTAGCGATCCAAATCTGAGCTTTAGGTCATCTAATCAGCACAAGCAGTGATCAGCTTGATTAAGCATGACCAAAAGTAGCACAGAAATAAAGTGTAGGTCAGTCTTCCTTGACCTGGTGTCATCCAGATGTGCTATAATCCAACTCCCATGCCAGCCATGGAACGTTTCTCTTAAATTGTGCATGGGAATCATCATACTAGTCAGTATGTGGCATCCAGGCTGTTCTTTTCTACTAGTTTCTTCTAAAGAGTAGAGGGAAAAGATCGCTTTTATACTGACCCAGAAGCCTCTGCACTATGCTTAACAAGACTGAATAGTAAGGAAGCTCAAAGAGGCTTGAGCACCACACACAGTGCAATAGCCATTGACAATTTATTTATTGGCAAGGTTTGTATACCACTCTACATTGAACAGGATTTCCAAGTGGTGAGCAATAAAAGAAAATGTTTGTGCTGCTTGATTTCAACAGGAAATGAATTCTACAGAGAGGGAGACAGTACACTAAATGATCTACTCCAATCAGGCAGTAGAGTCATGCACGTAGAACCACCAAAAGTACCATATCTGATGACCTCAGTGACTGGAAAAGTTAATTAGACACAACATTTAGCCCATCAGTTCCAGCTGCTCACCTTATCTGTATCCCTCATAAGCTCTGGGTAGGCATCTCCCTGGAAAGAAGAATTACGGATCAGATGTCATGGCAGTGCAGAACTTCCACTCCCAGCTACACACACATCTCTACATTTTTACTACAGAAAATACAGATTTGCTTCTTTCATTATGTTTACGTTTTATTGAACTGGTCTCATGTAAGGAACTATTCTGAACATGTAGGGCTTCTGAATGTGATATTTTTTCAATGTGTATAGTAATCAACCACACCTATATGCCTGCCTCTCACTATTTCCCAGAGAAGAAAAGTATGTCATGACTATTACTCAGTCAGAAATAAAGAAAGAGAGGCCTGAAAACACATTTCTTTATCTCACATCCTTTGACCTTAGTGCCTCCCATTTTTACTGTCCTGGCATGTAGCATGTGCACAGGGATAATACTTGGGTAACAGTTATACCATAATTTTACGATGCTCTTTTGTTTTTGTTTTAGGACTGTGGCATTAGAAACAAACAAATGTGGTTAAGTGCAAGGTCTTGCACTTGGGGCATAGGAATAGGTGTCATAAGTACGGGTTAGGGGACAAGAAGCTGGAGAGCAGCACTTGTGAAAGGGACCTCGGGGTACTGGTTGACTGCAGGCTAAACAGGAGTCAGCAGTGTGAGGCGGTGGTCAAGAGGGCAAATGCCACCCTTGGTTGCATAGCCAGAAGTGTGGCTTCTAGATCGAGAGAGGCATTACTACCACTCTGTACGACTCTGGTGCACCCGCAACTGGAGTATTGTGCTCAGTTTTGGGCCCCTCATTACAGAAAGGATATAGCCAGGTTGGAGTCAGTGCAGCGTAGGGCCACAAGGTTGGTGGCCAGTTTGCAGGGGATGGGGTATGAGGCGAGACTGAGGGAACTGGGTCTCTTCAGCCTGGAGAAGAGGAGACTCAGAGGGGATATGTTGGCGACATACAGGTATGTGAGGGGATGTCACATGGAGATGGGTAGAGACCTGTTCTCCCTTGCAGAGGAAGGCAGGACGCGCTCCAACGGAGCAAAGCTCAGGGAACCAAGGTTCCATTTTGATGTCAGGAAGCACTTCTTGACAGTTAGGACCTGAGGGTATGGAATGGGTTTCCACGGGAGGTGGTTGGGGCCCCATCGGTGAGGGTGTTCAAGGATAGGGTAGACATGCATATGGTGGGCATGTTGTGAGCAGAGCTGGCTGGAGCCAGGGGTCAGATTAGATGGCCTGGGAGGCCCCTTCTGACTCGCTCTCTTTCTGTTTCTAAATAATGATGTCACTGGAATAAATCAGAACCAGCTAAGTAGAAAGCCCTGTGTACACATTCCATATCTCTCCCCAATATGAAGTAAAGGGAAACCATCCCAGGTACTAGATCAGCATCTCGAGGACCAGAATGAACCTCTAATGTTACCAGATATGGACTCCTAGTAGGGAAACTGCTACAACATCTGTAAGAGAATCTCGTTATAAGCAAACTTGCTCTCCAAGGAAAAATAAATTCTTAGTTACCAGAATTTCCACCACAACAGGAACCAAGCTGGCCAAGAACCCAGGTGGAGCATGGAGCACTTCAGAGCAATATCGCACTGCCCTACGCAAGATGTGGCGCACAACAAGCCTGCAAACAAGAGATTTTCCAAAATAGTTTATCTTTCCGATCAAGAAAGCGATGTTACTTTTTCCAGATAGTCACCCAATATCCCCAGCATCCAATACAATCAGGTCCCCTTAGCAGTACACTGACAATACCCTTGAGCAGTATGCCCTTGCACCCTCCCCCGGTATCTTTTTGCGGGCATTTCATGCCTATCACGCCCACAGTAAATTTCTCCACCTTTCTTTCACAGCTATGTCACAAAGTGGACATGTGAGGGAAAGGCTGATAAGAACTGATTGCATTTTAATGGAAAAACAGGTAGGGTTGGAATGCTTAGATGAAATGGCAAGGCCAATGAGCTTTGAGTTAAGCCAAATGGGTGGTAAGAACCAGACTGCCTCTGGTTTGGCAGGGAGACACTGTGCAACAACTTCAGAGAGGAAGAGGTGTAACTTTATCAATCCAGTGGCTTGACACCTGGTAAAGTAATGTCTGGTATTCCTGCCATTTGGCTCATGACCAGCAGGAACCTCCTTGAGGGTGTAACACTGTTTGGTGGGAAGAGAGAAGAGGGGATTGCGTTTGAATCAACTTCTAGCAAGGGCAGAACTACATCCACAGCTAGAGGCCCATTAACTTAATGGATGCTTCTTGCTAATGGACTTAACATTTCTCACTTTGCATTACAAAGCCAGTCCTGGCTGGTCAGCTTTAACATAATAAAATACTAGTTAGAAATCTCTCCTCATGATCTGCTGGGAAAGGGAAAGGAGGGAGGTTGTGGGAGAGAAAGACCAGCTCAGGACACCTATTGCAACCAGTTTCCTAACTCCATTCAAAATTATGGTATTGATGACTGAGTTTGCACAGCACAGCCATCATCATGCGTGACTAGCGATGTGAGTTGTCATGTGAATCTGGACTGCTTTTTGCAGGGTAGCTTGGGTTGGGCAAGGCACCCTGCCCAAACCACATCTTGTTCTAGGGATTGTTGGATCTGCAATAGCTTGGCATGCCATCTGAACTCAGCATACCAAACCAATCCAATCGATAAGAATAGCAAGACCACCTTGCTGCTCTTGCCCAGTTTGTCTGGGTCAGCAACAGTGCCCCACCAAGTAACTAAGCAGCACTCTGAAGTGACAATTAGTTGTTCACTCTCCCTACAGCAATCACAACCATTTTTGTGGCAAACATGCTTTTTCTCCTTTTTCAGAGATCACTTTTTGCAATTTTTGAATTGAAAGTTACAGCCAGTTACACTCACCTTTTTCTTTGTTCCACAAACTTGTGCAATGTGTTCATTACTTTGGGGGCATTGTTTTGGGTGGTAATTCAAAAATCTGCACATGTCCCTGTAAAAAACTGTGACTGACCTTGCCAAAACAACCATTTTAAAAACAAGCCTGAATTTTGGCAGTTAGCTGTTAGCTATTTTGGCAGCTGTGCTCCTAGAAATGGGTTTTCTGCCTTTCTGAGTACCTAAAATCTTGGAAAGGGGTGGAAAAAGTAAAGAGCACTGAAGCCTAGAGATTTACACTTCAGACTTAAAGAGTATCTCATTGTGAAAGCGGTGTTCAGATCACTTCCCACAAGCAATGATCTTGCAGCGCTGCTTTCACTTGTCAATCACAACTGTCAAATGAAAGCAAAGTCACATGGTTGAAGTATGGTTTTGTCAATACCTATGGATGGTTCCTGCTTTCAAAGGAAGAATGACCAGGTAAGGCTTCAAATTGCAGGTATCCCAAGTTGTAAAATAACATCACCACCATCATCATCATCATCAAGCACATTTGAACATGGTTGTGGTGCAAAAAAAATCAATAGGTGGCAAACCAAAGGCAGTTCTTCGAGTGTGCTTCTTGGGCACTTTGGAAGGGCTGTCACCGGCCGCCAGCACCAATTTGGATGGCAAGTGATCTCTGTTTTTAAAAAGGTGAAAAAATCAACAGCAACTACAAAAGGAGTAGTGATTGTAGCAGGGAAAGGAGACAAGTTTCCTGGAATACTGGCAGGAGGTCTAAGGAGGAAGCAAGGGACAGATGGACAAACCATGGTGAGCCTTATCATTGATCGAACACTTTGTGAGTTGTTCCTCAAACAACCCACACTGCACAGCTTATTTGCAGGATAGGTTGCTGTGACATATGAACTTGCCCTATGCTTCCTTCTTCCCTCCAAATATTCTCCCTCAAAATTTTTCCAGATATCTCTCAACCCTTTGAAGTGCCCGAGATCACAGTCATCTCTTTCGTCCCAACCAACCCTTGTTACTGTTTCTTCCTTACTCGGCACCAGACATGCCTGGATAAACACCATCGGCAATGCACACAGACAAGGTGCGCACATGATCTGCTACTACTCTGTAGGCCGTGTTCACGCCTCCAATGTCAGACTCTCCAACCAAGCCCTTGTAGCTTGGTCCACCACAGCCCTGTAAGAGAAATAGAGGAGTGTTTTAGAAAAGCTGGGGCCACACAGAGGTACTGCCAATCTATGCAATATTTGAGTAAAGCAGATGTTTCCATCAAATGACACCAACAGTTTCATTTTTCTCTAGGAGATGAGATTAGAACCAAATTGCAGGGCAGCAGATTTCAGCTCACCAGGAAAAATCTGTCCATGGTAAGAGATGTATAACAGTGGAACAGACCACTATGGTAGGTTGTGTGCTTTTTGCTACAGAAGAATTTAAGGAATGTACAGGACTGTACATGCAGGTATGTACAGGAATGTGCTGTGAAGTTTGAAGAGATCACTCAGAGAATGCAAAGGGACTCATTTCCAGGCACAGAATTGCCAGGTGTTATTGCAACTCTGTTTTTTAGTCCCTGAAGGCTGTGCTTTTCTACCCAGGAAATTCATACTACAGTAGCTGTTGCAATCTATTTTAAAAGGCCAGCAAATTACCATAGCTGCTTCCCTGGCACTCTATTTATTTTTATTTGGGTATTTTTACCCTGCCCAATATGTTCCAGGTCTCTGAACAGCTTATAAGTCTTTGAGAGCTTTTGTTCTTCCATCTGGAGGGGTGAGCACTGTGACATATCTCAGCAACTCACACTGGGGAACCTGTGTCTTCTAATGCTGTTATGTTCTCAATTCCCATCAGTCCCTGCCAGAGATAGGAATCATAGTTCAGCCTCATCTGAAGGGCCACAGATTTCCACCTCTTTTCCAAACAGAAGTATGTGGCTATAATTCAGCCACATCACTCTTTCCCAGGCTGGATGTTCTTTCCAGCCAAATAAAAAAAATTAGGTGGCTAGGAGCTGTTATCTCTCTGTCCACCCCGAAGCAGCAGCTGTTCTTTCTTGGTGAGAGGCTAATATTGCTTCTCACCTTCCTCAAGAGAAAAGCTTGAATATTGCCAGCCTCCACAAATCAATCAGACAAAGGTTCTAACAGGAACTGGCACCTAATGGCAGCCATGCAGCCGTTTCATAAAACCTCACTGAACCTCAGCTGAGCTTCCCCAATATCTGATGATCACCTTGTGGATGGCATCCAGGATTGGGGTGAAGAGGTCTGTGTCGTAATTGGAGCGCTTGTTCTGCAGAACCGTCATTAACCTTTCTAGGCCCATTCCTGTGTCCACATGATGCTGAGGCAGCTGATGCAGGCTCCCATCAGCCTCTCTGGCAATACACCAGATGCCAACCAAAGAAAGAAAAAATAGACATGGACTTATTACTCACTCAGCTCAAGGTGTCTGTGGACATGCAACAGATGGTGAGAGAAGAAAGAAGCATAATTGGTGTGGAACATTATTTGCTGTCATTATTCATTTCATTTACAACAATCCTAGTGGTTGGAGTGTTGGGCTGGACCACTGGGGATCTGGGTTTTGGTCCCCACTCACTGGGTGACTTTGGGCCAGTCACTGAGTCTCAGCCTAACCTACCTCACTGGGTTGTGTTGTGAGAAAATGGAGCGGAGGATAATGTAAGCTACCTTGGGTTCCTTGCAGGAAAAATGGCAGGATATACACATAGTAAGTTAATAAATAAATAGGATCAACAGACTCTGAAAGCAAAGCATTGCAAGAGTCCCTCTTTGCCCTGTATAAGGTAGGTTGCTAGAAAAGCAGTACAAATTACTGAACAGTTGCCTCCCCTTACCTGGTGCCCTCTGGATGTGCTGGACTAGAGCTCCCATCAGCCCCAACCAACATGCTCTGTGGCTGGGGATGAGGGGTTATATAGTCAGACACACCTCAAGGGCACCAGGGTGGGGAGGCTGCTGTAGAATCTGTGCATGTTTGGTGAAGTGCTAGTCTCCTTGTAAAAAGCAAGGCTTTGGCACAAGCCTGGAATCCAAAGAAATTCCACCTTTTTTGTACCTGTTGTACTGGATGAAAACTAGGTTCCAAATCTCCACCACATCAGGACTGCCCTGGTTCACCAGTGCTGCTGCATTCCGCCCGCTGCCTATGTGATCATAGTGGATCTCTGTGCAGGGCCCACAGGGACCAGTATCTCCCATCTCCCAGAAATTATCTTTCAGCTGAAAAGGAAGCACGTGGCTGGGAGGCACACTGAAAAGCAAAACAGATCAGCTAACGAAGCTAGGACAATCGATTCTTCCTGCAGGCTAGAGTGGTGAAGACAGAAAAATCCTCTTTTCTGTGAGTATTCTGGAGCAACTGCATCATGAGAGTTAACTTGGTGTCCTCATACTGCTCCATTTCCACAACTGTGACCTCTATCTAATAAGCCAACAGAAACACCACTACAGAACAGGGCAAGTCTCATTTCTAAAAGCTGGCCAGTACTTGGATGGTGTCATAACTCACTTACACTGGACTGTAGCCAGTCTTTGTGTGTTCTGTGCTCTTTTTTGGATCACCATCCCTCTCTACCAAATTGAGATTTTGTAGGCCTCTGGACACCAACTTCTCAATTTTAAAATAGTATCTGTACAGTATGAAGCTCTTTTTTAAACCCTGTACAAGAAAGCAAACCCATCATTAGCGCTAGTCTAACTGAATCAAGAAATCCCAGTTGAGGCACAATTTGCATAAGGAAAGTCAACATTTAGTCCTTTATACATATCAGAATATTTTGGAAAGTTGAGGGAGCCACCAAGGTTGCAAGGAGGAGTGATGCGCAGTATGGATCCCCAACTGCATTTTTGTGGAAAATCAAATTAAGGTCCTTATCGGTTTTCAATCTTTTTGCTTCCCGTCTCCAGTTTTTCAATATCTTCCCCTGCAAAAGCTACAAACCTTTCTCTTTTTTTAAAAAAAGGTGCTATTTTGAAGTGCAAACTTCATCCTGGAATATATCCATGTAAGATATAGAACTACAAGCAGCTGCACACTATAGATAAAACTTTTTGTAATTTACTTTCTCACCTGCTTTTCTCATTTACTTACCCCAGGCTGAGCCATATTTCCTTACTCTCTTCATCTGCATTTAGACCAAGCGAAGAATCTCCTTCAAAATAAGTGACATAAAGACGGTCTTTTGGAATTTCATACACTTGTGTCAGGAGCTCCCATGCCATCTTACAAGCTTCTTCCTAATGATAAAGAAAATGAAAAATGACAGTAAACAATAGCCAATGTTTGCATGAGAGAGAAGCAGCCTTAATCAGGCTGTGGATTGGTGGGGAGAGATTGAATTTTTAGTTCCAGAAGGGGAACTGCGGTAAGTCTATTGAAGCAACAAACAAACAGTCCTGTGGCACCTTAAAGACTAACACATTTATTATTTCATAAGGTTCCATAACACTATCCTCCTATTGTATGCATTAAACAAGACTAACATCTGATGAAATGGTTTGCATAGGGGAGTATTAAACATGCAATCCTGTACCCAGTCTAGTTCAGGTACAGGAATCCTGTACCTACTCTAACTGCTTCCTACATCTTTGTATTTAAATCTGCTCTTAACAATTTGTGATACAATAATATCACAAAGAGACCTTAAAAGTACATGTATGTCTCTACAGTACAGGACACACTTCTGGCTCTTTACCATTTGCTGATAATAAATCAGGTCACTCTGGGAATCTGCCATGCCCAGGAAAAAGAGAGCCAGTATGGTATGGCGGTAAGAGCATTGTACTGGGGACTCGGGAGATCTGGATTCTAATTCCTATTCGGCCATGAAGCTCACTGGGTCAGACACTCACTCTCAGCCTAAGCTACTTCAAAGGGTTGTTGCTGTGAGGATAAAATGGAGTTATGTAAACCACCTTGGGTTTCTCACAAGATGAAAAAAGGTGGAATACAAACGCAATATCAACGTAATAATATTTAGAAGAATTCAGTATGAAAACATATTTAGATGCAAACAGGAAGATCCAATATGTTCTTTAAGAGTGCATAGCACAATAACTTACTTTGAAGTAATCTCCAAAGGACCAATTCCCCAGCATTTCAAAGAATGTATGATGATAAACATCTCGGCCTACATCTTCCAAATCATTGTGCTTTCCACCTGCGCGGACACACTTCTGGGTGTTTACCACTCGCTGGTAATGTGTTAGCTCACTCCTGGGATCTGCTGTACCCAGGAAAATGGGTTTGAACTAGAAATTTAAAGAGCAACACAAACAAACAAAATTTCATATATAAAGTTTTGACTGGAGTTTCAGGTTAAGATTATCCTACTTTAGAAGAGTTTAAAGCAGGGGAAATTCAGCCCTTCAAAAGTTGCAAGCCTACAACTCCCATCAACACTAGCCAACATAGCCAAGAATGATGGGAGTTGTGGTCTAGCCACCTCTACAGTATCGTATGTTTCCCCATCTCTCATCTGGACAAGATATTAGCAAAAAGTGAGGGTTCAGATTGAGATTCTCCTAACTGATTCTCCCAACTGTAGTTTTGCTTTGCTTAATTTAAGAGCTTTGGCTATTGGCTGGTACAGAAATAAAATAAGTAATACTAACTTTAAAAACATCCTCTCCTTTCATTGATACTCCTCTGCAAATGACACCCATGAAGTTTAGCTGCAGTTTAAACCACCTAGCTAATAGCATCTGACACAGGCTCAAGTCCTGCCATCGACCAGTGCCTGAGGGTTCCCACTTTTCTGCTGTCAGTATGCTATGCACATGCCAAAAGGCGTTCTTGGCAGCTGCTTCACCAGTCTGGAAACTGCCTTTCCAAAACATTGAGCATGTGTTGGAAATGTCCTAAGGGTGCAATCCTATGCACGTTTAAATAGAAAAATTCCTACAGCTCCCAGTATTTCCCAGCCAACCATGGCTAGAAATTCTAGGACATTTTTCTGTTGAAACTTGCATAGTATTCTACCTTAAGGTTTCCTATTTGGTTGGAGACAAGCGTCATGCTAGTAGGACTCCAGGTCAAACATTTGGATTTATCACTGGGCCAGCTCAGCCCAGTGGTTCCCTTGAAATATATCTGCAATGACATTGTAAGCACTTTGAGTCCTGTGGCCACTGCCACTGCCTGGCCTTTTAAAGTAAAATGCAGAAAAATTAGAAAGGAACCAGAGGAGGGCAACAAAAATGATCCAGAGTTTGAAAACATTGCCATATGAATAGAGACTGAGAGAACTGGGCATGTTCAGTCTTGAGAAGACTGTGGGAAGACATGATATCTCTCCATAAGTACCTCAAAAGCTGTCACAAAGAAGGTCAAGATCTTTTCTTGCTGATACCAGAGTGCAGGGCATGGAATAATCGATTCAAGTTGCAACAAGATCCAGGCTAGATATCAGGAAATGTTTTCTCACTGTCAGAGCAATACACCTAGAGAGCACATGAGCTTTCCCACTCTAGAGACATTTCAAAAAGAAACTGGACAGCCATCTGAGTTGGACGGTGAAAACTGGTATCGTGCAACAGTAGGGTGATGGACCTGATGGTCTTCATGGTCCCTTCCAACTCTACTATTCTATGATTCTATGATCTTCATTTTAATTGGGCTTTCTTGTCCCTATGAAAGAGATTGTTTCCCATCAAGGCCTCTCTGGTTAGGCTACCGCAAAAAGCTATTCAAATGTATAAGACTAGCTGACACACCAGGCTTCTCACAGGCTAGAATAGCCCTCAGTTCCATACATCAAAGTCTTCAAGCATATTTATGTATTTAAAGTTTTCATAGACCATTCTATAGCAAACACTCTCAGAACAGTTTAGTGGTTCCCAGAGTTGGACTCCTTGTGCCTGTACTGCTTGAGTGAAGCTATCTGCACTGGCACTCCTAGGCATGGCTCCCACCATGGCAGACTCCTACAGCCCACTCAGGGAAGAGACTACCCATTCCATTACCCTGGGGGGCTCTGCCTCACAGTAAGGGAAAGGGACAGGTGTATAACTGTCCCTCAGCCTGCTAATCTCCTCCGGTGTCAGACTGGATGGTCTCAAAGCAGGTCATTCTGCCTCTCATGACTGAAGATTTTCCTGTGGGCTTCAACCACATGGCCTTACTTACATTAATTTAATGCATTTTAAAAACAAAGTAACTCCAAGGTATGCCCTTAGTATGCATGCCGAATGTTTAAATTCCCAGTACTATGGGACTGAGAGATGGACAATTATAATCATTCTATTCATTATTACACAATAGCCACATCTGAGTAGAACCAGTCATTTGGTTCCATTGCTGCTGCTTGCTTAGGCCCTCCAGTAATCTCAGAATACACAGCAGAAAGTAGTAACTGCAGGGTGTTGCTTCTGTTTCTTAACTCTCCCTTGTAGATCAACACATCCACAAGGAATGCTTATCACCATGACAGACAGGCATGCGCCTATGACTATGCGCTTTCCATGCACAAGGTGGGCATGCAGACTGAGCATGTACTTCCCATGTGCAACTTCCCACAGTAAGTGTTGGCATCTCCAATTAAAAGAAGTTCAGACCTTGAAGAACCATTGCCAGACATACATTTTATGTTTCTGCTTGTCTATGATTACAAAAACTGTTGTACATAAGAGGCGCAATACTTCAAATCTACAACATGGCCCCATCCTCCCAGGAGAGGCAGAATTTTTATGCCACAAATTCTCTTAGCATCAAGCAAACCTATCAATGAAGCAAATCTATAAATGAGGCTACTCCAGAATAAAGGGATTTATTGGCAATCTAATATATTTAAGAGAACTCTCTCCTGCAACTTGCAAACTTCAAAAAAGCACCACTACTAACTTCTCACAATACATCAAAGTATGAAGATTTAATAAACACATGAGCACTCTGAGGCTGCATTGCATAACCCTCCAAACTCAGAGAATTACAGGCATCCTATGCATGGAGAGAGAAATGTGGAGGTGATTGCCCCTGGACTCCTCCCACCACACAAAACAATGCCTGATTTTGGCTATGTTTTCAGCCTTGGACCACAATGAAAGGGGGCTGCTGTGTCATCAGGGTACTACATATGCTTGGGAAGCCTATTACCTCCCCTTCCCCTGCCCCCAAATGCCAGTCCCCAAAGTGACTTTTGTGACCTTCCTGCTGTAGCTGGAAGGGTTCATTCCACATCCAAGGTTGAAGCCTGGATTCCAAATATCCTATGCACATCTAGACTCTCCCCAGCTGCCATAGGATTGTGCCCTGAATTGTAAGTAAAGGAGCATAGGATTTGACTAAAAAAGATCTTTAGTCAATTAACAACTATACCATTCAAGGATATTTAACCTCATTAAAAGGAAAACATGAGATAAGTTCCAGAAGTAAACAATGCAGCTAAAGAACTGTATCCAACAGGGTGGTTCCATGAAGAGAACAGAACAGACTTGGATTTCCTCTTCCCTCTGGATGAGCCCTCCAAATATGTTCTAGAGGACTGAAGAAATTCTCTGGAGTAGATAAGAAAGATGAAGGGAAGGGAAGTTCACCTGCATAACACTGGATGTAGTACACTTGTTTTTTAATAAGAGATGCACATTAATGGTATAATATTCCTGAATTAGAATTATTTTGAATTAAGTAAGTTTAAATAATGAAGGTAGCAGATGGAAGCTGATGGACATTAGAGAAGGATTCAGGAGCTATCTTATTTGAACATATCTCAATTGCTGGACAATATAACTGCCCCTACAACCATCACTTATATTTCCAAGTTCAGCTTTATTTGACTCATACATTACAGTTTCTCATACAGATGTCATTTTTGGCAACAGTAACCTTACTGACTTTTCATCCAGGATAAATCTACCAAATATGGTAATTTTATCCTCAATTAAAAGTTATTATAGGCATGACACTCTAAACTGCCCATTTTCACAAAGCAGTACCTTACAAATTTCCATATACTCACACAGAAAGCACTGTAATGTGTTATCCGCATCTGGATTACAATGTGACAATCCCCCTTTCTGAATATACATATGGTATACACTTATTAGGGTTTGATTATGGTCAATTGCAATTTCCAGGAATGTGAGCAAATAATAAAATACATGCATTTGATATTCAATAAACAGAAGGTAAGGTAACTTTTATGCAAGAGTAGGAAGACAACCTTTGGTTAATCATGGCAGAATAACAAGCCTTTGGAGCCCTATGCATTTTTATTTGAAACCTCTGGACAATTAAAAGTTTTAATGGAAAGACTTTTGAATAAATGCTAGAAATTGATGCTTGTATTTGCCTTAATTCCTTTTCTGTTTGTGTCTTTTAGACTGTAAGCTTGAGGGCAGGGGTGTTTTGTTTTTATTGATCATATGGAAGGGCTCTTGGTGTCTTTTTGTCAAATAATACATGGGTCATCAAACGATTCCAGAAAAGTTCTCTTAGAATTTCCTGGGAGGTAGATTAAAAAGATATTCTGCCTTCATGTTTCCCTTCAGTGTAAGCCTTAACTCATCTTCTCCCCTCTTTTTTACCTCCCGCTTTTTGCATTTAATTCCCATACCAACATGTAAGATTTTTGCATTAAGGGATTCAGTTTGAGAGCTGCAAGAGAACATCTCCCCTCAGCAGCACATTCAACGGATCGGAACAAGGCTTTGCGAAAAGGGAAAGGATAACATGCTTCCACATCGGCATCCTCTCAGGCAAGCGGGGCAGCAGCAGAAAGCATTCAACGGAGTCTGTTTCTCCACGCTGTTCGCGGTCGTACCTGGTTCATACCCGCGTTCACGAAGAACAGCCCGGGATCACCTCGTGGGCGCACAGAAGCCGACGGCACCACTTTATGCCCATACCGCTCCTGGAAGAACTGGAGGAAAGTCCGACGCACTCGCGCAGATGACGGGGAAGCCGCGGAGCAAGCACGGCAGCCGCCGCAATACCAAACAGGAGTCACCCGAAGAAGGCTCCCTACATAGCGCGAGGTTACTGCCGCCGCCATCTTAACTGTGGGCGGAATTCTGGGAGTCCGGGCTTCAGGGTACGAAACAGAAACGGGGAAACGTCTCCTGTTGCAAAGCATGGTGGGATTGTGGCGGGTTGTCCGACCTCTTGGCAGGTGTTGAAGCCTTCTTGCTTACCCGATCTACTCTTGTTTGAGCCGTATAGCCTGAACGTTTTGTTTTAAAGATATATAACATTTTGAGCTGGAGGGGAACTTTGGGAAAAATGTGATTGTTCATACGTAGAAAGAAAATACTAGCTTCTACCCTTGTCCTGGATTTGAGTATTTCTCCCTCCTTTTGCGCCAGAGCTAGGCTTTGGCTACGAATCTAAAGAGGCAACCAGTGCCTATGAGAAGGACATTGGGCTGCGCCAGAGTTTGAATTTCAGCTGGAGACGTCAATCTGCCATCTCTGGAACTCATCGGTGCTCAGGGAAATGGGAATCATATAACACCATTTATTTTCCCACCCTTGAATGAATTCCAGATCCATACTCTCACAGTTGGAACATTCAGTTTCGAAGTAAAATGTGCCACCAAATGGCAGAGAATCTCATGTTATATACCAATTTGATGAACGTCAGCAATCAATCTGAAGAGTGAAAAAGCAGTCACTGTTGTTATCAGAACAGATTGGTGGTGTTTGTTTTTTTTCTTTCTTCCTAAGTAATCTAGGTAAGGTAATAGCAACATTTTAATACTGGTGTTTTGTGGTATTAATATGCTTTTCTTACAATTAGTATCGATTTGTTTTAATACATAACAGTCTATGAAAGAGAAGACTCTTTTTAAGTCCACAACTGAGCTACATCTTTGGGTGGATTTCTACTCTACATAGAAAATGCACATCCCATTTACTTGCATGGATTGATTATGTAGCCAAAATGACCATATGGAAATAGGTAGTAAAATAGGAAGTATGTTTGAATTTACCTATTGTTCTGTTGGTGAATTAAACAGAACATGTCATAATATGCAATGACAAGACACACCTTATTTAGATACATAGCTGTTGGTTACAAATATTTTTGGCAATCTGATGTTGAAACCATTTATTTATACATCACCCTCATCATCATATTACTTTGATAGTACACTTTTTGTTCTTGTGGGAAACCCAAGATGACTTACACAATTCCTCATTTCCATTTTATCCTCCAAACAAGCCTGTGAGGTATATTAGACTGAGAGCTAGTGACTGGGGACTAGAACCTAGCCCACTAGGTGAGGTGGGACTAGAACCTAGATTGCTTATGTATTGGTAGAGCACTCTGTTTCTATAAAACACTCCCAAGATGGCTAACAAAGCCAACAAAATAAATGTGTCACACAATCAAACATTAAAACAAGATGAATAAATTAAGGATTAAAACAGTAAAAATTAAATAATGAAAACCAGCATAAAAACAGCAGCCACGAACCAATAAAAACAAAACAGTTTTTAAAGTATGTCTGGAGCTGTATCACTTCCCTAACAAGAGAATTCCAACCATGTGGGGCCACCACCGAAAAGGCCTTCTCCCCTGGCACCCATCAATCTGATATTTCAGAAGTCTAGGCCAAAAAGCTGGGTCTGGGAAGGCTCATGTGGATTGATGCAGCCAGTCCTTCAATCAACCTGGTATCAAATTACTGACAGTTTTAAAGGCCAAAACCAGTATTTTAAATTGGCAACTGATGTAATTGATACAGGATTGGTGGAGCATGATCTGAATGCCTGACTTTCACAAACATCCTGGCAGCTACATTTTTTATCTTTAAAGACAGTCTCATGCAGAAAGCATTACGCTAATCTAGTCTGGATGTAAGCACAGCGTGTATAACTGAAGCCAGATTAATTTTCTCTAGATTGGGTTATTGTTGGTTAACCCATCAAATCTGGTAAAAGTTTCTCCCTTAGCCATGCAAGCAACTTATATAGCTCCAATCTAGGAGAAACCCCAGGCTGTATACCTGTATACAAAAGTAGAACAACCCTGTCCAGGATGGGCTGCAACCTCTATCCAAATCAGTTCTGTAGAAATCCACCAAGTGAAAGTATAGAAGCTTGTTACTGGATGTAGGATTAAGAACCTCAGCTTTAATTTCTAAATAAATGTTCTATACTTTATTAAATATATTACTGAGCATGGCTGGGCAGTGCCTACCAGAACCCTCTGTTGCCTGTGGCTGGACCCCTTGTTGTATTCCATCATTTTTTTTTCAGAGCATCTTCTTTGGTATGCAAGTGCGAAAGATCATGTAATTACAACTTTTACTTCTGCAGCCTATTGGAAAGTGCTAACTGTGCTACATGTAACCCTTTAATGTTCAATGTATAAAAGGGCCAGCTGAGGATTGGCCAGGTGTGCAATCTGAAATGATTCATTGGTAGGCAGTTATTTATTTATTTAAAATATGTCTACCCTGTCCTACATGAAAATCGTCCCAGAACGACTTACAATGATTAGAACAATAACTACAGTAATAAATAAACAACATACTTAATACCAACAAAAACAAAATGAGACTGTAAATATTAAAACCAATTAAAATTCCTTAATCCTTAAAATAGTGGGTAAATAAAAAGGTTTTTACCTGGTGCCGAAAAAAAATATAAAGTCGGTGCCAGGCAAACCTCTCTGGGGAGTGTTGTATATTTTGGGCACACCAGGACACAGGCCACTTGGGCAACACTGTGGGCAGCTGGTTTGCCACCATGTGCATGGAGTGCTGAACTGGATGGACCTCTGGTCTAGATTCAGCATCGCTCTTCATAGGTCCTTTTATTCCACTTCAGTGCCAACAAAACTACTTAATCCCCCCCAAAACTCAAATTGATCCATTGGCCTATGCTTGGGAGATAAGTTAGTGCCACTTCAGAATAGGGGGATTGTGGGGTAATTAATGAGATGGAGTGACTCAGCGTGAAGAAATCCTCCCCACTCCATCCTTTGAAAGGATCTTTTAACAACACTGAGTTCCTGTATAATGCAGAATATATGAAGTAAATGAATACAAATTTATTTCAAAATTGTACACACACAGTTGCTGTACAAACAGCACTCACATGGCATTCCCGCCTTCTTGGAATTTCATTGAATGGAAAACCCTGTCTGCATTGCGATAAGGAAGCGCAGGTGTGAATACAGACATATTCCTAAAATATGAGGCTGGGGACCCAAAAGGCCAGGCAGCGCCCGCGGGGCTCGAACTGCTAACAGTTAACATTGCCAATGCGAATGTTTTCGAAGGAACCGCTGGGCTGGGCTGGCCCAAGGAGCGCGGCGGCCTGCAAGGCACAAGAGGCTGCAAGGGAGGAAGGCACGGAGGCTTCCCCGCATAGTACTGGACCTTCAGTCACTTGGGAGGTACAAGAAGCTACTAAGCAAGGAATCACCGGAGCTTCCCCCTTCCCACTCACCCCTTCCAATAAAACCCAACTACTAAGCTCGCTTTTGGTACCTGATGGGCAAGCTGTGCAGGGAGAGGTAAACTACCCTTCCTTTCGCAGCCCCGTCATTTTAAATAGTCATTTGCATCACCCAGGAAAAATGAAGGTTGACGCTCCCTATTCTTGATCTCTCATGAAATGGAAAACAATATAGAAGCATAACTTGTTAAGCAGAAAAATGGAAGGAGGACCCAAAAGGCCAGGCAGCGCCCGCGGGGCTCGAACTGCTAACAGTTAACATTGCCAATGCGAATGTTTTCGAAGGAACCGCTGGGCTGGGCCGGCCCGAGGAGCGCGGCGGCCTGCAAGGCACAAGAGGCTGCAAGGGAGGATGGCATGGGGACTTCTACGCGCTCCAGCCGAGCCCCGCGCAGCTCGGCGCTGGCCGCTTTCGCCGTGGCTCGAATCCCCGCCTGGCTCTCGACGGCCGAGTCGGGGGAGCAGCGCAAGCCCTGTGCCTGCAGAGACACGTTTTCTCGCACAGCAGCATTTTTGGCTGGAGCCTGAAGCAGCGTGAGCGCAGCAGGAATCTGGTTCGTCACAGCATCTTCTAATCACTCTGGAGGCTCCCGCTACGTCTTGATTTTCGCTGTGCCGTTCCGATGCAAACGACACCGGCTTGCTCCCGGCTTGCTCCTTTGCCCTGCTAGGGCTTTCGTGGCTGGCAAAATGTAGGGGATTGCATATGGAGGCCTAAAATGTGGAACAGTCCCTAAAAGCTGAAGGGACCAAAAGGCCAGGCAGCGCCCGCGGGACGCGAACCGTGAAGGTTGTAGTAGATAAAATCCACATCGCTGAAGTAACCGCTAGGCTAAGCTGGCCCGAGGAAACGCGGCGGTTTCAGCGATACAAGTAGTTCCCGAACTGAGGACGTAGGCAGGCTCCGCCCCGAGCTCCAAGGGTTCAGCAACCGGCTCTGGCGCCATTTCCATCTAGCTAACGCCTGCAGGAAATCTTCGCGGGGGGGGGCGGGGCTCGGAGTCGGGGGGGTCCCACTCGCTTTCTTCGCGCACTGGCACTCTGAGCAGCCCATGACTTCTTAAAGTCTACTGCTTCCGCTAAGGAAAGGGAAAGTTAAAGCTCCCCACTCTCAAACTGTCATTCAACGGCGAACACTATTAGAAACGTCAGTATGGAGGCATGATAAGCAAGCTGAAATGTAAAAGTCTCCCGAAATGTTGTGGGAACTAAAAGTCCAGATAACAACCTTAGGAATCACACTTCCACAAGTGGACAATGCCCACCATTGGATACAACGTGAAGGAACTGTTGGGCCTGAGAAATAACCTTTTTTGAGGATGTAGAAGACGCTGATAAAAGGAGGAATTCTAACTGGAAACCAAAGATGAAGGCTCCCACCTCTCCAACAAGGACCAAACAGATTAATCTCTCTACTTCCAGTGCTGAGGAAAAGATGGGCATAGATGCAGAGACATTAGTTTTCCTGCTCTCAGCACCATCTGAATGTGTGTGAATGTACAAATGTTTGTAAAAGTCAAGGGGATCAAAAGGCAGAGCAATGCCTGAGCAAAGACGAGCATTTTTACAGGGTAGCAAGGAAGATAACTACTTGTCTTCTTTCTTTTATTTTATTTCCCCTGAAACATTTATATGCACTGCAGGAAGGGGATTATTCGAAACCTCATTGCATCAAGTTCACTCACACAGGACAGATACCAGAAGGAGTTGGGGGCTTGAGCAGACCACTTGCTCCTCCTGCCTTTCACTAGTTTCCTTTCTTTTCATGTGAACTGCAACCCCAGTGCAAGTTCTTGCACCACCTGAGGCCTAGGAGCAACCGTGTCGCCATCTTCCCTGCCTTCCCATATCACACAGCCGCCTTGCAGCCACTCGTTCATGCCCCCCCTCCCTCTACTGTGCAATGCACTGCCACCTCTACCCTTGTTGCACCCCTCCTTTTCCACCCCCTTTACCACTGACACCACATTGCCTCCCACAGAAGCTGCACACCTGGGAGAAGTGACCAGAGAGCTGCTGCCCCACACTCTGTCTCACACGGAGAGGATGCTCCAGGTAAGCCAGACAGTTCTCTGTGTGGGATGGTGCAACTCGGGGGTTGCACTCGATGGCCTTTGTGGCCCCTTCCGACCCAACTATTCCAGGATGCTATGATTTTGCAGGTGGTTGAGAAGAGCTGTCCTATTTCATTCCAATATTCCTCCTGAGTGAAACAAACAGAGAGTGGGTGTTTGCCACAGCAGGACAGCTGGACCCAGAGCATCTCTGGGACATCCACCACTGCTGCAGAGTGCACAGATGTACCAGACAGTGCTGCTGAGCATGGGTTTTTGCAGGAATTTTTCCAGGTGTGGACCAGGCAAAACTACATTGTGTAGTACTTTGTGGTTGTCATTTGTGCACAGTGTCCACTAATGCCCCTGTGCACTTTCCCTGTGTTTGCAGTTTGTTGCTCACTGGCAGCTTCCATGGCATTTAAAACCTACGAAGAGTAGCCGAAGACCTTGTGAATGAGCAACACTAATATGGAACACTGTTATTTTCAAGATGCGTTGCAAACTCCAGTAAGTGAAGGATTAAAAGCGCAAGACCATCTGAGACAAAGAGAAAAAAGACCCAAATGCACAAACACAGTACAATTGTCTTTAGAATAAAACACTGAATCTGTGGGGAGTGCCGTTGTCAGTGAAAGGAGAAATGGGTACGCTTGATCAGGATTGCGGGTTCTAAAGGAGTTTGGAGTTTCTGACTTTTCACATTGTTCAGTCGGTCACTTTCGTCTTCTTTTGTACAACGGTACCTAAAGCTGAAGGGACCAAAAGACCAGGCAGCGCCCGCGGGACTCGAACCACCGGGATAGCGTCCATAGCTGTGACAGATGAAACCGCTAGGCTAAGCTGGCCCGAGAAAACACTCGGCTTCAGTGATACTGAAGTACTGTACTGTAGTTTCCGAAATGAGGACGTATGCAAGCTCCGCCCCATCCTCCAAATTTTCTGTAACTAGCGGTTTTTTTGCCACCTTTTCCTTTCTTGCAGCGCCGAGTAGCTCCTGGCGTAGACTCAGGAGAAAAAAGGACTTCGGTGCCACTTTCATCTTGCCAACGCCTGCGCAAAATCCTCGGGCGGGGCTTTCGTGGCTGGCAAAATGTAGGGGATTGCATATGGAGGCCTAAAATGTGGAACAGTCCCTAAAAGCTGAAGGGACCAAAAGGCCAGGCAGCGCCCGCGGGACGCGAACCAGAGCGGTTGTTGTAGAAACAATGCTACGTTGCTGAAGGAACCGCTAGGCTAAGCTGGCCCGAGGAAACGCGGCGGTTTCAGGGATACAAGTAGTTCCCGAACTGAGGACGTAGGCAGGCTCCGCCCCGAGCTCCAAGGGTTCAGCAACCGGCTCTGGCGCCATTTCCATCTAGCTAACGCCTGCAGAAAATCTTCGCCGGGGGGGGGGCTCGGGGTCGGGGGGGGGTCCCACTCGCTTTCTTCGCGCACTGCCACTCTGAGCGGCCTATGACTTTTTAAAGTCTACTGCTTCCGCTAAGGAAAGGGAAAGCTAAAACTCCCCGCTCCCAAACTTCCATTCAATGGCAAACACTATAGCAGAGTCAGTGTGCAGGCATGATAAGCAAGTTGCAATGTAAAGATCTTCCGAAATGTTGGGGGGACCCAAGAGTCCAGATAACAGCCTTAGGAATCATACTTCCACAAGAGGATAATGCCCACCCCTGGCTGCAAAGTGCAGGGACAGTTGCTACGTAAACAACCCTGGCTTGTTCCTCCGTTCTTGGGCTTTTATGCAGTGGCAAATTGTAAACGTTTGTATTGGGAGGTCTAAAACGCCGAAAGGTCCCTAAAAGTCGACGAGACAAAAAGGCCAGGAAGCACCCGCGGGACACGAGCCAACCAGTTATTTGCAAATTGCAAATCTTGACGCAACGGCTAGGTTAAGATGGCTCGAGACAGGAAGCCAGCTTGGGTGACAGAAGAAATGACCGAACAATGAACGCATAAAGACTCCTCCCGGTTCTAACAAATCTGCTTCTAGCATTGACCCATTAGCACTGATAGAGAAAAAGTGGATGGGGGAAACAGATCGTATCATTTTCGACAGTTACAGACTCAAACGATATATAGATTTTTTAAAACGTCTTCTTAAGGAGCCTCGAGAAATGAGAGTTGAGATGACGGCAATCGTAGCAGCGGCACTATGGAAGGGAGTGATTATGTTCTACTGTATTTCAATGTATTTTATTGTGTTGTAAGCCGCCCCGAGGCTTCGGCAAGGGGCGGCATAGAAATATAATAATAATAATAATAATAATAATAATAATAATAATAATAATAGTGATTAACGCAGCCTTCCTCAACCTGGTGCCCTCCAGAAGTGTTGGGCTACAACTCCCTGGAGAGAGCATCCCTTCTGTGCACCTAGTTTGTAAGAGCGCTCGTGGCGCTCTCAAAATGTCAAAAATGCTCACGAACCCAAAGAGCTTAGGGACCTCTGCTGTAAGTAAAGGAAACGTCATTTCGCATTGTTTCTTCCTCTCGCTCCAACACCATGCCTCTCAAAGTTTGGAGACACCATGCAAGAAGCACAGATGGGAAAAGGGAAATATGCCGCCTTAGTCCGCCTTCCTTGATCATGAGAACCCAGTCTATGAACGTACTCAGCAAGCAAGGACTCTGAACTTAAAGGAACTATAGTAACGATAGTAAATTTCCACGAGGTACAATTGTTCATATTTTCGTCTAATAAAGGACATATGCACAAAGTAATACACACCTGTACACAATCTTTTTATAAGTTGTATTTTTATTTTATGATTTGAGGTCCCAACTAGGCCATTTTACAGTAAATTTTCTATAAGCATTATGAGTTATGGACTGAGAATTATAAATAGTGAATTTATTTCTTTCGTGATCTTGTTATATATTATTAAATTAAATAATCGTGTTATATATTATTAAATCCATTAAATATTAATGGATTTCTTTTCGAAGTCTTTATTGTGTTTATTTTGAAATAAAATTACAAGATAACATGATAATAATCAGACACCTGAATTTTTAAAAAAGTATTGGGAAAATGGAAAAACAGACACTTTCTTCTCAAACGGCAGAAGATTCCATGGTCATCTCTAATGGTATTACCTGCTTCTAAGTTTCCTTAGGAATACTGTTATCTTAAGAACCAAAGCAAACAAAAATCTTTCCTTAAGTACATCCAAAAGATAATTAAGGCACACGAATTTACAACAAACTTGTCGATTTCTCCCCATCAAACTTGGTACCCAACTACAATTGAAGCTATAATGCGTTTTACGGTACAGCTCACGAATGAACTAACGCAACAATACTAACCGTGGCTGTCTCTGGCATCGATTATTTTGCCTACTGAGAGTGCTGCTTTGTCCGCCATCCATTAAGCTGCCATCTTTCTGAGGGGCGGCTGAAACGGCTGATCCTTTTGCCCGAAGTAAGGCGGAGTGAGTCGGTTCGGTCCAATTTGAGCGATTGCTTCTGCCTGCAGCTCGCACGGGCCGCGGAAGATGGCGGAGTGGTTTGGCCAGGATCGGGGTTCTCGCCCCTCGGCCGGGTCGGAGGAAACGTGGTGCCTCAAGCGAGTGGGTACGAGTGAAGAATGGTTGTTGCTGGAGGATGGGAGCGAGGTGAGAGTGCGACGAGGGCCCTCCCTGTGCGGGGGGCTTAAGGGACGGAGGGAGGGGGTGAGTTAAGTGAGTGAATGAGTTTTGGGGAAGCCTGCGCCCCCTGGCCGGAATTCTTGGAACTGCAGCCTTGCGCAGCCTTTCCTTCAGGGAAAACGGAAGGCTTCTTCAATGGAGGGGGCCGGACCGGTCAAAGGTGGATTATCGCAGAGAAATGGGGGAGGCGGGTATACGCTTTTTAATTTTGCATCTAGCGCTGCTTCGCTCCTCACCCATCGAAGCGGTTTTTCTGTGCTTTCTCCGAGCCAAGAAGCCAAAGCACTTTGTCTTCCGTTCTCTTGAGGTTGACCAGAGCTCGAGCCCTGAGCAGAGCAAGACTGAAGGGAACCTTCTTAATTGGATGCGTCTTAAAGCTGGGATATATTTAAGAAAACAAAAACATAATGACGCAAGAGTGGCATACAATACGCTAATAAAAACTGTATACTGCAGAAAAAAGCAGAAGCAGCCGATAAAGTAAACGCCATAATATTCAGAAAGGATAAAATAATGTACATCTTCTCATAATGTCTACTAGTGGCATGGAAGCTTCAAAAGAAGTGTTCTTAATTTGAGTGTTTCGTGTATTGTATATGTCAGTATCCAAGTGCTGAAAGGGCTAAGCTGTTGCAGCCCAGGACTGACTTGACCCAACTCTGTGCTGTCTTTGGGATAGTAGTAAATTTATTTAGTGAGGGTGATCTGGGCAGAGTTCCCTGGAAAAAATTGATAGCAGGTGAGGGCACATAAGGGTATATTTAGACAGAAAAAGTATATTTAGACAATAAGTCCCAGCAGTCCTCAACCAGCATGGCTGAATGGTGGTCACTGGGAGTAATGAGACCTTTTTCTGTCTGAACATGGATAGTATTGTGCTTTTAGTCACTTTGTGTGCCTTTACAGCTGATTTGGATTTATATGTCACCTTTCAAAGTGCTCTTTACACAGTAAGAGAATGCTTCTTCTATATAGGTGCTTAGATATCATTTCATTACCATATAGATTAAAGCGTGATTTAGAAATTAAGAGGAAATGAGCAAGACTATCCTAAGTAACTTTTCTCTGAAATAAGAATTACTAAGTGGGATTTAATCTATAGAATGCGCTTACGATTGCAATCTTTGAGGTTTCCATGTTAGGCTCATTTTCATAATTAAATATGTGACCTTCAGTAATAATTCTGTAAGACAATTAAAAATAAAAAAGCTTCTTTTGTGTAACTTAAATTTGTTGTTATGCTGAATTTTAGTGAACTGCTCTGATGATTATGGCAAATAATCTAAAGCAGGCTTTCTTAACCTGGTGGTCTGTAGATGTGTTGGATCGCAACTCTCACCATTCTCAAGCAGCATGAATGGCCATGGAGGCTGGGAATGATGGGAGTTGCAGTCCAACCCTTCTAGAGGGCCAAGGACAGCTGATCTAAATCCCGCCTCTACAAGTCTTGACCATGGAGTCAGATGCATTCCACTAGATATATATGGCAACCCTCAAAGGCCCAATAAGCTCCTGTTTTTGTTATTAGCTTGGGACTACAAGAACAATGGTGTCATCAAGAACATGGTTGCATTTGGCAGGTTGGGTCACCAGTTCTGTAGGCCAGATCTAAAGTCCAATCATACTGTTGGAAACAGAGGTAATGGAGGGTCTAAAGATGTTACTACACTGATGTCTTGTTTTTCCGTGAGACTTTTGAGGCTGAAGTGGTTCACAATGCGGGAAAAACACCATACGGAACAAGATAATGAAAGTTTTGACATCTTTGTTTTTCAAAACATGTTTCTACACAAAGTTATTTTTGGTAAAAATTGCGAGAACTTAGAAGTTACAGGGTAGCTGAGGAAAATTTGTGATTTGGAAACTGTTTTTTTGTATCTATGGTCTTCAAGGCCTCTTAAGTGAGGTTGACTTATGAGAAGTGACAGAGGGCAGGGAGAGATTCTTCCAAAAAATCCTTGTATAGCTTTAAATGACATTGACAATCTTGTCCTCTCATTAGGTGTTGAGAAGTCCTTGGAAACTGTGCTTAGTACAGTATCTGGGAGGATTCAGTGAGAGACAATTTGGAAAATTTAATGGGATCTGAGCAGGGCTTATACAGTATTTTTGGGCATCACAGTCTGAACTTTTAAAGTCTTATGCTGAAGTAATTAGACCTTTACAAAAGAATTAACACATGTCAGAATGCTTAAAGCAAATTTGTAGCTGAATATGAAGAAAGTATAACTGCAATGGCTTTCTCTCTTACTATCAGTATGATTTGTTTTATGTATATTAGGCTATCTTTGATTTGCCTGTTACAGAACAAAACACTCTTGCCAAGTAAGCACATGCTTTCTGATTTGTGAAAAGCCAACATTAATTTAGAAGTTTTTTTAAACTGTTGTGATTATTAAATAATTTTGGCATTTCAGGTAAAATAATGGAACTGCTCGCGTGGTGCTTTAAGACATTTTCCTCAGTGGTAGTCGAAAAAGAATGCAAAGTGTCCTTCCTGCAACATTCAAATCCAGATAATGGACTATAATAACTGTTTCTTTGCTTGCTTGCTTGTTTAGGTGACAATAGGTCGAGGAGCTGGTGTCACTTACCAACTGATGTCAAAATCCTGTCCATTGATGATCTCTCGGAACCATTGTGTTTTCAAGCAAAACACTGATGGCCAGTGGACAGTGACAGATAACAAGGTACAGAATCTTAGGAACACCGAGCTTACTTGAAAGATGCTGAATGTGCAATCCATTTTGAAAACATGATCTGCAAAGCTAGAGGACCAGGTTAACTATAGAAATATATGCTCATTTTGTATGCTGTTTGTGGAAATCCAGTCTTGGCAGTGGTACTATTAAACTGTTTATTATTACATTGCATTTATATCCTGCCTCTTCTCCTCGTGTGATGAACCCAGCAACCTTTGTCTGTCTGTCTGAATCAAATCCAGATAAGGATGTAGGGGAGTTGCATTTGGGGGTGGAAACTCAAGTGATGTTTCTGGTTTGGCCTTGTTTTTCCCTGATAGTGTCAGCTCAGTCTGTAACACATTGGTCCAATTTTCCTTTTTTATGGCATTGATTTGCACAAATGGAGTTGCATTTTTTAAACATTTCTCTCCAGTCTTTTGGAAACACACAGATTTAGTGGTCTGATATGTGTAGCCTTGTCTTCTCATTTTCCTTGTATTTTTCAGCTATCAGTGGCGGAGGTTAGAGTCTAACAATGATGTAGTTTGGGATTGGGCACTGCAATCCTACCACCACTACATATTATTGAGAAGGCTGTAGGATTTTTCAAGTTCCCAGCCATGATGTCAGGAAATTGATTTGTTCGTCACTGGGGACCTGCACTTGAATCTGTCTTCCTATCTCATTGTGACTTCAGAGAAAGGCTTTTCAGGGCATCCCGAGGGGCAGGAAGAGGAGGAGACCAGCACTGCCAAGACATGATGTATCTTGGTGGGACCATAGTTGCCTTTGCTAGACCTCCAAACTTAGATGGCTGGAATTATTCTAAGTGGTTTGAAGGGTGAGAGTGCTGAAGTGACTTTTGCCTCTGTGTTCCTCCCATTCATATAGGATGCCTGTAATGCACCAGGTTGAAGAGTTAAAGGCATTCCATTTGAATTGCACTCTTAACTTCTAAGCTTTACCAGGTCCCAGTACCACCCAGTATTTGTAATTTGCCTTTCCTTAAAGGAGTCTTTGTGAATTGCTCCCTTTTATTTGCATAGAAGACTGATGGGATTGGCTAAGATTGGTTATGATTGACCAAGGATTTGAACTATGAATAAATGGCATTGCAGAATGTCAGTGTAGTCACTAAGATATTAAAAATGTCAGCCATTGATTCCTGTAATGTGTGATAAAGTTGTGGATTCTTCATCCTAAAACTAAAAATGAAAAAAAATAATTTTCTGGAGTGTCTTTTTATTTCCCTTGCAAGTGAAATTTATATTTGCTGTCTAGCGTTTTTAAAAATAATGAACAACTTGTCTGCAAATTGTGAGAGTACTATATCATTTGTTCTTCACATATATGAAAGGAAAAGCTCTCAAGTCTCCAGCTGGGGAAATGATCCCTGAAACATTGAACAGCACACTATATTAAAATTGTTTTGAAAGGATATCAAAGGAAGACTGACGTTCTATACTGAAACCATTTGTTTCAGTGGTCTATATGAAGTTTTTCTCACTCCAGGTGTTTTACCATATTATAATTTGTCTTCATGGTATGATGCATCTACATCTAGAATCCTTGTTCTCCTTACTTTGTAAAATGTTCAATGGACATTTTTTAAAAATGGGAATACCTGGCCAGGTATTCAACTATACCAGTAAGTAGACAGAATTGCTGCTTTCCCACTCTCTGCTACTTGGTGAGTCTCTGTTGGCTCATGACACAGTCCATAATGGAAATAACCTGACTGACAGCCAATCAGCTGAAGCGGGTTGTGGAGAAGTGATAGTTAAAGCAGCCCACCAAATACAACCTGCTCCTATTCCCTGTTTCTGCTTTTCATTAAGAGTTTCCTCAGCTCAGGTACGTATGGTTGTTACTGAAGATTAGGAGTATCTGGCTTGTTTTCTGGTCTAGTGACAAACCAGATATTGTCAACAAACTCTCTGGAGCACAGCAATTACTTGGGAATTTTCCTCTAGAAGCTTTAATCAACTGGGGCTTAATTTCCGTTTTGAATTTTGTAATGGTGGCCAAATAATATAAACAATCTAAAATAGTCTTTGTGACAGCTTTCTGTTTTAGTATTGTTGCATGGAACAGAGGGTGCAAGAAGTGCTTGAGAGATGGATGAAGAATGCCATAAACTGCCTGCTGCTTCTGTTCAGCTTGTCAGTTTGTTATCTGACTCATGAGAATGGCAGATTATTAGCTTATACCGCTTCTTATATGTTTTGGACTGTAGTTAGGATGCTGTTGAGTGATACATAATATGAAGGGGGTTGTTAATCACATTCCCAGGCAGGTGTCTTATTTACTTTTCTGGATAAATCACTTGATCAGTATTGGTTTGTAAAATATATAGCCTGTATAGCAATTTGCAGAGGGGGTTTTCCAGTTAAAGTGGAAAACACCAGTGTTAAAGCAGGGAATAAACAATTAAGCTTATGTCTTAGCAGTCATAGTGAACCCATTCAAGTGGTGGATTGCTATCCTTTTAGGCTAGATTATTTAAAGGTTATTAGTTTTTCTTTCCTTGCTCTTTTGCCTAATACTTTTGCAGAAAAGTAAACACCTTTTATAGCTCTTTTAAAAATCTGTTTAAATCTTCAGAGTCTAAATGGTGTCTGGCTGAACTGTGAACGCATTGATCCATCAAGGGCCTATCCTTTACAAGAAGGTGACTTTATCCAATTAGGAGTGCCTTTAAGGCACAGAGAAAAAGCTGAGTATGAATACACAGTAATAAAGGAAGAATGGAAGAAAGTTATTCCATTTTTAGCACTGAAAAATGATCAGCTGACTGAGAAAACAAAGGACATGAGGGCTAAACGTAAAATTAACTTTGAGGAATCGGAGGCATCTGGAGCAGAAGGGCCTTCCAATTCAAGATTCAAAAGAGACAGAGCATCTTCCAATAATGACTGTTTAGGGAAATGTGAAGGAGTCAGGGCAGAACTGTCCAAACAGCCAACAGAAAACTTGGGTATAATGCTCCTTCCTCCAAAACCAAGCAAGAAAGAGAAAAAGAAAAATCACTGTAGCACTACTCAGCCTGAGCAGCATGGCTTATTACTTCTCTCTAAGGACCAAAAAGCTCCAAATTTGGCACAGTCTTGGAATGGTTTGGAACAAATAATGAAAACTTTGGCAGATATGACAAAGCTAAAAGCCAAGATGCAGGAGAAGCAGACAGCAGTCTTGAATGTGAGACAAAAAAACAAATATGCTCCTAAAGAGATCCAGCTTTTGGAGCAAGAGTTGCAAGACTTGAGGGACCAGATATGTACTGAGCAAGAGCATCAGCAGCAGCGAGTGGAACAGCTGGAGAAAACCTTCTATGAAGAATTGGAGGTAGGTACAGCTGTGAAGCATTAGCCAAGTACCATTTGAAAAATGTCTAACTCTGAAGATGGGCTTAAACCAGAATTATCGGATGGGGAAAAGATTGGCCTTTTATAGTGTTGGTGAGGTTCCTCAAACCACCATAATGTCATTTCCAGCACTGAGGTTTTTAAATTGTGCAGTCTTACACCTTTCTGTTGAACTTAGCGGGGACATAACACCACTAACTATTGGATTGCAGAGTTTGTGTTTCAACTTGAATGTCTATTGGGTAATTTTTTTAACAGCATTGCCAACATGTTTGAAAATGTGGTTTAACATCATTCTAATAGTCCCAGAATACCGTTTCCTGTATTAATGTTTTTGATATACTTGTGTGGTAACTGTCAAGCACTGGTTTACTGAGGCACCTGAGATATGTTCTTGCAGACTGTGTACCTGTTAGTTGCTGGATTGGTGTGTGATATTTTTTCCCCATAAAAATAGCTGGAACAGTTCCACTCTTTCCTGGATGGTAGGTAAACTGTTATGCACGAAGCAGTCTGTGCTAGTTACGCACTGCAGAATTAGCACTGAACAAAACAAATGCAGCAGTTAAATTTGATTATGATCATTTTATGATGGGTTTGACAAAGAGAAAAACTTTGCTTTCAGTAGCCAATTCACTACCTCTTCTAATGTTTTAAAAATCTTTGTTTGGCTATCGTGTCTGTCAAGGTCATTGATTAGTGAGGTACGTGAGATGTACTTCTTCAGACCCATGCATCTGTTATGGAGAGTAGACAGAATAGGACAAGCAGCTGCAGTGGACGCGATGCTCTCACAATAATTGATGTGACTGTAACATGCATGCTGCATTTAGTAGTTTCTGAGTTTGATTGTACCAGTGCATCAGGAGGTTAGTATTGAAGTGTGAGACCTTTCACTGCAAGGCAGCAGGTTTAATACAAGTGAAGTATTACTTTCTGATAAGCAGTTGCTCTTATTAATATCAGCATTAAGTTGCTTCACATCCTTAGTGGTTGCACAGCCACTTTAGTGGGGATTACAACACCGTTGTTCATATTGCTTTTGCCCTCAAAATACCTCTAGATCATGGGTCCTTAAACTATGGCCTGTGGGACAGATCCAGCCACCATGCCCATTTATCCGGCCCGCGCTGCCACCCGTGCACTTGCTGCCTCGCCGCGCGAGCGCGGAGGCGGTGGCTTGCTCGCTTGGAGATGGTTTTGGACTCGTTGAGAGATCTCCAAGCGAGCGAGCCGCCGCCATGCACGCCCGACGCCGCCTCACCAGCCCGCACGCCCAGGCACCCTCGCCTCACCGCCCTGCGGGTCGCCACTGCCTTTCAATTGGCCCCCTGTTGAAAAAATTTGAGGACCCCTGCTCTAGATATTCCATCAGTAGTTCTATACTGAGTACCTGCTGTTAATGTAGTAGCACTAAGGCAGTACCTGCGGTAAAAAACCTGTAATTATGCTTGTCCCTGTTTGATTTCTAATGATACTGCTTTCTATAATGAGGAGAAAGAAGAACTGAATGGATGACAAAACAGAACTCTTCTATAATGGCAAACTTTTTTGTTCAAAGCCAAAATACTGTTGCATGCTAGACCATGGCAGAGACAGTTAAGTGTTTCATATAAATTGTATATGTACATTTAGCAGTTTATATAGAAAAAAATCAAATTATAAAAATGAATAAAAATTAAAAGATTTTCTTTTCTATTTTTAAATAAACCAACAAATTGTGGGTGGTATATTTTTCAAATGTTGCTATTAGACATTTAAAGAATATTTTCAAGAACAGAATCAAGTAAAACAGCATAATAAAAACATTCTCAAAAATTTAATTGCAAACCCTCTCCCCAGGCATGCAATAATTACAACCGGGGCAGGCAACTAGAATCCTCCAGGTGTTTTGGACTACAAGTCTCATCAACTCCAACCAGCATGGTGAATGGCCAGAGTTTATGAAGTTGTTGTCCAAAATCTGAAGGGGAATGGACTGCCTACACTTGAATTATATTATCCACTTAGGCTGCAATACTATGCACTTTTAGGCAGAAAGAAGGCCTACCATACGGATGTGTTGTTAACTGTAGGCCTTTTTTCTGTCTAAATCTGAATGGATTGTACCTTCACGGAATCACATAGTAGAGTTGGAATGCTCAGTGCACAACTCCAAGTTAAACCATTCCTCTCAGATGGCTATCTGAGTTCAGTTAAAGACTTAGTTCACACGTAATGGAAAATTGTGGCTGAGCAGAAGTGAATGACCACATTGCCTCTTGCAGTTTCCTCATCTATGATTAGTGTTGTTGCTGGTGAGCATGATATGCAAATATAGAGTGCTAGGTTGTTTACAGGCCAAACAACCCCGTAGTTAATCCATGGTTTATTGTTGGGTTAACTGCTGGGTTGCTCAGCTTTGGGTGCACATTTTCTGGTTGCTTATAGGTTGTTGATTATTAGAAGCAGAGACCACACCAGAGGCAGTCACTTACTCCCATTTGGTTGTGGGATAATTAACCCATAACTTGGGTTACCTATGAACTGGCCCAATAAAAAGAAAAGCCAACATTATTTTCTGTTATACATTTAATCCAGTTCTTTGTATACATTATAAGCTTATCTTCCACATCTGTAATATCTAATTTCTCTTTATAACACTGTATTTCAGCTCATTACAGTCATTGCTATTATTTATAAAAATATAGTAAGTCAATTTAACTAAGTTTGTTTTTCCCCAGAATTGCAAAATTCTCTTTTACTTGGTTCTGATTACTTGTTCATGTTTTCACAGGTATGTAATTCTAGCTATAGATGTATTTCTGTATAAGAGTATAGGAACATTATCCTGTTCATCAAAGGAGAATACAATCTTGAACAAAATTAATGAACATATGATGAGTTCTATGGTTATATTGAAAAAGCTCTTTAATTACCTCCACAACTATTCTCCAATATTTACTCACTTTACCGCAGCAAAAGCATTCTTTAATAACTGGTGCTGCAGTTTCTTCATCTTCTGGTATAATTAGTTTCTGTTAGAGTACTCTGTACTTGCTGAGTGCTGAGCTCCAAGGATGGCACTATATGATATTTGGATGAGAGACTTAAGGTATCCTTTCTGCAACATTTGTTTTATTTATAAATATACTATGAGAGCATATTGAAGGTGTTGAGAAAATATTCACTCTTCATTGCCTGAGAGGAAAGATCCCAATCCCATTCGTCTCAGGGGAGATGCTAACCCACCAACAACTCTTGTCTCAAGAGGTTTTTTATTGAGAAACCAGCTGCAGCAGGGTGAAGCCTTGGCTAATGGCAGTTGAAAGAGCTTCGCAACACCCCCTTCTTGCTCCCCAACAGTTAGACTCCATGTCTCTAAGGGGCGTATTATTCTAAATAGTCAATCAGCAAGTTACACATTTTTGTATGTTCTACCTCCTCATTGTCTAACATAATGCTGCTTTCTAATTTGACCTTGGCCACGCTGTAACTTCGATCAGGGTGTTCAGGGAGTATACTCTCTTTAGCTCTAGAGCAACAACTAACTGAATATGTGTCTATACTTCTAAGCTGAATTTTCGTGCAACAAAGGCACATTAGTTCTGTAGTGGTGACCAAATCTGTCCATCCTGTATCAGATTCCCAAAGAGCCCTTTCACTGCAAGGTATTTTATCTTCAGCTTGCTCAAAGCTTGCTCTCCTGCTGGTCCCCAACTTAAAAACCAAACTGTTTCCAATTGTATCTAGCTTTTATTCTGTTTCTTAAGAAAAGCTTTGGTGTCACTGCATAGGATGAATGTAGCCTCCAAATTCAGAAGTTTACAATCATCATAATAAGATTGCAACCTGAGTCTTTTAATTTTTGGTCAAATCAGGTGACTACCTGGGTAATACTGTAGCAAACACACAAATCAAAACTGTCCTCAGAAGAATAGTTTTAGAACCTGAACTATGATTTGAGCCTGGTGACAGATCAGTGAGAATGTGAAGCTAAGAAAAAAATTGCACTAGGACAGGAATCCTGTTTGAATGGTGCTCACAGAAAAATGGAGGGCTGGAGGTTTGTGCAGCAGGTAGCTCAGAGAGGTGGTTTCCAACATATTGATTGGAAATAAACAGCAAGCCAAGGTTTATACATTTTAAAATTGTTGTAAACATTAGTTTGAGACCTTTTGAAGTATATTCTGTCATTGTAATTTACATACTTTAAATTCAGTATCAAACAACCTTTGCTGATTAACTCAGCTTGCTAATATCTGAAAAGGCTATACATAAGAACTAGGACCCACAAGTAGCCTTCTTGTTCCTATATAGTGTCTGCTGGGCCTGACAGCTGCTGCAAGTGTCTTTGGCTGGTGTCAGTCTTTTTCTTCCAGCAAGGAGAAAGTCACTCTTGTGATAACATCTTCTTTTATAGGCGGGAACAAAGAAATCATCGTCCTGGTGATTTTCCTTTCTTGTTCTCTATATCTGTAGTTAGGAAATGACAATGAAAAAGCAATCGCAGCAAAAAGAACAGTGAAGATGTTCCAAACATTAAACAGGGAGTATTTTTGTGTTAGTGTAACATATAGCCCATTAATTTTCCTGTTTTATCCAATTATTGAATTAGAAAGATTCCCAGAGAATCTGAGGAGTAGTTTGAGGGAAGTCCTGAAGAGTAAACATGTTATTAGGTTGAAAGATTAGTTAGAGAAAGTGAAGAGTAAAGAAATGATACAAGTAATACTGGGACAGGGTAAAGTAAACTGGTATAATATATTTCAATTAGATTATTGGACTAAAGATTGGTTGAAGAAAAATGGTAAATGCAGAGAATATACTAAATTAATTACATTGAATTATATGAATAATGAATACTCCAATGTTAGTTGGAAATGCATCCAGGAAGTGGGTAGATATTTTCATATGTGGTGGAAGTATAAATATATAAATGAGTTTTGGGAAATGGTTTTCAAAAAAATTAGTAAAATATTGAATTTAAGTATTGAAGGTGGTCCTGGACCAGCATTACTGTCATTATTTAGAGAACAGATGGTACAAAATACTAAAGAATTGATAAATTTATTAACAAGATTAATTACTAATATTAATAATAGCAGGGAATTGGAAAATAAAAGTAACTTGCGATATTAAATGGAAAAAGGTTTAATAATTAAAAGTAATTTTGAATATATTTGGAGACCATTTGTTGCCCCGAGGCTTTTGCAAATGGGGTGGCATAAAAATGGTTTAAATAAATAAATAAATAAATATGTTTTAAGAAAAGGAAAGGGGTGTGAGCCACCACAAGAGTCAGTGCAGTTCTGGAAGGGAAGTGGGGCAACCAGAATGAATAAATGAACTTACATTAAGGAACTTGATTTGTTGGTCCTGGTGGAGGTAGCACTGGCATTGTTGTATTGTTTAAGTTTATTAGTAATATTTTATTATGTTCATTGTTATATTAATTGTATTGTTTTGTTAGCTTAATAAAAATTATTATAAAAAGAAGTGTAACATATAGGGGTATAGGCCCTACAATTAACTGAAGGTTTCTTTTGTAGGTTTCAGTATTATATAGCTAGCAGTCATCCTTCGCTGTATTTTCTGATTGTGCATGAAATAAAATTTATTTGACTTCTAGCACATCTTTTTCATTAACTTCTGTTGTCCAGCATGTTCTTGGTTCTTTAGTTCTTTTCTCTTCTTGACTGCCATCTTCTTATATGTTCAGGGAGCAAAGGAGGAACAAGGGGAAGAGAAATTGAAGGAACAGCTGGCCCAGGTCTTGATTCAGGTAATTTAGTAGTTCTGTGTTATTTGCAATGTGATCGTGACTCAAATATGTTAAAATTTTACCACCACTGGCAAATTGTAAGGATGCTTATTAATCCTGCAACTTTGTCTCTTGATGTAAGATAAGCTATAACAGTTTTAATCTTTCTGATAAAATACAGTCAGCCAGAGGCTGTTGATATGAGATGATTAGCAAAGACAAAAATATTAATGCAGCAAAGAGTCAAGAAAAGATAGCATCAGAACTATTAGTGATCTGTAAAAAGATCTTGTCTAACTTGGCCTTTTAGAGCACCATCCTGTGGTTGGTCGATGTTGCCTGGTTGGTCACAGAGAAGGGCAGCATCACCACTGAAGCCTTAGAAAATCCTCTTGCGGTTGCAGGGGAGACTCTGAGTTCAGAGGCCCTGCTCTCTACTGTCTCAGCGGTTGTTTCCACACAGGCTGAGACCCTGAAGGCAGAAGACCACTTTTGAGAGAGATGCTGGAGCAGCATTTTGGGGGACTAGGGGGAGGGCATGGTACTTCCGTCAAATACAGGCAGTGCCTCAGTCTGCTCTCATTCGGTAGAATGAAGCACTCATCTCAGGTGGTGGATGATGGATGATGTGAAGGAGGCAGCAATCCTTGGCTAGTCCCTTCTGCTGGAGAACAGCATTGTGTGATCAGTGCAGGTTTTCCTGCCCTTGTAAGCCAATCTGTTGCCCTCAGGTGAGGTGGAGGATGTGGACCCCATCAGCACTGTTGAAGTAAGATTCAGCTGACGGTTCATATAGCTTCTGTAGGGAGAGCTGTCCTTTACCTCAGGCAGCAAAATGTCTTGGATTGATGGTGCACAATCAGACTTCTAGCCCCTGACCAAGAAAACACGTGGAGCACTCTTGAGGACAGCTAGATATAATCTGTGCCAGAAGCATGGGCAGGATTTATGCAGCCTCAGAGCCCCAGCTACTCCCAGCTGCCTGCTGGCATGCCTCCAGTACACCTGATTTCCAACCTTGCAGAGTCTGCAGTGGCTGGCAGGATCAGAAAAGCGGACTCTGCTTTAAAAAAAAGTCCTCAGAGGCTGGAGATCTTTCTTGGAGGTATATTTTTCTGAGCAATTCTATAGTCTCTAGAATGCTAGGGACCATAGGAATGTGTTTCAACATGTAAATTCTAAGTAAATCTGTTTAGGATTGTGCTATACATTGTCTTTTTGTAAAGAATGATGAGGGGAAGGGTCAGATGTTACTCCTTGGGTGAAGGAAAAATAGTTGAGCTACTTTCACTATAATTTTGACTAAATGAAGGCAGAAAAAGTCGTGATCTTTGATATTAAATTATAATTGTTCTTTTTACTTAAACTTTACCATTCTTACTTTCTAAATGTCGATAGAAATGTAGTAATTTTCTGTCAAGTATGTCTAACTGAAGAATTTCCTCATTCTTATACCACTCTGATTGAATTTAGTCTCTGTATATGACTGAATTGTACTTTTAATGTTCCTTCTAATATAGTTGGTGGTTGTCTTATATTTTAATAAAGTTACTACATTTTGCCTATACATTTTAAATTCTAAAATATTTAAGCTTTTATAGCTTTTACAGAACACATTTATTAGATGAATTAATTGGTTCAATTTATGCAGCAAACTGATAATTTGGGGAATATGTGGAATATGATATGTCTAATTGGGTTGTTAATGAGAATTTCTTTTCAACTTCTAATTTCTCAGCATCGTGCTCTGATGGAAGAACTGAACCGTAGTAAAAAGGATTTTGAAGAAATCATTAAAGCCAAGGATAGAGAGTTGAAAGAGACAAAGGTATAAAGAGAAGTAAGATTCAGCACTTTGGGAAAACTGATGGCTGAGTCCTTGCCACAAAGCCATTATTAAGTAGTTTGTTTGGCATCTTAAAGTTATTGTTCTTCCCTGAAATAAAAGGCAAGCCACCTTCTCACTTCCTTTTTACTTATAATCTGGAGTGGAGTGGAGGGTAGAACAAAGTTTAAATTTCAAGTTTGCATATGTTGGTAAATACTGAATAAAATACTATTTTTCATGTCAAAATATGTTTCCCATGTATCATATGTTCTGGTCCTAATGGTGGTTTATCCTGTGTGCATTCTCTTCTTGATCACAGGAGGAGAAGGAGAAGGCAAGAGCACAAAAGGAGGAAGCTTTGAACCAGATGAATGATGTACTGGAGAATGAGCTGCAGTGTACAATTTGCTCTGAACATTTTATAGAGGTAGAATATATATTGTTTTGCTTCATTAATATGTTACTGTTTGCAGTGCTACAATATTCTTGGTTCTTTTTGCAGCCATGGGCTAACATAGCTATTCTGTGGAATTAGTTTTGTGTGGAAGATGGGGGAATGTAATATGTAGTATTAGTAGCACAGGTATTTGATTCCCCCTTACTTAGTAATACATCCATTTTAAATTTGTTTGGCCTGTTGTATTCCTGGGATTTCACCAGGTTGGGTCAAGTGAGCAAAGTGTTGCACATGAAACTTTGTGCTCACATAAGGTATGGTACTAATATTTAACTATTTTCTCCTGCTCCCCCAGAAAACTGCTCCAGAGGCATGGAGGAACTTTTGGAACCATGTGGGCAGTGGTGCAAGGAGGTGTGGGAATCTATAAAAATCACTTCCCTTCCATGAGCTCGATTATTGGCTTTCCATCCATGGGAAGGAAGCTTGGATCCATGTGGCCATGCCTATAAAATACTGAGCTCATTTGTAGCTATATACAGAATATATTACCTCTAGGAATATGGGCTGCTATTAAGAAGAATATGAATTGCAAATCTCTCTCAAAAGAAATTTCATTTGAAGTATCAAACATGCAGTCTTGAAAACTGTTTGAGCATTTCTCTATAAAATAGAATTATCCATCCATCCATCCATCCATTTCCAAATGAAGCTTAGTGATTGCCAGCTATTTCCATGACCGAGTTGGGGAGAGGCCCACTGGGCACTTAGGCAATTGCCAGAAGGGGTTGGTGGGGGCAGGACCACTGTGCCACAGGAAAGCTGGGAGAGTCAGGCCTGCTCTATTCTAGTTAACCCTTAAGTGGAGAGCTAGTTGATCTGTACTTGTGTAGTTAAGGCATACGTATCTGTGGGTATAAGCAACTGCTTAATTTCTGAATTGCAGTTTTTGACTAGCCCTTTAGAAGAAGCATGCAAGGAACTATGCCATTTTGAGTGTTGGATTAGCAAGATAGGGTGCGTGGTTCTTGCTTTCACAGCTGTCTATCCAGTTTCTGTCTTTTTTCCCTCTCTCATTTTCTTTCATTTCATCTCTCTTATTCTAAAACAGCGGTTTTCAAAACTTGGCATACCCAAGGAACCCTTCTTAATGTGAAAAATCAGTGTGGAACCCATTAATAGATACGTTTCATGATATACATTTTATTTGAACAAAAAATTAGAATTAATGTTGCAATAATACATTTCATACAATGTAAACAGAAACTGTAGATACATAAAAAAACCATTTTTACTTAGTAACCAAATAATACTAAATTTGCTGAATATATGCTAAATTTTAGTATATCACTAAAATAATCTGAAAAATATACTTCATTTTAATTACTTGAATTTTTGCCACAAAGAACATCAACATTTGATGTTATTTATGATGGTTGCTTTTCTGGTTCTGCATCAATTTAATTTTGCTTTAAGTCTCAGTGATTGTTACTCCTTGCAGTCTGAATACACTTGAATAAAAACCACTTTGGCTTTAAAATGAATTAATCTGCTTGTAAAGGTATGTATATAAAGGCTCTGAATTAAAATGAATGAAGACCTTACCTTGTTAAAGGCTTCTCTTTTTTAAACAAAATAGGAATGAAGGTCCTACAATTTCACTATAATCATAGAAGTTAAACCCCTGGATGATTTTCACAGAACCTTTGGAAGATTCTCAAGGAACCCTGTGGTTCTGGGGAACACAGTTTGAAAACTCCAGCTCTAAAAGAAAGAGAAAAACTTGTAGCTGGCTAGCTCATTGCAGAGAGCAATAGAGCACCGAGCTTTTTCTTCTATTCTTTCCTGAAAGGGGTTGGAGGAAGAGAATGAGCAGAGCTTTGATTTTTAATTGTTTATTTTTTTGAAATTAAGAAATATATAAATGGTAGAATATATTGCATGACCTTTTCTAAAAAATAGTTAAATTAAAACTCAGTACATGCAGAGATGCAGTCACAGAACACAGCTGATAAGAAATGTAATCAGAAGCAGAAACCCATTAAGATCTTTATCTGAGGCTCCCTTTTGGACCTCTCCATTTTCTAAAGTTAGGCATCCTCCTCTGGATGATTCCACCTTCTAAGGTTATGTTGGTGATGACCAGAGAAAGGGCCTTTTCAGTAGTGGTTCCCAAATGATGAATTTTTCCCCCTAAGCCCAAGTGCTTGACCTCTGCAATATTATTTTCTAGGTGCTAGAGAGCCTGCCCTGTTTTCCTGAGCCTCTAATAACTTGACTCTTTTAGATCCAGTTTTTTTAAAAAGAAAGCAAGAGCCAGTTTCTATTATTTGCTTTGTTTTCCCTATTGGGAGCTGCCTTGAAACCTCCATAAATAAGGCAAAATATAAATCCTAACACAGTGTAAATATGGACAGCATAAGAAAGTAAAAACATTTGTCACTGCACAGGAGAAGTAGCCTTTCAAAATAGCCATACAAAGCAGTAATGTGAGCATTTAAACATTCTCTTGTTATCTGGAAAGAATCAGTGCAATACATTTCCTTACTTCCATTCCCCATTTCTTGGTAGTAAATCCATTTTAAACTTTCTTGGACTTCTTCTGTAATGAATGAATGCACATTCAGATGTTACACCTTCCTTCATTCTTGCTTTACAGGCTGTCACTCTAAATTGTGCACACAGCTTCTGTTCTTATTGCATCAATGAATGGATGAAGCGCAAGTTGGAGTGTCCAATATGTAGAGGGACAATATTATCTAAGACACGGTCATTGGTTCTGGACAACTGTATTGATAGGATGGTAGAAAACTTGGATGCTGACACAAAGCACCGGCGTCTGTCTCTTATCCAAGAGCGAAAAGGTGAGAGGTGGGTCTGACATTCTTACTGATTTGGGTTTTTCTTCTTACGTGCTTGCCTACTTAAAATATATTGATAGCAAAGTAAAGTTAAGCTTCTGTTCCTTGATTTTTTTTCTATTTATGGATACTTTTTATTTTTTGTGTTTCCAGTACAGTTTCAAACATCTGCTCTGAGAACCATTGAGTGATTTCTTGGTACAAGTAGCTCCTAGCCCTATTAAAAAAATACCACTACACTTAGCAACTGATTCCTGCTGTGGTCTGAATATGGTCAGGTTTGTCCTTAAATGCTTTCCTGGTGCAACGATTATTCCAAATTATGGGCCTTCATTGAGAAAGTATATGGAACTGAATCTCTAGTATTTGTGAAGCTTGCTTATAGGGAATACATTTGTTTGGGGGCGTGCACTTTTCGGTAGAAAAGGTTAATGCATCCCCAATGTGCAAAGGTTTTCTAGCATTTCCAGTACAGTTTCAGAGAATGATGTGGGCTCCAAATTTCAAAGCCATCTGTTCAACTGCCAAAATATCAAAGAGGGATTTGACAAAGAAGTATAGAGTTGGCTGATCAGCTGATTCACCCACCTCTACTAGTTGGACCTATTAAGATGCTCTTCAGTTTCCAGTTTTTAGATTCACAATTGTGCATTCTGCTTCATGAAAGAAAGAGGACGTATCGGAGCACATTTTAATAATGAAAGGTGTACCTGCTCTACTGTTAGACTGAGTTATGAATTTTGGCTAGGGAGATTCAAGTGGAAATCTGTGCTTATTATATAAAAGCACACCTGGTGGCCATATACAAGCCACTACAAATAATCAGTTTGTCTTTTGTGACCCTACAGCATAGGATTAAGAGCATATACCACGCACAAGATTCATTTTGGACTCTGATTCAGAAATCAGCCCAGTTCAGAAATGAAGAAATCCAAATATTTTATACCATGTGCCTTAACATTCTGCTTCTTTTTCTTTTTAAAAGGGGAGTGCTGATACATTTTTATGTCTTGGAAGAAATGGATGAAATTTGCTGAGGTAGTTGCCTCTTCTGAGGAAATCAGTTGTGCCAAGTTTCAGATGAATAAATAGGAATATTGTGCAGCATTTACAGCTGGGGTTTTCAAACTTCCCCCTATATCAGTGATGGGTATTTGGTAGACTAAAACATCTGGAGGGCCACAAGTTGCCCACCAGCAGTGATTCATGGCAGTGGTTAGAAAAATGACATTCAGCACAGAAGTTACCCTTGTTTAAAAACTTTTGGCATTTACAATGGATAGATGTAATTTTTCTAGAAGGAGAGTGGTTGAAGGCCCATTGGTGAGGGTGTTCAAGGATAGGCTGGACATGAACATGGTAGGCATGTCATGAGCAGAGCCAGCTGGCACCAGGGGTTAGGCTAGATGACCAGGCAGGCCTTTTCTGACTTGCTCTGTTTCTGTGTTTTTATATTTGTGGCAGAACAGGGATGATAATTGATTTGATTTCACCCTGTGTTGGTTTTTGCCAATTTGTTTGAAAATGTTTTGTGATGGAGGTGTCCCTAGGCAAGAAATTTACAGAAGGATAGGTGCAGAGATCAGTGAGTTCTGATGAATGAAAAACAGTTTTATGATGTATTTGTTTTCTGCTCAGTTGACAGCAAACCCACAGAAAATGCAATAGGACAGGGATAGGTAATGGATATGGAACACAGTGGCAGAGCAGCCAGCATTTTCCATGCAAGTGTCCACTGCAACACCATTCGTGGTCCTACAGATTCCACCTAACTTCTTTTGAAATTCCTGCTCCTAGGAGAGAAAGTTAGCAGAGAGCATTGAACACTGAATTGGTCCTACAACATGTTACTTCAACATTATTCCTGAAAGGAACTATGATCATAGAGCTACAGTAAAGCCATTCACTGTGATTAGACGTTAGAACTGTTACTCACAACACTACCCCCCCGCCCGCGCTTGTACTTTCCTTATAAACACATGCGCTGGTGACTTCCCGTCTTGACTTCTGTAATGCACTCTACGTGGGGCTACCCTTGAAGACGGTCCGGATACTTCAATTGGTTCAAAATAGAGCTGCCAGGCTGCTGACGGGGACTGGACGTTATGTTCACATGACTCCAGTTCTCCGTCAGCTTCACTGGCTTCCCATTGAAGTCTGAGCCCAATTCAAGGTGTTGGTGATGACCTATAAAGCCCTAAACGGCTTGGGTCCTGGTCACCTGAAGGAGCGCTTACATCCATATATGCCCAGCCGCCCCCTGAGATCGGCGGGAGAGGCCCTTCTCCGGGAACCCTCCGTGAAAGAAATTAGGAGGGTGGGTACTTGGATGAGGGCTTTCTCAGCAGTGGCGCCTACGTTATCGAATGCGCTCCCCAGAGAGGTCTGCCTGGCACTGTCGTTATGTTTTTTGGTGCCAGGCAAAGACCTTTTTATTTAAGCAGCATTTTAAACGTTAATATTATTGAATTTTATCTGGCCAGGGCGGCTTATTTTATATTGTATGTTTATATTTTATTCTAATGTTTATATTTTTAATTTATGATTATTTTACTTATTGTTGTAAGCCGCCCCGAGGCTTCGGCGAATGGGGCGGCATAAAAATGTTTTAATAAATAAATAAATAAATAAATAAATAAATAAATAGAACTTTGGAATTTATGCATTACTTTTGGGAGAGGCACTGTGTCCTTGTGTCACTCTAGATCTGAATCTTCAGGAGTTTTTGGATTCAGTCCACTTTGGTGGAGTCCCACTTCAGTTCATACATTCTCCAGATCTATCCAAATTAGCTTGATTTGGTTTGGTATTTGGCTGAATCTTAAGTACATTCATATACAAGATGTTTTTGAAGATGGATTCTAATTACTAAAATAAATCATTTTTGTGTTAAAATGTTTACATCATCCTAATCAATGTAATAGTTAATTCTTTATTGATCTGTCTTTTAATTACAGGGAAGCAGGTTGTTCCGGAGACCCTGGCATCAGACAGTGAGAGCAGTAGTCTTACTTCTTCCTCGGACAGCGAGAGCAGTAGTGTTACCTCAACATTAGACAGTGAGACCAGTAGCCTTACATCTGTGCACTCCATCATGTCAATAAGCAGCTACGAAAGTGATGACTATGAGGGGGACTCGGATAGCCGTCACGTAATCTGAAGCATCTGCACTTCGCCTTTGCCGCCATTTGCAGTCAACTCAGGGTGCTTTTTGGGCAAAGGATCGGACACTTGGGACAATTAAGATACTGATGTTTAAATTGTAGATTAAAAGGACTTGGCAGGGTCCTGTTCATTTCTTAGGTGGAGTATGATATTCTTATCTCTGAAGCATATGACTGAAAAATTGTAGAACTCATTCATTTTTTCACTCTAGGGTTATGGTGACAAACATCTGTTTCTGTTCCTGCTATAAAAATTCTGGGAGAGAAAGCACTACTTAGCTTGATCAACCATTGCCTTCTTAGTAGGTTTAACAATGCTAGTTCATCAGCTAAATAGCTTAAACATATCCTGATAATGTAATTGCATCTCAAAGTGAAATATACTTGTGGCTTCAGAAGGAGAGCAAGGATGTTGACTCTCCAGCTGTTACAACTTTTTAATAAAGTTTGGCGATATTTGTTAAAATTAAATTTATCCTATCCCAAGCACCAAAGAGTTCTGTATGTAGCTTTTCAGAAAAGCATTTAAAGGCACAAGTCTCTGCATATTTAGACAGAAAAGGCCTACAGTTCCCAGCATTCCCCAGCCACCATGGGGGATGCTAAGAATTGCAGGATTTTTTTTGTCCAAACATACATAGGACTGCTTGATTAATCAGTTTTCTTCAAGCCTTGTAGCCAGAGCAGAACAAAAATAGTCACAACTGTAACAGTGTTTTACAAGGTGGAACAGCAGCAGCTTTGGCCTGTCATTGGGCAGATAGAGAAGAAAAAAGTAGCTGGGGTGGTACAGTGAAAAAGCTGTCTCTCTGAAAAAACATGAGGCAACAATTACATATTTATAACTGCTCACAGAGCATTGCTAGTCTTACAGTAAGTTTCCAGCAACCCAGGGTCCATTTATGGGGTTGTAGCTTCAAACAAGCAAGTATGCCTATGTTTTTTTCTCATTTTGGTTGGCATGTCTTAAAGCTGTAGCTTTTATTTAAAGCTTTTATTTAAAAGGTACATATTGTATATACATTTTTTCATTTTTGTGTCTTTTCATGTATTTTCATAAGCTGAGAGCCATCTTATGTTTGTAAGGAAAATAATGGGTGGTTCCTCCACAACTCTTTTGTCTGTACAGCCAGTTGATTCCAGCTATTTTTTGTTGTTACTGTTGTTAGCTCTGATGCCAGTGAATGATTTCAAATTCAAATAACTGGATATTTACTGTCAAAACATTCTCTCTTGCCAGTAGTTGTAAGCCACCTCAGCAGTATATTACTGTCAATAAATTATTGCAGCAGGTTCGTAAATTTCAGGATTTTGTTCAGGATACTCTGTTCTGAAAATATTGTTGGTATAGTTGCCTGTAACGGATAACGGATCTACAGGGGCACATACAACATCTCTGATTGTGAATTGTAGAGTTATGTCCTTTCTTAAGTTTTGTTATAAATTACATAATAGTGCTTTGGGGGGAAAAGTGACAAAGTGTCTTTCTACAAAGAAATACATGCTTACAGAGAAGGATCCTGAAACATCTTGTACCTCCACCTTACTCAACTCATTAACACTGACTTGCTAGCTGGAGGTCATTACTTATTATTTCTCCTGATCCCAACTATCTGGCAAGGGTAAAAGTTAATATTTTGTTCTGCTATTCCTGTTACTGTTCTGTAGATTGATAGAACCTCTGCAAAGAAAAGTCATATGCATATTGTTATATGACAACTGGAGGATGTGAGAGTGTGTACACTGTGAAATAGATATGCATATAGATGTCACAAATGGCAGTGTACATTATAATTTTGTATATGTAATTGAGCTTTCTGGTGGAAATTGAAGAGTGGTCAACATTTACTCTGGGGATACAAACCATTTAGCATTTTCTTGGCTGAAGTAGTTCCTAGTCCTATTAAAAATACCACTTCACATAATTTGGTCCTTGGCCCTTCCTGTAGCATTAATGAGGGCAGGTCTGCCCATGTGTGTTTTTCTGGTGCAACAATATTTAAAACTATGGGCTTTCACTGAGAGTGGTATAGAAGATGGGATTTCCCATGAGGTTCATGTATAATGCTTGCATTTGTTTGAATGTTTGTGTGTGTGTTAGCCATCCACACATCAAACTGCATTTTTTCTGTTTTAAAGATGAATGTGCCCCTCTCTACTTTGTCACATATATACTGTGTTTTTATGCTTTGTGACTGTTCTAGTTCCTCCTTTTTTGCAAAATGGAAGAGAGAACTTGCTGTTGATTATGGGATGGTTGCTTTTCTCAGTCAGCTGGTGGGAGAGTAGACAGAAAAGAGTTAACTTTTTCAGCAGAAGGCAGGGCCTCAAACTTAAAGAGAAGAACATTCCTAGGATTCCCCCCCTCCCTCCAGTTCTGACCAGTGAGCAGGGCATGTGCTGTTCCTTAGAATTCTTGACACTGAAACCAGTATTTTTTATTTTGGATTTTCTCAGACTTTTTAGGCCGGATAGGAAGGTCTTTTTAGTGTAGACCCAGAACACAGGAGTCCTGCTAGGACAGACCAAAGGATTGTCAAATCCAGCATCCTATTAGACTTAGTGGTCACTGATGCTGCATTCCTTGACCCATTCAGTTCTTAGATCAGGAAAGGGACAATGCTATGACTCTGCTGTGGGCTGCAAGAAAGGAAATCCACGTGAAGAAGGTCCTATTTCCTATACTATTTCCAATCCAGCTGTATACATCTTAGAGGTGGGGCCCATCTCCATTCTCTAAATGGGGACAAAGTATGACTTCGGAATTACTATAGTATATTGTACATGAAACTGCCCTTGAAGGCTATTCAGAAACTGTAGTATGGAACATGGCACCAATATTTCTGACTGGGACTGGACAACTGGGACACATTTTACTCACCCTGAAACAACTACACTGGTTCCTTGTCTTTCAGAGTCTAGTTTAAAGTGCTGGCTAAAACCTTAAATTGCTTGGAGGTAGATTGCCATTTTCCAACAAGTCTGCTTGGCTACTAAGATCCTCGGAGGCCCTTATCTGGGGGTCCTAAGGTCAGAATTTTGGGGACATGTAACAGTGCCTTCTCAATTTTGGTAATTTGACTGTAATGTCTCATCCTGGGAGGCTTGTCCCAGGCACCTGATGTCAGTTTAGTGTCAGAGGAATTTATTCACACATACCTTTTAAATATTGTTTGTTTATGCTTTGTTTTAACTTGCCTTTTTCATCTCTATATTGCCTAAGGTTTTATAGTAGTTTACAGTGCTATTGTATTGCCAGTTCTTAATCCTGTGTTAACTGCTTTGATGGAGTATTGCCTGAGAAGCATATGATAAGTTTTCTAGAAAATAAGCAGCAAGAAAATTCCAAGGGAAAGATAAATTGACAAACATATGAAAACTATATGATTTCCTCATCAACTAATAATGTAGGATGTTCTTAGTGTTTATAAAACATTGCATTTAAAAACTGACATAAAGGGCCACAAGCCAATTGACTTAAAAAGCCTTAAGAAAGCACATTGTCTCCCTCAAGACAATAAGTTAAAGAGAGTATTCAAGAGTTGTTTCACTTAAAAATCGGGATGTGGAAAAGGTGTGGAGCTACCCAAGAAATACAGACTGAACAAACAAGGATGTCACTACCCATGTAAGAGCTGGCAGAATGTGATTTCTAAATAATGTGTGCCTAGTGCTACAGAAAGACATGCCCTGTTTTACTCTTGCCACCACAACTTTCTTGATCCAAAAAAAGCTCTTCCAGTCTGTAAGCTTCAACTGCCCCATTGAATTATTGTTTTCACATGTTATTAATTTAATGTATACTGTCTATGAAATCTCATTCAGGACACCTCACAAAATAATATTTAAAAAACAATGAACAACTAGAGTCACAATGAAAATATGCAATATAATTCAAAACCTATCAAATACTAGAAGAGCATTTCTAAAAAATATATTTCAAAATCCCTGAGACTTAAAACATAATATGCAGGTATTCAAGAGGAAATTGATAATACACCAAAACAAGACATGCTGATATTCCTAGGTGAATTAAACACAGAATCCAATATTATGGGAGAACTTGGCCTAGAGGTTAGAAATGAAGCAAAAAAATGATTCAGAATTCTGTAAGGCAGTAATTTGTCTATCCCAAATGTGTACTTCTGGCAACAGATCAGATGATTGTATGCATGGACACCACCAAATGGCCAATATAGGATAGAGAATATAATTGGAGGTTGGAGAGGGAGAAGTTGTATTCTCACCATCAATGAAGACATTGGCATTGTGAAAGCTTTCGAATACATTGGTTCAATCATCCATTCAAACAGAGACAGCAGCCAAGAATTTGGAAAGAGACTGAGACTTGGAAAGTCGGCAAAGATGGAACTAGAGAAGATAATCAAATCCAAGGATATTTCACTGGAGATCAAGACCCAAGGCCACTCACACCATTGTATTCCTGATCACTATACATGGATGTGAAAGTTGGACAATGACGAAAGCTGACAGGAAGGATGCATTCAAAACATGGTGTTGGAGACGAGCTGTGCAAATACCCTGCACTAGCGGAAAGACAAATAAGCAGGTTCTAGATCAAATCAAGCCAGACTTTGGCCTGGAAGTAAACATGATAAAACAGGGAGGGGATCTTGCACTTCAGGCACATGAGAAGGCACGACTCACGGGAGAAGACAATAATGCAGAAGTAGGCAGAAGATGAAAAGGAAAATCAGCTATGAGTTGAGTCAGTTCCATCAAGCAAGCCACAACCTTGAGCGTAGCTGTCAAGAACTGGACAATTTGGAGGACATTCATTCATAGGATTGTCATAAGAGATGACAATGACTTGACAGCATGGAACAATAACAAATGTATTAGATTGATAGAAAAGGTGTTTACTATGCGGTACTTGCTCCAGGTTTTGGGAGGAGGGGAACCCTGGGCAAGACATTGTCTATAAGCTCCCTCTCTCAACCAGTCTACCTTCTTAACTTTGTCACCAGCTGCTATTGCTTCTCACCCTCTTTCTCCTCATTGTTCTGACTAGCTTGCTGGACAAGCTGGAAGCCAGTGAGGCAGTAGGCCATGACATCTATGGATTTTATTATACTGAGTGTAAGCAAAAATAAATCATCTGCTGCTGCTCATTACCAGAGAGTAGGTGACCTAGCGGATTGCAATGGTGAAGGGGGGGGGGCAACTCCAGGCAGCTTTTGGCAATGGACTCCTGCTGGGATGTGGGCCTTCAGCATAAGCCTGAGGCTGCCTGCCTGCCTTTGATGACAGGGAGGTCCGCATGTACCTCAAATACTTTAAGATACTCTATACTTGACACTGGTATAGTTTGGGAATTCTCCTTATCTCTTCTACAAGTGGGAGAGTGGGAGGAATTATTATTTTAAAGTAAAATATTAGCTTTCCCTAATGCAGGGATGAAGTACATGCGGGCCTCCACCTGCTGCTGCTTTGCAACGCCAAGCATCCCTTGCCCTTAGCCGTGCAAACGGGAGCTGCAATCCAGCCCCACCAATGAGGGCCACACAGCCACCCGCCCCCTGTGCTCGCCCCCGGTTTAATTCAACACCAACCAGTTTTGAACCGCCCGCCACCAGGGGGCGCGGTTACTCATAGGGACCGCTTCACTCTAGGACTTCACACTCGCTTTCCCTGCCTGCAGCTCATGGGCCGCTTGCGTCATTAGCCCGCGCCTTGCGTGAAGGAAGGGCCCGCCTCAGAGTGGAGCTGCCGGGAAACGAAACTGAACTGTGGCGGAGTGGAGTTGGGAGGATTCGGTCCGCCTTCCTCTCTCGAGCCCAGGCACGTTTCTGGACGGCTTGAGGCCCTGCTGTTCCCTGCCTCTCCTCTGCTCCGGCCTGAGGCAGAGCCTCTCCCCCCCTTCCCTCGTGAGTGTGGCAGGCAAGGGCCCCCGGGAGGGCGGGGAGAGCGAGGGAGCCTTGGGGGCTTTCCGCCTCGTCCTCTCTTCCCGGAACGCTCCTTGCCCTCTCCCGCTGCTGCTTGTGGCTTCTCTCCGCCCACTCTTGCCTCACAAGAGAATCCCACACTGCTCTCCCGCTCCCTTTCACCCCCGTCATGTCCCCCAGCCTGGTTCCGTGTTTTATTCTCATCGCAGCGGCCTCAGGTCCTCGCCCGTCTGTCCCTACCTCGTGGCCTCCTCGACACTCCCCTTCTTTCCTTCCCATCGGCCCATTTTAGGTGTGCCCGCCGTTATTCTGCTTTAAATTGCCCGGGCCCCGTTTACCGAGGCTGGGATGCTTAGCGTGCTTCCCAGGGTGTAAGTTGCTTAAACTCTGCGGCTTATTTCTGTGTAAGCCTGTCTAGGGGGTTGTCTTTCCTGCATTTGGTCACTCTCTTTTTGCCCCCTCGTACTTCCCCGTAGTTCCTTTCTGTCTTGCTTCCTAACATCTTTCTTTCCTATTCTATGTGTCCAGTAAAGTGCTTTTTTTTGTTCTGGAGCTATCTTTTGTAAAATTATCGCTTCCCCATCTCTCTGCAAATAATGTTTAGTAAAAATAAGTATTTCCTACACTAGTAGTAATTGAATTAAAAACTCATTCTCTTAATTTTGGATATTTGGACATGTGTCCATGCTATCAGAGGCAATAAGTCTATCCCCACCAGTTCTTGGGGAACACAAGTGGAAGAGAGCTATTACACTCATGTCTTACTTTGGGTTATCCATGAACAGCTAGTTGGCCACAGTGTAAACAAAATGCTGAACAAATACAACATGCTTTAATCCACCATGGCTCTTATCTTCCTGCAGTGTACCTGTTTTTCAAAAACTGGCTGTGTTGAGTGCAGTGTAAGAAATTAAGAAATCAGATCGATTATGATAACTTTTCTTCACTTTCTGTAGGGAGGCTAAGCATACCATTCAGGACTTAAAAATAAAGTTTGAGACCTTCTCAATATATTGTAAGGCTTAGTAATTTGCAATAATCTATGCAATTTTAATATATTCAAAGCTAATTAGACAATTATTAATTTTCTTGTTCATGTATTTCATTACTTTGGCCTGGAATCATAAATGCTTTTATATGAGAGTAAGCTCCATTGAACTGAATGGGACTTCAGTAGACATGTATAATATTGTACTGGTAAAAGTACTACCGAAGAACTGAACTTGGAGTCTTGACATTTCAGCTACCTGCTATTTATCAAAGGGATGGTTTTGATCTTGAAAATCTTACAATTCCCCTATAATTGTTTGCTTTCAGTTCCTCATTTTTAAAGTTTTATTCATGATGCAAATAAACATGAATTGTTTCACACCAATTAATAAGAATGTACCATAGTATAGTTACTTTTGCTGCTCATTTGTTCTAAGGAAATCCATGTAGCATAGTAAATATTGTAATTGGCAAACTTTAATAACTGCAGCAATAAATTTTGGGGCATGTTGTACAGCCCTGCATATACACAACTTATTTATACAGTATGGCTGTACCAATGATTTAATGGTATCTTATGCCAAAAATGCTCTTCTATACAGCTTTATTAATGTTTTAAAATATAGAATTATTCCCATAATTAATATTTTAAAATATTTCAGGCTTATTAATAGCCTGGCTTTTACAAAACATACATTATGACTAAATTGGTCATACTTTTAGGGTTTTATTTGTTTTTATTATTCTTTACATTAGCTCAGTGCTGTACATATTAATAAGTAAGCTTCATTGAATTCACTGAGACTTGCAGCAGAATCCTGTGAGTGTTTATTTAGCAGAATGTCCCACTGTGTTAATGAGGCTTACATATCAACAAGGATGTGTAAGATTACAGGCTGCAAATACATGCTAGCTACCCGGAAGAAAGCTTCACTGAATGTGGTAAAGCCTACATCTGAGTAAATGTGCATAGAATTGTATTGTTACTTGCTTGCAAATGTGGTAAGAATTGCCACCTAGGTCAGAGGTAAACGTTCCACTGATAAGTGTGGTATGTTCTTCATTCCATGGCTAATATGATAGAATGAAAATCTTCTTTGAAAAAGCCCCTTTGGACTTTGCCATCTCAGTTAGTGGCTCATTCAGTAGTGTGTTCTGTTTCTGTCTCTCAAAATAGGCAAAAGAGAGAAATTACATGCTCTCTTGGCAAATGTATGGAAGAAACTCAATTCTCTTTATAGCAGAAAATGCCTATAAAAGGGCTGAACATAATCATATTCAGCTACTTTACAGTTATGTGATATGCATGGATTCACTGGAAACCTGTGCTTGGTTTTGCAGTAAAAATGAAGCGAAGAGCAGAACCTGAGTATAGCAGCCCCCAGAAGAGGCAAAAGAAAAGGATAGAAGAATTGGGTCTGACCCTCAGCTCCACATCAGATGATGAAACACAACTTAGTAATCATGCAACTCAAGGTAATAGTAGTAGTATTGCAATATTAGCACTATAGTATTGGCATTATATTGCTGGCTGTGCCAAGAAGATGATTAGTGCTGTCTTGTGAGAAGGAGTGGTCCTGGACAACCTGAAAGAAGCACTGGTGAAACCACTGCTGAAGAAATTCCTCAGAACCTCAAATATTGTAACAACTTTAGGCTTGTGGCTAATGTTCCTTTCTTGGGCAAGGCTGGTTTCTGTATGATGTATTTTTCTGAAGGCAGACAGCACAACCCTTGTGGTAGAAAGCACAGAACAAGAGAGCTGTTGGGAAAGAGTGGCAGTTGCTAGCCAGAGAGTGCAGCTGGCAGAGGTGTTCTGGCTTCTTCTATCTCAGAGACCTTCTTTGGGGCAGGAGCTAGGTAATCACCTGAGTTGTGTTGCCCCAAATGGGCCAGTGCTGCCAAGCTAACCTCCTAACATGGGTGTCTGAGAGGAATCCTCTAACCTACTAGTAGGAGGGAGGAGAATCAGCTTGGTGGTCGTGCTCCAGTTGGGATATCACTTCCAACCTCTTTGTATCCATCATCCCCCCTCCATTAATGAGAGCAGTCTGCTCCCACTTCTTGCTCTTGCTTGGGAGAAAGGTGCTCTGGCATGTGTTGGTCTCTCCAACCTGGCACCTGCCAGAGAGCTGTTCTAAGCAGGAGCTGGGGAGTGCAGGCTTGCCCTCTTCCTCACTTTTGCTCAAAAGAAAGTCACTTGAGCAAGAACAGGGAAAGAAGGACCTGGGTTAGGTAGGGATGTTCTATTTTCAGCACATCCCAGCCTAGCCTGAGTTCTCCCTTCTGTGCTCCTCAAGAGAAAGCTGCTGGAGCAGGGATGGGGAAATCAGCTGAGCGGCATAGTCCAGCTGATTGCCCCCTCCTTTGGAGTGGGAATTTTTCTCCCATGAGCAAACAGGAGAGGAAGCAATCAGCTTGGAGCTGCCCTGGATGGGGACATTGCTGCCTGGCTGATTCTTCACCTCCTACCCTTGTGTGCAAGTCTTCCTCTCAGGCAGGGGTGGGAGGATCAGCAGAGTAGTACTGCTTCTTTATGCAGCACCACTCAACTCAATAGCCCCACTTGTGCATGAGTGTGAATCAGACACCCACCCTTCTGTGCCTAAGTTAGCCACTACAGCAGGAGATGAGGGTCCTGTTCAGTTCCCCTGTCCACTCTACTATGCTTCAGGGGTGAGTTCTTGAGAATGCTTGACAGCTGTTGAAGCTTTCAGAGAGAGGAGTCTTATTCCTCCTCATTGTGTCACTTGGGATACCACTTGGAGGAGTGAGAGGGAGGGAGGTGGAGGAGTGAGGAGAGCAGCCTCAATAAGTCTGATTGTCTGTCAGGCTTATTGTGGCTTCTTGGGACTTCAGGGCAACCCTTTGTGGCTATCACAGTGGGTTGTTTGGCATGTGAAACTTCTCATTGGCTCATCAGAAGTTAAGCAGGGGCTGCCTGTCACTTACGAGTCCATTTAGCTAATAGTGCACCTGGCACAACCCTGTATACATTTCCACACCGGGTTAAAACCTTTTAATTTGCCTTTTATTTTAATTGCTGAATAGAAGGTGCTGGTTTTAGTATATAATGATTGGTTTGCTGTGGATTAGTTGTTACAGTGTTGTTGTTATTACTTAATTTCTGTATACCATTCCGAGAGTGTCTACTAAAGAATTGTTTAGTAAATAAACTTTAAAATAAATAAATAATAGCTAATTTGTGAGGTTGCAGAATGTTTACAAACATTCTAATAGTTGGTTGAAAAGGTATGCAACTACAGTAAGAGAAGTGGAGGTTCAGTTGAATTGGGAGAAAACTCTTACATGGGGCCAAGTAACAAGAACTGATGGATAGAAATAATTGGTAAAATAAATTTTGTTCTGCAGTTTTTCTGTCAGTTAGATTTACATAATGACTTGTAATTAGCTGCACTAAAGATGCCTTATGTAACAAATGACATAATTTTGACACTGATCACTGCTTTGGATAATATAATTGATGGCCACTGTTTATTTTTAATGTTCTTGTGCTCCTGACATTCTCTTAGGTAGATATCTTTCCTGTTGGATCGTTTTCAGTGCTGGCATGTTTTGGATATAGAAGACAAAGGCTGATTCTAAGATATGCATGCTTTGATCTTTATAGCCGTAAAAGTGGAATGAAGTATTTGGCTTGTCTTTAAGCTGCCAAGACCAATCTGCTGCACCAAGCATTGCATTTAAAGTTTGTCTGTTTCCCACAATACTTGTTGACAATTGAAATAGTGCATTTAGCTGTAAAGCTCAAGAACCATAGTTCAGTGTTAGAACATTTAGTATGCATGCAAAAGGTTTCCTGTTCAATTACTGACATCTCAATGGGAAAGACCATTGTTGGAAATTGTCAGTGGCAGTCAGTGTGGTAGGCAGTACTGAGGTAGATGGACCAGTGGTCTGAATTGGTATGTGATTGCATCCTATGTTCCTAGAATATGAATAACCCATGATGTTGTGATACTGATTATTGAGAGATGCTGTTTCTTCCCTGTGTTTGGTTTTTCAGAGTCTTCCACAACAAGCAGCAGTGAGTCTGACAGTGAAAGCAATGAGAGGCGCCCTGTGCTTGGCTCCTTCAGCAATAAGCTCAGAGCAGACTCCCTTGTGGAGGGCACATCCTCCCGCTACTCCATGTATAACAGTGTGTCCCAGAAACTCATGGTAGGTCACAGTACCCTCTTGAACATCCTACTTATTCCAAAATTAGGGAAAATAAGAATGTTGTCAAGAATGTCTCTTTTGCAAGGTTTCACTTTCCATTCCTGATGGAACTTCTCTAACTCAATATGTGTTCACTCAATATTTGTAACTTAATTGAACTTGTTCAGAAAGAACAAAGAAAATAAGGAGTTGGATTATATGTTACAAATACTTATCTTTGCACAGAAATATCCCAGAGGATCAGCTTAGTAGCCCCGTTGAGAGCATCAGGGTTAAAATAAATGTGTCAAAGAATAAAAGAAACATGATAGAATCTCCTGATGACCACCCAATCAAACAGAACATGAGGATGAAACTTTTGATAACCAAACTGCCAGTATTTAAGGGAAATACTATGTGGTAATAATGGGGGACTTCATTTATTTTGATATTTGTTAGGTGATAAGTTCTGCCAGAAGTGGTCTCTCCAAGAAATTATTGACATGCATGGCTGTCATCTTTTTTTCTACAGAAAGTGGAGTAAAGAACAGGAGGATTGGCTCTCCTCAACCTAATACTTATAGGAATTACTTTGTGGATAAAGGGGAAGTTATGGGAGCTCTGGGGAAAGTGATCACAACTTACTTAAGGTTCTGATTTTAAAGGAAGCAAAAGCTGAGTGTAGCTGTACAAGTACTGTGGATTTTGGGAAAGCTGTTTTTAATAAACCTATGGTGATAAGAAAGGACCTGTGGCAAGCGACCCTAAGGGAAAAAGGAGTCCGAGATGGCTGGGAGTTTTTAAAAAAGGAAAATTTAAAAGGCACAATCAATTACAAACAATTCCAACAAAAACAAAAAGTAGAAGCCAGTGTGGTTCTGCAAAAAGCTTTGTGTTGACTTAAAAACAAAAACATAGAAACAGCGCAAGTCAGAAGGGGTCTCCGGGGCCATCTAGTCTGACCTCCGGCACCAGCCGGCTCCGTTCACGACGTGCCCACCAAAAAGGACTTATATAGGAAGTGGAGGAAAGAACAGGCTACAAAGGCAGAGTTATAGACACGTGGCACAGAAGACCCATGATTGGCATTAGGAAGGCTAAAGTTGAGAATGAGCTGAGGCTAACAATCAACAAAAACGCTTTTCTCAATTATGTGCACAGTAAAAGACAGAGAAAAGAAATGGTGGTTCAGCTTCTCAGTGAGGAGGGCAAATTGACAATAGGTAAAAAAAAGAGGCTCAGTTCCTGTTGTGGCTCAGCCTTCTCCCAAAAGCAGGTCTGTGACCCTTTCCCCCAGCAGAAATGAAGTACAAACTGAAGGGGCATGATTAAAATTCGAGTTAATAAACAAATAGTCAAGAAAAACCTGATTTCTTTGAGTTGAAATCTCCAGGCTCTGAGGAGCTGCATCCTAGAGTAATAAAGGAACTGTCAGAAAAATTCTCAGAACCGCTGTCCATTATGTTTGAGAAATCATGAAGGCCAGTTGAAGTGCCAGATGACTAGAGGAGGGCTAATGTTGGCCCTATCTTCAAAAAGGGAAAAAGGGAGAATCCTGGGAATACCAGGCCAGCCATTTTGACATCAGTGTCTGGGAATGATCTGGAGCAGTGTGTAAAGAAGTCAATCTGTAAACACCTAGAAGACAGTGCAGTAATTACTACAAGCCAGCATGGAATTATTAAGAAATAATTTTGCTAGGTTAACCTCCCTTGTGGACTGTGAGAATGTTCTGGATATAATATAGCTTGATTTCAGTAAAGCTTTTAATGGAGTGCCCCATGACATTCTGATCAGGAAGCTAGCTAAAAAGTGGGCTCGATGGAACAAAGATCTTGTGGATTCAAAGCTGGCTACAGAATCAGACTCAAAGAGTCCTCATCAACGGGGGCTTCTCAAACTGGAGAGGTAAAGAGTAGTGTACCCAGGGCTCAGTTCTGGGCCCAGTGGTCTTCAATGTTTGTATTAATGATTTGGATGAGGAGGTGCAGAGAATGCTGTTTGGATTTGCAGATGACACAAAAATGATTGGAAGAACTAATACCCTGGAAGGCAGAAAAAAAAAAAAATTCAAAGGGATCTTGATAGGCTGAAGCACTGGGCTGAAAGTAACAGAATGAAATTCAATAGGGACAAATGCCAAGCTCTTTACCTGAGAACCAAATGCACAGATATACAAGGTGGGGGATACTTAATAATACTGTGAGTGAGAAGGATCTTGGAATTGTTGTAGATCACAAGCTGAATATGAGCTGACAATGTGATGTGGCTGCAAAATAAGCAAATGCTATAATTTGGGAGTATAGCTTCCCAATTTTGTGAGATACTGGTTCCCCTTTACTGGCACAAGTTAGGCCCTGTCTTGAGTACTGTGTCCGGTATTTGGTACCACACTTCAAGGATGTATATAATCTGGAGAGGAGAGTAACAAGGATGATGAAAGGTCTGGGGACAAAGACTTGCAAGGAAATATTGAAAGTACTGGGCATGTTTAGCCTGGAGAAAATAATACTGAGGGAAGATATGATAGCATTTTCAAATACTTGAAAGGATGTCAAACAGAGGAGGGCCAGGATCTCTTCTCAGTTGAGCCCAGAGTGTCTTGCACTCTGGCACAAGTTACAGGAAGCCAGATTCCATCTGGACATCAGGAAGAACTTCTTAATGGTTAGAACAGTATGGTAATGGACCAATTATTTAGAGAGGTTGTAGGCTTTCTTACACTGGAGGCATTTAGGGGACACTTGGACAGCTGCCTGTTGGGGCTTTATCTGGAATTCTTCATTAAGCATGGGGTTGGACTAGGATGGCCTTATAAGCCCCTTCTAACACTACTATTTTCTGATTTAAACTGATGTTTCAGTCAAGCAAACTGAAAACCTGTATGGAGATAAGCAGGGTAGATTTGATTTAAATCACAATTTAAAACACTAGTCAGTAAGATTAGATTTTAATCATGGTTTTCTACATAATTTGCACACATCCATGGCTTACCCATAAGTAAAGGAATTTTATTAAATTATCCACAGACTGGGTCTCTTTTATGGTTCGCTTCCGTTATAGGTTTTCTCCTCCAGGGAAGGAATAAGATGATAAACCTCAGGTTATATGCAAAAAGTTTCAAATACTTGTGGGGTATTCTGCCCAAATCTAGTTCACTCCCAACTATCTTTTCTGCTCCTTGAATTGTTTGAAACTTAGGATGTAAGGGGTTAATTCTGTGTATATGAATTGGCAAATGAACAATGGGATTGAGGTCCTTTTCTCAACTCTGTATGCTTATAACATTTGTGCTGTGAAGAAGAGGCATGTGATCTCTGCAGATACAAATTCGCAGTTTTGAGAACTTGTAAAACCAAGCATCTGTGATAATCTAGATAGAAAAATTGCTCAGTAATCTTACAGAAATATTTGGAAGAGCATGACATTTTGAATGGATTAATGGCATTCATTTACCAAAAAAATTAAGCATTGCATACAGCCTCGTGCTACATAATTAAAAGCTAATCCTATTTCATTGGAATATAATGCATCTTGAATAGAAAACTATGTTTTAATGGTTTTTTTTCAAAAAGCATTTTATTAAAAAAAAACCAAATTAAATTAAAAAATCCCAATTCAAATTTTTTTTTTTTTGATTTAGAAAAATCCTTGATTATTATCCACCCTGGATAAGTATTTTATTTATACATATATTTATAGGCCACCTATAACTGCCAAGGCCTTCCTAGGTGGCTTATAGTGTATAAAACATATTAAACAAAATATAACACATTAAAACTATTAAAACGCAACAAATTAAAACATCTATGGAAGCAGTATAACAGACCACAGCATTGAGGCTAAATGTTAAAAAATTTCCTTAAAAGGTGGGATTTGCCTTCAGGAATGGGATCAGAATTTTTATTTTTAACAGCCTCTTTCAAGCTCCTGTAAGTGTGGGAAAAGAGCTTTGAAAAAGCAAAAGTGTATCTGAACTTGATTCAGAAACAAGGAGTCGTTATTTATTTTGGATAGTACTTTCATCAACCAAGAGACTGAAATTATTTACTGAACATACCAAGTGGTACTTTTCAGCCCCATCTCCTTCCTTCCTTCCTTCCTTCCTTCCTTCCTTCCTTCCTTCCTTCCTTCCATGCACTTATAAATAACAGGGATTGGATACATACTGAGTTTACCAATATGCTAAACCTCAGTATTTGGGGAGGGAATGATTCATTTCCTCATCCCAACTTTATTGCTAGCATTTCAAAGTAATTTGAAATAAATCTCAATTGGAAACTTCTAATGTGTGACTATTATTTTTCCTTAGGAACAGGGTAGTTATTTTCTCAGCCTACATCCAATCCTTTGTACTGCTTGCATGTATTGCTTGTGCGCATACATTCATGTGTGTGTGTGTATGCACACAAGCACGCGCGCGCGCACACACACACACACACACTATAAACTCCTTATTTTCATATGCTCCATTGTCAGAACTTCATCTGGTTCCCTAGCTCAGTGAATCTTGGAAGAGATTTAAGTATGAATGGAATTCTTTGTTCAGGGCACTGTGGTCATGTTGTGTCATGTATTTTCTTTCAAATGTATATATATTAAATGACCTTTTTGAAAAATGAAGTACTTCCCCAAGACAAGTGTTGTCAAACAAAAGTCTCAGATCTGACCTTCCAAATATTACAAACAGTAATACTGCTTTTTCAACATGTACTAAGCTTCCTGTTTTTAACAAACTTTTTAAAGCTTTATTGAGCATGTTGCTGAAATTCAACATGGATTGGCCTGAAGGTTGCAGTGAAAGCGATACCTTTTGAGCGTATAGTGTAATGTTTTTGCCTTGAGGTACACAGAGGACAGAAGGTTCTAGTACAGGGCTGGATCTTTTTTCTGTGTGTGCCTTGACAGCTGCATAGTAGGCAGTAACACAGTAACACGTAGTTGTTAGCCCAGGGCTACTGTGATGGGGAAGTCTTTTGTTGAATTTCAGTATATCACACAGGGATTAAAAGCATTGGAAAAGGGGAAAAGGTAGCAACGCTTGTTCCTAAACTGAAAGCATTGTGTTTGAGGAGAGTTTTAGGATTCCAGTGATCCATGATGCAACTTTACTGAAAAAAGTACCCAGGCTTTGTGAAAATGACCAGGCATTTGTCAGCAGTGCTGTTTTGAAGCATTTTTCAGAGACACCTATTTTAATTCTCATCTGCCAGTTTAACATTCATTTGAATCCATTACATAATCCAGTAATTTCGTTTAGACTGGAGCTCATACTTTACATAGGTTGAACAAAAGCCGCAGCTCTCAGGGTAGTATCTAGCGTTGCCCCACTGCTAACATAAAGGGCATTGTCCTGGCATGAACTATCTCTAGTCCGATGCCAGTAGTCATTGCTGCTGCAACAGTTTCCCTAGGACAGCAGGTGTTACTGACATTGTACTAGAGATAATTTATTCTAGCCTAATATCATTTACATTAGTGGTACTGCAGATCAGGATACCACCTTCCTTGGTAAGCTTTTGTAAGGAGATGCAGATATGTGCTAGTAGAGTTGTAAGCCCCTCAAGCTCATTTGTGTATGTGCATTTTTATACTGATTAGCTGAGAAGTGTGTCTGCCCATGATAATTATGTTACAAAAGACTGGATGACTTCTATGTTTCCCATTGTGTTGATTAACTAGTAACTTGAAATAGCTACTAAAACCAGAGGGTTGTTTTAGTTTTTTGCTTCCCCAAAATCAGAATCCTGGTTGAATATACCTAATCCTCACCTTTTAAAAAAAGATTAGGTAAAATCTGCCAGGGAAGGTAATTTATTTCCTTCATTAGAAAATGTATTAGCCAACTTGTCAGTGAAAATTCTGCCCAAGGTAACACACTGTAAATTAATCATGAGTAACAGGGAAAACAGTGCAAAGTAAAATGACAGTGTCAAAAGAACAGAGTAGGCATAAAATACAGTAGAGCTCTGTGTTAGGAAATTTCAATCAACATGCCAGAATGGTGGTTTAATGATAAATATTTTCACTTGGTTCTGTAAAAATTGCAGGGAAGAATTCAGGTGGACCTCTTTAGGGAGAAGTCCTATAATACGTAAGACTGATCTCGACCAGTATAATATGGCAGACAGTATGAACAGCTAGAATTTCCATTTATATTTTTGCCCTTTGTCTCAAATTATACTTGAGTAACAGGAGGTTGTACTATATTCCAAGCATATTTTTGAAAAAAAAAACCCAGTTATATCTGTGAGAACATGAGTTTATACATGTTAAAGGATTTTAAAATTATTTTTGAATGAAAAATTAGCTATAATGGATTGAATAAGAACTTTGCCTTGGTTCAGTGTCTTTTTAACTCCTATCTTAAGTGGACCCTCTTGTCAGTTTACCTGTTGATGAGGCCTTGCATTTCTGCCATAGCATCCCATTTTGTTTTAGAGGACTTCAGGGTATTTTCTAAAGCATACATACCTGGACAGGTTTAGGTACTGAAAAGATTCAGGACTCAGGCCTTTGGGACAAAACAAAAAACAACACCACACAGAAATTGACTGATGCTAATTAATGCACATTCTAATGCTCCTGTATCTTTAAAGGAATCTGTCTGCTAAGGGTACTTGGATTTGTAAAAAGGGAGGTATGGACCAGGAAAAGGAGGATATTTAATTCCCACTTTAAATCCTTAAGTAGGAATTCAAAGGGGTTGAAACATGGGCAAAAAGGCAGCTCCTCCAGGGGGATTGGATACAACAAAGATCTCCAGGGCCCTTTTCCTTTATTTCAACAAGCACCCAAGGACATCAAGATCATACCTATAATTCTTCTGCATCTTCATGTTTGGAGAATCAGCCTGCCATTGGTGTTCAGTTAATTGATATTATCTTGATAAATTCTCAGGAAACCCCACAGTTTTCTGGAACAGAGTTTGAATTCATGACCTTCCAAATAAAGCAGAGATTTTCAATCTTTTTTTTGCTGTTTTCTCTTGAACTGATAGAGGTTTCTGGGGTGAGGGGGGGTGGTGAGAGAGAGCAAGAGAGTGAGACCATGACCATAACCTCTCTTGTTATAGGGCTTTCTGTGTCAACAGCACAAAGGATTTAACCTTTTAGACTTAGCAAATCTAATGAGAAACAGTAGCTGAGTTCTCCGCAGGTTGCTAATTTGTAGCAATACCATCTCTCTTTGTGTTGTTCCAACATGCTTAGCTTTGTAAATCTAGTGTCTAGTGCCTCATAATAAATAAGTTAAAGGGGGAGGATCCATAAAATCTCCTAAAATGTATTAAACATACTTAATACTCTTTAATCACAACAGCTAAGGCACCCTAATTTATTCTGTGGCTTCTCAAGCTATGCACAAGCAGCAGTGCTCGATGCTTCGAATAAACCTCTTCTGCATTGGCTTACAGGCCAAGATGGGGTTCCGAGAAGGTGAAGGTCTTGGAAAATATGGCCAGGGAAGACAAGAGATTGTCGAGGCCTCACAACAGAAAGGAAGACGAGGTTTGGGACTGACTCTGAAAGGATTCGATGGAGAGGTGAACATCAACTGGCAGGATGAGCCAGAGGTAATTATATATGTTTTGTCTCTTATCGCTGTTAGGGATCCCACCGTGGGGTTGTACAGTATAGTTTGCATTGTGCTGCTGGCTTGGGTGAGCTTTATGACAAAGTGGATCTCAGTTTGAGGGTTATTATTATCATTACGCTACATTTTAGCCCACCTTTTTCCTCTTGTGAGGAGCCCAAGGCAGCTTACATAATTCCATTTTATCCTCAGAACAATCCTGTGAGGTGCATTAGGCTAAGAGTGACTGCCTGACCTAAATTCACCCAGTGAACTTCATGGCTGAGTGGGGACTAGAAATTGAACCTCACAGGTCGTAGTCCAGCATGCTAACACTACACTGCCTGCCTGAAAACCAGTTGCCAACCCTTGGCAATCTGTTTCAGCTTGCTTTTTCTTGGGAGGCTGCCCACAGTCAAACTTTTTATTACCTGTGTATTGTGCTATGAAATCACAAGGATTCCCTTAAGCCATTATTTGGATTACCAATGTGAAGACTGTTGAGGTTAGACTTTGGTACTCTGATTAAGCGTTGGAGAGTTAGATTTTACTGTGTACCCCTCTTTTGAAACCTCCTTTATTATGTTTACAGGCTAGTGCTTATGAGCAAGTGGACTGGTTCCCAGAATGTACCACTGAAATTCCAGATGCTGAGGAAATGAAGGATTGGCTCACTATAGGGAAGGTATCTAGCTTGCAATATGAAAGGAAGAAAATTGAGGGCTGAAACAATTAAGACTTCAAACATTTTGGTTATCTATGGGGGTGCTACTGTGCATATTGAAAAGGTATTACATTTAATGTGATGCCTTTTTTCAGGTGAGCTGCTAAATAGTTTTTTTTAAAGTCAAAACAAAGTATCAAATATACTTTTAATAAGATTAAAATTATGGAAACATATTAAACTAAAAATATAAATAGATAATTATATTTAATATGATTATTTAATGGTTGGATTAGAATTATTGATGAGCTCCAAACATTGCATTTTAGTATATGTACCACAGTAAACTCCCAGTTAAATAATATGCTTATTACATATTTATCCTTATTTTCCTCCACGGATTTTATACATTGTATCTCTTTCATCTCATTATCAAAACAACTGTGCAAAGCAGGAGAGTAAGCAAGAATGATTGGCCCATGTTCACCAAGTAATTTTCTTGGGCATGGAGATGTGAATTTGTAAGCCTTGGGCATAATCACCATCTGCCTCTAACAGATTCCCAATCACTGTATAAAAGATACCTGTACACAAAAGAGTCCTTTGTTTTTTCAGTGGAAGCTTTGCTGAGTGATGCAGGTCCCAGGGTAAATGTATTATACTTTTGGGGCTCTTCTTTCTCAACTTGAGTCCATATCTCCTAGTGAAGGATGTGGGTTACTTTCCCTGTTTTTTAGTACCAAATTGCAGTGTGAATAAACCTCATCCATGTAATTACTGTATTTGTGAAAGCCGGAATAACTTGACAAGCTGTTCAAACACAACAGCAGGAAGCCACATTTTCTGTAGGGCTTTTCTCATTTTGTGTCATTCTCTGTGTCTGTCTGGCATAAAATTGTGTTCCTCAACATTTACATACTTTGAAAGACAGCAGCCTCACCAGAAGTGTAAATAACAGCAGTGAGAAGACTTCTTTTTCTTGGATACTGGCAGTTTTTCTTAATAACATACTGGCAAGTGCTGATGTACTGCAGTGATTCTTAAGGATGTTTATACCAAGCTTGTTTTCTCACTTTTGCTTAGGCTGCAGATATTCCATGTTTACTAGCAAGCTTGCTTCTGCTTGTGGCGGCAGCTGTGCAGCTGTTCTTGGTTTGAAAGCTAGAATTAAGATAGATAAATCTTCTCCACACAGAGCTGCAGTGTGTTTTCTATTATATGAAAACAGACTCAGATTATTGATCAGTACTACTTCTGCCGTTTACCTTCTATTTGAGTAGTGCAGTCCTGCCAAAACCTGTTGGGGTCAAGTTAATAGAGCATTGAGCATGGATGTAAGCAGCCTCGGTTTTGATCTTTTGTCATACGAACATAATGTTGAGTGTGTCACAATTCAGTTCAGTTTCCTATATGCAAAGTGTCAGTTGTCTACTTTGTATGGGGAGAAATCCAACATTATGAGACTATTTCTCAGGGAACAGGACTTCTCTTTTGCTCTCTTTTCCCAGGCCCCTTCCAAGTCTGCTCTGGAAGGCCCCCAGCACTCTGGAATAGAATGCTTTTAAGGGCACATGGAGAGCTCTTTACATTTTGCTGACAGAAGTTGTTCTATTAATTGAAAGGGACAATTGGATACCATCCAGTGTTTTAACATTTAAGACTGATGTGCATGGCTGAACATTTGTCATGGCTGAACATTTTCAGTGCTGGTGGGGGGAGGGGAGTCGCTTTGGAATCCTGAAATATTGAAGAGACTCCCTGAAATATAACTTTCTTTGCACCAGTTCATTCTATTTGAGTGGCAGGTTTGGCAGAATGTTTGTGTGTATTTTTAATTAGGGTGGTAATTCGGACTATATGACCCAGTGAATTTTGTAGCCAGCATTATGACACCAAATAGCTAACCAGGTTTGGTGATGCGGCAAGATTGTGAAGCCAGACCAGAGTAAGGGCAGCGTTTCCTATCCTCAAGTTGAATGCTCCTGTTTGAAGCCAACCCAACTTTCAGTGGCTGGTGTGGCTCTTTTTGCATGTGTGGGGATGTCTGCAAAATGGCCTCCCTTAGGTGTTTTATGTTGGCCCATGTTTTTATTAGCATAAGCAACTTACTGAAATGTAAATAGAAAGGTATATGATGATTATTACTGTCAAGTGTAGGACTGCAGAAATGATTTTCAGTTTGTATACTTTGCATCTGTGTTTCTGTTATATCCCACACCTGAAGAAGTTGGTAATAATGGGCATTGAAAATGCAGCTAAGGAGATCCTGCATTTGGATGAAGCCTTTGCAGGTAGCAGTTGTTTAATCGGAATTTGTGCTAAGAATCAGATTGCCACATTCAGTTTATTCTTTGAGCCTTCAAACTGGGGACTTCCATATGCCTCTGGAGGTTGCAACTGTGGGCACATCTCTGCGATCCCAGTCTCCCAGTTCTCGAAACTGAAAGCGAAACACATTAGTAGTCTAAAGGACCTGAGCAGAACTTGAAGCTGCTGGAAGGGAACTGGCCTGTTGAACTCCTCCTAACTTTGGTGCAAGAGGATTCATAACTACATGTTCACTGGCAGCCTGAAAGCAGTGTGCATGGACAGCCATTTCTGTATTCTTCAAGACACCCTCCTGTACCGTTCCTTCCTTTAATTTGCTCTTCAGTGCGTCTCACACAGGACAACCTCTGTAGGGAGGGGAGGGTGGTATTACTGCACATGTGTTATATATTTATAGTGCAGTATTTATAGTTTATAGTATATAAATACATTACATAAACAATAGGCAGTTGCTTAAAGTGAACAAAAATGCTCCTTTGCTAGTGATGAAAATAATTGTGTATTTATACCACACACCTTGCTTATATTGGTTAAGTGAATTATGCCATTTGTGAGCAATAGGCAAGGAGAGTCTCAGAATTACAGTTTCTGAAGAGATTTCCCAAACAATCTTCTTAATTTTACATCTGAGCATGATGGATGCTCTTAATTATTTGAGGCATATACTGCATTTTTTCTTGGCTACTTCTTGCTTTCAAGTCACAGTGATTCCTTTTTGAAAGGGGTGTTGGCAGCTAGTCTGCCTTACTTTACCACTGCTGTTCCATATTCCTGTGGTCAGAATATGGTGAGGTTGATACTAGGTCTATATTTCTGTCACTGTAATACTGATCTGCTTGTCCCCTGAGCTACATGTCTGAAATGTGTTTTAAGAGCAAGATGTTCTGTTTATTGATTCATTTGCCCATATTTTGCTCTCTAGAGGAAATTGGTCATTGATGATGAAACAAACTTCTGTGGCGAAGAACTCCTACACAATATGCTGCAGTGCAAGGTGAATTTTGTCTTGAAAGACTTATTGGCCTTATCAGTGAGAGGAGAAAGGAAGCATGACCAACAGATATCGAGGCTCTGAGAGCTGGCTTTTTTGAAACATTTAGTGTAAAGTAGCACAGACATTTAATCAATGTGATATGAAGCTTTCATTTCCAGACCAGAATTTAATTCCCAGGCCAGTGGCTTGAGTCCCACTGGGGTAAGTTTTTGTTTTGTATTGGCTGTGAAATTATAACAGTCTGCAACAGAAGAAAGTAATTTGTTCTTCTGTGCTTTGGCCTCTGTATATTACCAGAGTATGAAGGAGAAAAGTTGTATGACTGATGCCTAAACTATGACAGCTTATTACTTCTGGTTACAGGACAATCTGTGCATAACTAATTGTTCCCCATAACTAGTTCTTGTAATGTAAAGACAGTTATTGTAGCAATGGTCATGTATAGGGAAATGAAACTATACATGAAATGTCTGCCTGTCCCTCTTTGTTAGATTAGTTATGTTTGTTTTTACAGAATGTGTTTGATGAACTGGATGGAGAGGAGATGCGTCGTGCTCGTACACGGTCCAACCCCTATGAGATGATCCGTGGAGTCTTCTTCCTTAACAGGTCAATGGAGATTCTCTGACTTGCGGTCCTTTGATCAGTCAAGGGCAGACTCTCAACAAGTGTTCATCTTATATTTACAGAGCTGCAATGAAGATGGCAAACCTAGACTATGTCTTTGACTACTTATTTACAAACCCAAAGGACTCTCATGGGGTGAGGTTTCCCTGTATCTGTACATTTTAGGTGGCTTCTCAAAATAGGAGTGGGTGGGGAATACTCACGAATCTTACTAAAATAGTAGATGATTATTGAAGTGCCATGTGAATGAAAAGGTGGTACCAAAATTGCTTTGACTGGTGGGTTGCTTCTGTTGAGGTGCTTGAATTTCTTTCCTTCTCCTTTGCAGAAACCCTTGATCAAAGAGCGTGATGCAGAGCTCCTGTACTTTGCTGATATATGTGCTGGCCCTGGTGGCTTCTCAGAGTATGTCCTCTGGAGGAAGAAGTGGCATGCAAAAGGTTTTGGGATGACCTTAAAAGGACCAAATGATTTCAAACTGGAGGATTTCTATGCTGCCTCCAGCGAGCTCTTTGAGCCTTACTATGGTATGTACACCTAACATCTATTTACCACGGCAGTATTTCCCCACTATTTCATCTTGAGAGTCAGCTGAAAGGCTCGAGAGTTTGAAATGAACACACATTCAATCTGTGACATTCTTGCGGTCAGCTATGAAAGTATCACAAGCTCATATATGGTGTGACAGTTGACTGCCATTTGACTAGAGAGAAGGGTAAGTATGGAAATAGCATACTTTCTGTGGGCATGTTCTTGATTGCCCTTTTAAAAGAAAAGTGCTAGTGAGTCTGTGAAAATGATTCTGTCCTAAATAATATCAATAAAATATTCTGGCCAAGATCAAATT